AAGTCTATGTGGATTCAGGCAAGACCCCTCACTAACTGTCCCATTAATGTTTAGATATATTTTCTATATATACTGTATTAATGTTTGTGTATGGGAGAGCGAGAGGCAGAAAGGTAAAGAGTCCCATCATATCAATGGTGTTCTGTTTAGTGTGAAGCAGAGCTAAGAGACCATTCAGTTGTGAAAATAAAGCCTGTGGAAGTGAACTGTGGGTGACTGCAGTCCTCTGAGTTGGTTTATTAGTGCGGTCTGTGCAAAGAGGAGGCAGCCTTTAATGTATACTACTGCGTACAGCTGAAAGGGCAATGAGGTCCTCTGAGATGGAGATCTAGTACAGAAAAAAAATAAAAGGTCTAGGACCACTTGGCACAATCACACAGAGCCAGAGAGTTGACCGGCAGCATTCTGGGATGTTTGAGACAGCCTTGACAAGTGTTCAAGGATGAAACTTAACCCAAATACCAGTCATGCCAAAACTTTGTGTACCCCTGTAACAGCAGCAGTTGTCACTAGTTTACTGCTGTGAAGCTGGGCAAGGTCTAATCCACTACACCCAAACACAACTAATGAAATTCCTGAAACTGAACTCCCACCAGTAAGCATCCATCTGCTACAGCAGAGCGCGAAGGGAGCACTTCCCATGAGGGTGTGACACCCAGCACAAAAGGCCCTCTATCTAAACCGCACAGCTCGACCCCGACCAGAAATATCACTCAGTGCTTTTCTATTTGGAAGCCACAGAGCTCAGAGCACAGGCAGCACTCTCACTCCCCTCTGCTCTGACCTTTGACCTCATTCCTAACTAAAAACAGAAACATTTATTGTGTTTCTGTGTCTACATCTGTGAGGATTGTGATAACAGTGGTCATAATTTGCTCCAGAGTCGGTATGTTGACAGGCCTCTGAGAGGAATTGAACAACAGCACACAGCTTATGCCAATTTTACTAATAATTAGATTTCAGCTCCTAAAAATGGAAACTACTGCGACAAATCTGCAATCCGCATCACTTTCTCGACAGGACAGAACATTTCATCAACACAGGAGCTCAGATAGAGCTTACTTTGGTAAGTTTACACAGCTGGATGAATTGGTGTCAGTAGGCCAGGCTACAGGTGGTGCTTGGAGACATGTGATTGATGCTTTCAATCATTATGCTTTCAGAACCTACCGGCAGTCTCTGCTCTCTGTTATTCTGGCAGTTTTGCGAATGAAAAGTTGGCCCTCATTCAGCCAAACTTGCCAAAGTGTTGCCTGGGTAATTGCCTAGCTCAGCTGTATGGATGAATCCAGCAGCGTTTACGAGCTAGCTGCGATCTTTTGTTCTTTGGGTGGCACACTGCTGCACTTCATCACACATTACAGCCATAACATACCATTTTGATAGTGTGAAACCAAGGGAATGTCAGCCACATGTCCACCCAAATGTAAACGCATGTTCAGAAAAAAAGGACACACTTCTACTAATGTGCTACCAGACCTCATACTGGGAACCTTTAAGCTGAGTAGGCTGTATCTAAAACTCTACGAAGTCCAAATAAGATGCAGTACAGGAGCTTTGTGCCACATAAGCTCAGTAACTCAAAAGGGGTTTGTTTACCCGTTTTTAAATAGTTTACGTGGCCTATCATATTGATCAGTGTTGGTTGTGATGTATTCATGCAACCATTGCTTCTGCACATGTACTTCAAGATATGATATTAAAGCCACGATATTCAATATATATTATAATCTGAGCAAGCTGAGGGCAGTGAATCCACATCAAGCTTCAGAAACAGCTCTGGGTGGTGTCAAAGACCATTGTTTTTTTTCACAGCCTGTGTGGCCCTTTACGTCATAAAGTCAACAATCTGAGTGTTAGTGTGACTGCGCAATAGTAAAGTGAAATGGTAAAGGGCTAATTAACTGGCATGGACCCCAGTATGTTTCAAGCTTCTGTTTGTAATGAGCACCAGTCTCCAAAAATGAAAGTATGTTTCATTCACAAGCTGGGCTACACTTAGGAAGAGCAGGGCAGAAAGAAAATCGACCTTCTCTTCTTCGTCATAGTGGTAGTTAGACAACATTGAGGTTTGACGTTTTATACGCTAGCAGACACCACCCACATGGATGAGCATCCATTATGATTCTTTACATGCTGATCAGGTGTGCAGGCCACCCAAGCTTACCCTCCCCTTCTCTCCTCTCCCCCTCTCTCTTGCTGTGGTAGCCACAGACTAAGGGACAGGTGTAATTTCACGAGCAGCCTGCTGGAATCAGTAGAAACCGTCTGCTGTAAGTCAAAATGACTGACAGAAGTGATTACACAAAGATCAGTTTCACATCAAGATGACATCCTGCACTCCTCATTCCCTCTTCAGCCAGATGTGTATCTTCAGCCCCCCTCCCCTCCTCTCTCTCCCTCATTACACACATATTTTCCATGTCTTTTCTTGGCTCATTGAGACTTCAACTACTCACCATGGCATTCCTCCTCTGGCAGCCAGGGGCCCTGGTTTCTTCCCACTGGTCCTTAACTTGCATAATGCCGACTAAACACAAAAAAAGGATTTGAGTTGGTCCCATCGTCCATCACTTCCAATTACACTGACAAAAAGGTGATTGTTTGTGCTTCAGTTTTGGTGAGACTTTGATGAAGATATCTATATTCTGTACAGTCACATGTTTATGAGACTATAAACTGACTTCCTCTTGCTGTAAATTACAAATTTCCTTCATGGAAACTGATGCTACAGTTACTCAAGTACCCCAGTTGATTAAATGAAAATTAAAAGAAGTCAACATTTGCAACTCTTATTGGATTACTGTGTACACGTCAAAGTCACGTATGTATATTTAGTGGCTGGATGACAAATAAAAGTGAAATAAGACAAGTTTGGTAACAGGTGTTACTTTTAAATAAGAGAAAAAAATACAACAAAGTGGTAAGTAACAGGTGTTACAAGCTGTTTAAACAATTGTGTAATGTTTTGGTCTTGCAGCATGGCCTGCATAACATTTTTCCATGTTAAACATATGCCTTAAATGCTGACAGGATTTAAAAAGTAGCGGTCCCTCAACTCTATCATCCCACAAGCAGAAATCAAATTACATAGCACTTATGTTAGTCTAAAAAGGATTAAATTGCACATAACATTGGGTACTGATAAAGGCTGAAATCTAAAATAAAGCCCATAAGTAACCATCTCAACATATGATTGATGATGATGATTTATCTGTGATTCAAAACTCAGTCACACAATAAATTCTGGCAGGCCTCTACAGCTGACGACGTCCAACTAGCAGGCCGTGGCTAAAAAATCGATCCCAATTCCTTACTAAAAAACGTAATTACATTTGGGACATACATTTTTACATATAAAGGGGTCCCCTCGATATCAATAACACACGTATTGGCATTAAACTTGTTGATATTTTATCAATTAACCTCGGTGAGTGCTTGCCTTGTGGCCATAGAAGCGAATGGCGTCCGACATGACAGGCGGTCATGTTGGAACTATTGAGAGTTCCATAACCCGGAAGTGGGGTCCGCCGGGCTGTACAGAGTATACCTATGGGAGTGTCGCCACTCTGCTCTGGCCGGGACGTCCCGTATTTGGGCTAAAAGAGGCGCGTCGCCGCGCGGGTAAATGCTAAAGCTACATGCTGCTCCGGAGGGGGATTTTGTCCCCCGCCGGCGGAGTTGTCGGGGAAGAAGCGAGCGGCTAAAATACGGGAGGATCCGGTAAACCAGCGCGGATTCGGTGTGTTTATCAAAGCGTGGTGGCCGTGCTGAGGCACCGGGGGAATTTAGGCTAAACAGTAAGTCAAAATAAAACGTTCATACTTACAGATGCCACGTTTGTAGTAGGATCACGGATAGTTGGTATGGATCCATTCTTTATCTTCAGACATCTAGCAAATCCAGCATTGATCTGTCCCTCGTTGATAAAACAGTCCGAAGTGAAATGGTGCGCACGTACGTACAGATATGTTGCAAGTGCCGGGTACATTCCCATTATAAATAAAATCCACCCATTGAGTCCTCAAATCCTCCGACGAGGGAGTTTTCAAAAGAGTTTTGTGCTCGTTTGTGCAGCCAACAACAGAGCAAACGCTGCCTCTTTTTCAGATCGTACTTTCGCCATGATTCTAACCGGAGCTATGCGAGCGAGCGGCCGGGAATAATGGCGGTGTTTTGATAATTTTGTGGGCAGGGCAGTGGGCGGCTCCATGGGCAGTACCATCAACCCGCCAGCACTGACATGACGTCATGTCCGGCCGGCTCTGCGCACACAGTTCCTAAATACGGAGATAACTAAAAAACGACTGGATGGGATTTTTTCGAGCTTCAGGGGATTGTAGCGGTTTTCTATCCCTGATATGCACCCCCCTCCCGTTAACAAAGTCAGTTTTTCATGCCATGGCCCCTTTAAAACAGTTCAGACAAATTTATTTTCACAAATTGCAAATTCTGCTAATTTAGAGTAACATATTTGGTCTCTATTGAGGTGCACGTTGTTGGTCTGACATGTATTTTCTTGTTAAATAATAGCTATTTTAATTTTCATGTTGACCCAATTAAGAATACAAACTCGTGAATAGATTGTTGTTGTTTTTTAACTGTATTTTCTTTTAAACAAGGCAAACTCATTTCCCTTGTTTTCGCTTTACTGGGCTGGTAGAATAAAGGTGCTGCAGACGTTGAGGCTCGCTTGGCTCAGGATGAAAACGTCTGAGAAACTCTTGAGAGCAGAAAGCAGTGGAACTAATGCCCTCACAGCCCGCTCACAGACGCTTTGACTGCCTCCTGTATGGCAGCACTCTGCTCAATAGACCGCTGACTTCACCCAGTTCAGCCCTTAGTCAGATCGCTTGATCCAGTCCCACCCAAATGTGAACAGCTTTTGTCACAAGTGAAAAAAGGCCTTTTCAGATCCCTTTTTCCATCCCCCTCTCTCTATTCCTCCCTCCCTCCTTCCCTCCCTCCTCAGCATCAAGTGCAGGCTGCGCGGAGCGTCCCGGCTCTGACTCTCTCTCAGCCTCTTTGAAGAAGCGATGAGGAGAAGGAGTTGTCTCCCTGCTGATACCAGGACGTCTGGGATGCACTAACCCACGTTTGTTTTCCTCTGGGATCATATTTGTATATTTCTCCGGAAAACAAACAATACCCGGAGGATTTGGCGTATCCATCAATCGGATGCAAGCAGGTAGAACTCCTTTGTCTTTATCCAACTTCTTATGATCTTTTTACGCATCTGCAACGGAATAACTTCTATTTTGGGATTTTTTTTAAAACTGTCTCATATTTTTTTCATGATTTTTAATCAACTTTGTCAGTTTGATAACTCTTCTGTGTGTGGATGCATTTTTTCTCCGAGTTATTTAATCGGATTTTGTTGCCAAAGGGAAGCACAGCACTCCACTTAAAGTCAATACTGGAGCAGTTTAGTTGCCATGATTGAATTAAGGCGTCTTTATTCAATTACTACATCAGATCTTTGCCATTCAAACCTTTTCTCACTGAATTTATTGTCACGTTTTCTCCTGAATTTTCTAATGCAAGTTGCTGGGAGATTGAGTGCTTTTCACACTGCATTGACTGAAGTGGTCATTTTTATTCATTAAATGAAAAGTTGCTGTTAAAAGATTATTTAGGTATTTTTGAATTTCATCTCAATTTGAAATTTTCTGCAGAATTTTATTATCATTGTAATCTATATTTGTTTTCCTGTGTAACACTGGGAGTTCTGCACCTATCTTGCTTGAGTTGGTAGACAACTTTTTTTGTGTGAAATGGCCCTTTTTAACTTGGTGTTGAACTAGACAGCAATTGCACTGAGATGGGGAAGGAGAGTTGTTCCACAGCGCCATCCTTTGGCCACTGTTTTCTCCAGGGTCTCTCTCTCTCTTCCTGTGACTTCCTCCTCTGAGGGGTAGTGAGGGCACAGCTCCTTGTTCAGCTGACTGCTGTGGAAAAAAGCTCAAATGTGCACTTTCTAGGACCAAGAGCCATCATGGCAGCATATCAGTTTCCACCCTGTGCAGAATAATTATAGGCTTTCTGCTGGATTCGTGTTATGTCTGAGTCCTGCTGTGGGAGTGTTAAATTGAACCAAATCAGAGGGTCATTTTTTTGTAGAGTCATTTATTGAGCCTGTTTTACAGCTCTTGTGGGCTTGTACTTAATTACCGTCTGTTGGGGGCTGGTTAGATGCTGGCCACTGGGTATGTTTTATTGGACACTGTGTGGCAAACTCAGTCCAATCTGTCTTCTTTCAGGCTGAACTCAGTAAGATGGCAAAGCACTTACTCAGATATTAGGTTTCAAATCAAAAACTGGATCAGACAGTCTCATTTCTTATACACCCAGTGTGGATGATGAAGCAGTTACCTGATTCACAGATGGTTCTAGGTCTCCTGGGAGCCTTGCTAAACCAGCCAATGCCTCATTTTTATGCTGCACTCATGATAAACTGACAGGGAATGTGTGGGTGTAGACCTCCTGGCCAATTTGAGCTTCCCCCCACAAAGGTTTGGATACCCTTGATGTGATCCTGAATGTCACACACCAGTTTAACTCCTCACATGGCTAGTATGAATCTTTCCCTAGAGTCTTTTTAGTTCAGCTATCTGTTAGATTTGCTTTGCAGCTCCAAACTGCTCAGTTATCCACATCCAAATGATTTCCTCTTTTCGGTTTGGAACCAGCCTCTCTGACTTCATCATCACCACAGCCATGCTGAGAAAAAGAAGCTCTGCTGCTCTGTAGTTCAGTGATGGTCTGCTGGATCTATTAAAATTCAATCAAAGCGTAACTTTCTTTATTGGGCTATCAGGATTGTTGGCAACGTCACAGTCATGGAGTAAAAGCATGAAGCAGCAGACTGCCTGAAGCCTGCACAGTCTCTGTGCTTCATGTCATGTGTATGCATGGACAAGGAGTGAAGTGAAACTCAGGAAACCAGATATGGTCATTACTGAAGGAGAAGGTTAACCATTGTGGCAAACCTCCAAGCCACTGTCTCAGCCTGTTCAGAGGATCAGGGTTCATCTTCTCCTCCTCGCTGCCCGCAGCCTCCAGTCACACTTAAAGAGACGTAAATCTCTCCTTGACCACACAGCTGATGTATTCAGTGTAGAGAAGCTCTGTGTGATATTATATACAGGCTGCTATGTCTTCATAAAGTGGTAACTTCAATCGTTTTTTCTGCAAACTTGAGCATTTTGAGGAATGTTGCGTTTTTAAACAAATTAGACTGTCTTGAGGGTTTTCTGTTGCCACAGACTGCTGAGCTCCCTCAGTGACAGGGTGAAGGATTAGCAGGCAGTGCTGTTACAGTACACTTGGGTACACTGCCCCCCTGTGTCCGTGCATGGTACTGTTTTTTTTTTTTTCTAGTCTGGGAGTCATCAGTCAAGATATAAAACTATTTCACAGTTTTTTTTCTTTTCTTGCCTTTTACTCATGATGACCTTTTGTTTTAGATAGATAGATAGATAGATAGACAGATAGATAGATAGAATTCTCTGAACTACTATGTCTGGCCTGACTGTTGATTATTCATTTTTTTCTCCTCTCGAGTTTCTTGAACGTAAAGATGATATAAATTTATCAGATTATTATTAGATTTTAAAGCTCCTGTGAGGAACTTTTTTTGTGCACTTTGGCGCCCCCTTGTGGTCAAAACAGTCTTTGCTTATCTTGTCCTCTACATATTTTGGTTATGAGTCTTTATGGATAGATGTATATGGAGATGTAAAAACAGGGCTATTTCTTCTGCTGCTTGGCAGTCACACTAGTTTTAGGCATTAAATATCATGATAGAAAATTCCTCAGTCATGTTGTTTAGGATCTTATTTGCTTCTGAATATCATAAAATAGTATCAAAATGAATTGAAGTATATTTCACAGATGTCAAAAACGCCCCATTGGAGCTTTAAAAAATTTTTAGAGAATCAACAATAAGCCAAAACAACTGAGTCATGATAGGAAAACTGTGCTTGATCAGAGGCTGTTAAGTAATGAAGGACTGTCAGGAAAACTATCATTGGGGTGACAGGAGGTGGGAATAATAATTAAATGCTGATTGTAGACAGAGCTGTCACCTGTTACAGTAAACACATTCACTGCAATAAGCTAATTATTTCTGTGACCTCCTTTTTGGTCAGGAGCTCAAAGGAGGTCCTTTATCAGTCCTCATCCACGCCAGCAGCTCTGTCAGACTTTTTGTAAATGTTATTCTGGATATTATTACTTTATCCTATATTCATGCCAGGAAGCTAACATTCTTACTGCTTGCTGCTATCCAGTCTTCTATCAAGGCTTGTGGGAACGACCTTAGTTTTCTGTTTGTCATATTTTGTCATCAACCAAAGTACAACTGCATTTCACACACTGAGTTTTGACAGAATTGTGATGTGGCTATAGGACAGTAGGCCAGGTGATCAGCACAGAAGCTAATCACAGTTGTTGACTGGCTAGATATGTTAGTGGATTTATAAAGATTTTAGGGCACATCTTGTAGGAATCTTGAACTTTTGTTGTGATCTGTACAGTAGACACAGAACTTTAAAGCACAAATCTTGAGGTGGTCCATGTCGTAGTGCCAGCTGCCCATGCTTCTTGAGTATACACATTGTCTAGGCGCTATTGACGCTTTTCTATGTTTTTAATTATGTGTTATCATATGTATGTTGGTGTGTACATATGAAGGTAGGTGAGAACTAATATGGCAGAGGGCGGTTAAGGGATGTCAGAGCGTACTGAGTCTTCTCAAGCCAAAAAACCTGTGAAGGAGGGTATCTTGCTGCCCATCTGTCCCCATCTCTACTTATGCATGGTCCTTAGAGTACATAAGGGGTCATGTGGTGGGTTGTATAACTTATCACAGAGCATAGACATAGATATGGGTTTTACTGAGCACTGTCCATTAGCATGCTCATGCCTTGCTTATTTCAAGTGCTATGTCGAGGAAAGTTATCAGCATTATAGATGCAAAAGTAAGAGTGGGATAAGTCCTCTGGGGAGTGAACATAGAGCAAGTTAAAAATATGTAAAAAATATTTCATGGTATTACATCCAGTAGTTGAAATACTGTATGTCGTCCTGGACCAGTTGCATGTTCAGTAATACAAAATCTTGAAAAGTTACCCTAAGTCTTCTCTCTATTCTTAACATTTCAGAGCAAGGCCCAACTTAACGATGGGCCCCATACCCCTGAGTGTGCTGCTGCCGCTGACGGTGCTGGCTGTGGTGGTGGCTGTTGCTGCAGAGGGGAATGCTGTGGATGACGAGTACACTTGGCCACAGTGGAAGGTGCCTCTGGTAAGGAAAAGACGCACTGTGCCGCTCAGCAGCCCAAACTTCTCTGCTCATGCTCAGTCTGAGCTGAGTGGGACCTGTGGTATAGAGTGCCAACGTCGCCTCCCCGCCGCCTCACTGGATGACCTGGAGCAGTTCCTGTCCTACGAGACGGTTTATGAGAACGGTTCACGCACATATACATCAGTATCAGTGCAGGGCCTTAATGAGGTGACCGCCTGGTCTGGAAACGCCTCGTCCAGCTCCCGCCGCAGACGAGAGGTCTATGGCACAGATACTCGCTTCACCATCTCTGACAAGCAGTTTTCAACCAAGTACCCCTTCTCCACCTCGGTTAAGATCTCCACAGGGTGCTCTGGGGTTCTCGTGTCACCCAAACATGTGTTAACTGCTGCCCACTGTATCCACGACGGGAAGGATTATCTCGATGGCGTGCAGAAGCTTCGTGTTGGCATTCTGAAGGAGAAGTCCAGACGAGGAAAAGGAGGCAAGGGGAGAGGAGGCCGAGGAAAGGGAAAGAGAAGAAAGGGAGAGAAAGGTAACGAGGACGGGGAGGAGAAGGAAGACAATGGTGAGAAAGGGGAACGAAGAGGGAAACAGAGAGGTGGAAAGAGACGTAGTCGACGTAGTGCTGAATCGGATAAACCTTCATTCAGGTGGACCAGGGTCAAGAAGACCCAGGTACCTAAGGGCTGGTTCAAAGGTGTGTCTGAGGGACTGGCTGCTGACTATGACTATGCTGTTCTGGAGTTGAAGAAAGCCCCCAAAGTCAAACATATGGATCTGGGTGTTATCTCTTCACTGAAAAAGCTCCCTGCTGGAAGAATTCACTTCTCTGGCTTTGATGATGACCGACCTGGAAACCTGGTGTACCGCTTCTGCTCTGTCTCTGAGGAGTCCAATGACCTGTTGTATCAGTACTGCGATGCCAAACCCGGCTCCAGCGGCTCTGGGGTCTACATCCGCCTCAAAGAGCCCGGCAAGAAGAAGTGGAAGAGGAAGATCATCGGTGTGTTTTCCGGTCACCAGTGGGTGGATGTAAACGGGGACGGGTCGCAGCAGGATTACAATGTGGCGGTGAGGATAACTCCTCTTAAATATGCTCAGATCTGCTACTGGGTCCACGGGGACTCAAGCGAGTGCCAGGTAGCTTAATACAACACAGGAATCCCTCTAAACCACCAAGCTATCCCTCTCCCTCTGACCCTCCTTTTTGTAAAGGACACCCAGACTACTCCCACCCTCTCTGTCACCACCAACCCGGGGCCCGACGACTGCCTCTCCTCCTCCTCCTGCCTCCTTATTACCTCCTGTGCCTCCCAGTGACTTTTGCTACACTGATCTACACAAACACACACACACTTGCACACTCAAACACACACACCACAAACAGCCATACAGACTCAAGAGACCTGTGGCTCTTCAGCTTTTCTAATTTATTTGCTAAAAAATAACTGAGAAAAAAAAAATGTATAGTTTGTATTTTCAGATCTTTCAGATCTGCAGTTCTGCTTTCCATTCTGACTCTTTTATATTGTCTCTTTTGGATACAACATTGGCTAAATTCAGATGGTTGTTCATCTTATAGTTAAATGAGGCTTTATACGGAGACACTGGCATTTGCAGTGTTGTGATTAAGAAGTACAGGTAATGGCTTTGATAAAACACCCGTAACAAATCATTGTAAGATTGTTGTTTTTTAAAAATAATGGTGTTTTGACATTATGTGCGTCTAGAAATGATTATTTGTGACAAATACCCTTGAAAAAGATCAATTTCTCCAACTAAAGGGAGAAAAAATGAGATTTGTGAGTCCCACATTAACGTTTCTCTGTTCCTGAAACACAGTGAAATATGCTTTCATTGTTGTGCACATAACTACATCTGTGCTGATCCGATAGACATGGTGCTAATTTAAGGAATTGTAAACTTTCTGGTTGGGGGGGCTTTTCAGAATATATTTTGATAGCCTAGTACTGTAACTATGTATTTAATGTAAGGCTACATATGGGTTGTGTCACATGATCCATATCATCTATTACTTGAGCTGTTGAGATTTCTTTAAATCTAAGGGATAAAGATTGTAAAAGTTAATATTGTGATATGATGACAGATTCAAATCTGGGATGTGATTTTTTTTTTGTTTTTTTTTTTCATGTTGTTTATGTTCCAAAAATGCATACGAGTATCCTTTGAATACCAAATACCTGAATTTCATGAGGCGGATTGAGGACCAACATCCATTAAAACAAGATTACAATATATCTGTGTGTTTGTGTGTGTGTCCGTAACTGATCTTTATTACAGAAGACATCCGCTGTTAAGCTCTGTGTTGTGTACAATAAGATTCTCTGCCATTTAAAGAGACAGTTTTAACGACATAAATAAATTATATTAACATTATTCTGTTGAAATGTTCCAGGGCCCCAAGCAGGTGCAGAGCAAGTGTCACATTGCAAGGAGGGCTTTACGTTTTTGTTTTTCGCCATCAGTCTGGCGGTAGGCCCCTTTGTAAACTTGGGTCCGGGGCAGCCGCACCCTCTTTGAGCCCTCAGGTGACACTGCGTCAAAAACAGGTACGACTCCGTAGTGGAAGTCACTGCATGGGCCGGAAATCATCTCATAAAACCAGTGTCTGTGATTACAGTTCTTAGTTAGCACCATCCACAACTGCAGGTTAAGAGCTCAAGGTTGTTCAGTGCAAAAAGAAAACCATATAATAACATGTTCCAAAATGCTAATGATGTGCATTGGCCGAGTAATGTTATGTTAGACTGAGGTGACCAGTAAAACTGCTCTGTGGTCTGATCAATCAAACATTTTGTCTGGGATTTATGGATGCCATAACATCCACTCTTGTGAGGTGAGGGGCCATTAAACCCTCATTTATATAACAAAATACTCCTTAAGCTTGAGGGGTCCTCAAAGGAATGGGGCTCTGTGAGAGGAAAGTCTGGTCATCTAGATTGGAAATAAAGAAGCCTCCATGAGCAGTTCAATCCATTGTTGAATTTATTGCACCTCAAAGGGCTTACATGCACTGGGGAGGGTCATCAAAAAATAAAATGAATTTACAACTAAACAAAAATACAATTTTAATAATTCAGCCATGAAAAATGTTAATAATCTCCCATTTTTTTCTCTGAATCACAACATATTCTCACAACCAATTGCTTTTCAGTCCATAGAAATGACAACACAGAGTAAACTTTACATTAGTCTGATTTTACAGCACAGGACTGAGGACCCTGCTGTTACACAGATGTCCAGATGCATATCAACATGTTGAATTTATGGCAAGTCTTGAGGGACAGAGGGGCTTTCTGTGAGGATGCTTTTGGGGGACAAGACCAAGGCTAGCTGGGCTGCGGCTTCCTGTTGATTTAAACAATGTACACATCACTCCCATGTGGCCACTCACAATATGAATACAGTTCAACTGACAATGAGCCAAAGGTCAGCAACAATAAAATCAACAACTTCAACAAAAAAAAAAAAAAAGTTCAGACAACAATCAAACATGAACTTTTTATCAAATTTGATCTCATTAAATATTGTTGAAGCATCAGTGCACATGTAAACACGGTCAGGACTGGAGACAGGCTGGGAACACTGACGTTTAAAGGTACCCTGTGGGGTTTTTGACAGCATGATGTACTTTGATAAGCAGTCCCCTGTTTGTAAACACTGTAAAAGTTTCCAGGATGAGCCAACATCTCATGTTTGAATACGCAACCAATACAGGAAACTCTCCAATCTAATCTAACAGAGTGAAAAAATGAATGTACAGAAAATTTTGTCTTCAAAAGAAGAATTATACAGGGTACCATTTTAACTTTTCAGATTGGATTTTTGAGGGTTAAGTCTGGGTCATCGGTTCAAACCATACATCATTATTATAAGGTTTAAGTTTTGGTCTGACGTGTCTGAACATAGAATTTGGTACAGCAATAAAAAATCTTACTCTAAATACAGAAATAACCATACTGACCTGTTCATAATTACAATGAAAGCACAGGCAACAGACAAAACCACATGGGGAGTGTCAAAACTGCAGGTAGACACTTGGACAGTTATACTGAAGGAGAGTTCGCATTTAGCTCTGTGATAAATAACTGAAGTAAGTTGTAGGATATGTCCTTTTATAGTTTTGCCAGCAAATATTAACAGCAGTTTGAGGGATTATCAGAGGAGAAACAATACATTTAAATAACATCAGACAGAGAGATACAAATGAACATTAAAAAAAACTGAGCCATGAGTTAAAAAAAAAAGAAACAAAAAGGATCACTTCCTGGTCAGATATGACTCAAAGTCCATAAACGATAATGTACAGAAAAACGATCATTTAGCTGTGTCTGTTTTTGATGCCAAACACTTTGAAAAGATGACGGGAAATAGAGGGATACTCACACAACTTCTTAGAATTTCATGTCAGATTCACATTAATATTTCTCTTCAACAGACATACAGAATAGAGACGTAATCCTTGCCAGAGTTATCTATGTACATCAAAGAGGGCTTTTCTGTAAACAACACGTGACATATTTTGTTGAAAATCTATCAGGGCTTTGTGTACCCCTCCCATCCAACCAGAGATTAACAAACAGAGCTCCCCCCCTTTCACAAAGAGGCAGAGCATGTGTCGGCCAGTGGGTTTAAGGTCACCAGAGCACTTCCATTCAACTCACTACAAAAAAGAAAAGCAAACATTTACCCCCTTTCTCCCTTTCTCTCGCCTAATTCGTGTCATTTTTTGTCAGGGTTTCGAGTGATTTTCTTTTGACAAGAGATTAGTACATCTACATAAGCACACACTTGTATTTTTCCTCATAGATATATTATCTGCTATGGTTCACTTTCACAGTTTGTGCTACAACATCATCACACAGGAGACGGGTGGGGTGTTGATGGGTGGGACGGATAAAAGAGGCTCTTGTAAGGTTGAGTAGCTGAACATCCCTGGCATCCTGAGGTGTTACCAGACACCAGGTAAAAGGTGAGAGGGCTTCGCTCCACATAAGAAAGCAGCTGGAAGAAGAAACAGGAAGCATTTCAAAAGAGAAGTCATGCAGCTCTCGTGTTTACGGTTTTATTGGTATAGAGAGAAACAACAGAGTTTCTCAACTTTTTCAATGAAACTACAGAAACTGACTGTTGAAGATGAACTCATTGGCTTCTAAACAAATGAAGGTTTGAACTATGTTTTTTTTTTTTTGCTTGACTTTCTTTGAGTTTTTTTTTTTCATCTTGTACAACTCTAAATTCTGACAAAGCTGGAACCGCTGTTTAGATGTTAATAAAAACAGATTATGATTGAAAACCCAAAAATTCCAATAAAGTTTTGATAGGGCCAACAAAACACTGAGAATTTTATATTTAATACTAAAAAAACACCAGCAGGAGTATCTCCCAACTAATAAGATACATTTTCAACAGGTTATTAACATGACTAAAGGCCCAGCCTCCAGAAAGACCACGTCTTTTAAAAGTATAAAAAAAAGAAGTGACTCCACACTCTATGAAAGAGTCTGTGAGCAAACGTTTTGAATGACTAATGTTTCTTAGCATAAACTTGCAAAGCATTTCAGATTTGTATCATCTAGGGCTCATAACATTACTAAGAGAATCTGGAAATATCGGCATGAAAAGGGAACAAGGCTGAAAAACATCACTTTTGGACATGATCCTTAGTCCTCAGGCAGCACTACACTGAAAACAGGATAACTCTGTGGTGGAAATCACTGCATAGGCTCAAGATTGCTCCCAAAAATCTGTTTTGTGTTCATAGTTTGTCACTGCATCAATACATTTATGATAAAGTTATAAGAGTACCATGCAAAGGAAAAACCACAAATAATCGAAAAATGATAATGATTTAGCTGGGCTTGAGTTCAGTCAAGATGGACTGAAGCAAAGGAGAAAGCCTATGTGGACTGATGGTTACAATTTAACTTTCTTTTTAGAAACTATGTGAGCAAATATTTTTTCACTGGAACAAATTACAGATTTTTTAAAAAACATTGACAGTCTGCCTTTGTACCATTGTTGATTTATAATGACGTTTAAATGTTTTGCAAAACATCACAATGTGTTTGTCAGCAGCTTTTTTTCCAGCATTCCAGTGAGGATGCTATAAAAAAAAGTGCTGGAAAAAATTCTGGAATTAGGGTCATGATTCAAAAACAAAAACAACCTGTACATACCCTAAACTGTCACCTGGGGCGTTATAAGAAGTCCTTGAGGTCGAGTTCTGCCAAAGGGTCCTTGGGTTTCTTTGGACTTTGGCTTGCAGGTCCTGGAGAGAGCTACAAAAAAAATAAAAAAATGTTTTTATGCTCAGTTAAAATACTTACACTAATAATTTTCAGGAATTCATGGATCTTTTAACAAAAATCATCAGCTGATCAGAGCATCAGGAGCAGTTACCGGTGCTCCTGGTGCAGCAGCTCCGGGTGCAGCTCCAACCACCCCAGTGAAGGGAGGTCTCATCATGGGCTGTCCCATCATGGGCTGTCCCATCATTGGCTGCATCATGGGAGCTCCAGGCCCTGCCGGCGGCTGTTTAGAGAGATTCATACAGTGGATATGAGTTTCTAAATGCACACTGACAAATTACTTGATGCCTCTGAAACAGTCATTACTGAAAATGCAGTTTTTGAGTAGCAGAAAAGTTGGTAACATCTTGCAGGAAAGATGAGCTCACCATGCCGAAGCCAGGCTGCGCACTCATTGGTGGCACCATGGCTGCACCAGGTGCAGCAGCTACTGGTGCCCCAGGGGCTCCAGGGGCAGCTCCAGCCTGAACACAAAGGAAGAAGCGTATGGATGAGCAAAAGCAGAGCTACAGCTTAAAGAAAAACAATTCTTTCCTATTGTTTGCAACATTAAAGACAGGAAGAGTAGTTTGTGAAATGTTTGTAATACAAGCATCTAGCTGCATCTTCTGTCAGTGGGTGTTGATGAGTTCTGAACTGTTATTGCGATCATCCGGCTTTTTCATGTTGTGTCAACTCAAATTAGTGAGCTGTCCATACTAGTCTTACCATGGGTGCTCCTGGTGTTCCCCAGCTCGTGGGTGCTACCTGTGGCATCCAGTTAGCACCTCCTGTCAGCTTCTTCTCACCCATTGGGTCCCTAAAGAGAATGTAAGATATCATTCATGAGCATTTTTTGTGTTTTTTTCCTAGTTGTTTGGGTCAAACGAATAAAATATGAGGGTTACTCAAACTTTTTTGACTATTTATTTTATTTATATTGACTTTAATTTTGCAACCCAGACACTAAAAGCCATAAAGCTGCATTTAGCACAAAAAAAAAAAAAATTGTAATTTTTTAAAATGCACACACTTACTTTTTCTTTACTCCGAGGTCTGAATTAAAAAACAAAGATTAAAACAAGTTAAATCCACAGATAAACTTTTGATTAAAAACAGAAACAACTGAGCCCTGGACAAGAGAAGCTGGATCTTACCTCCTATCAGGTTGGCCAGAGAAGAATCGAGGTCTCCTGCGATGGTTTTCGTAGGAGGTGGCGTGGCAGGGGGAGCGGCTGCGATGCCTCCCGCTGCGACAGGAGTTCCCATGCTTCCTGCTGTGCTTCCGGCTGTGCTCCCGGCGGTGCTCCCCCCGGTGCTTTGGGGCGTCACAGCAGGCATCAGCAGATCGCCTAATCCACCAAACACTTTTGGTGAGAGTGGGAGTAGTGGGACACCAGAGAAACAACACGGATTAAAACCCAACAAATCCAGAATCTGGCTTTAACCGGAACAGAGGAATGACAGGACTTTACAGTGAAGGGGACGCTCCAGCTGTGTCAGCCTCAGCGGTCAGCTGTGCAGTGCATGCACCATGTAGGGCTTTACTGTAAGAGTGTGTGAGCATTCAAAGGATCAGGATCATTAATACCGCAGCTATTAACACTTGGCCAGATGGTCAACCAGTTTGTAACACATCTCAAGAAATCACACTGGCTGGTTTTGGTTGCTGCCCTGGTTTTTGAACCAGCTGTCATCAGAGCCAAAGTGTTAACAGGTTTTCATTCCAACACTTGATTTACTGAGGTAGTGCCTGAATACCCCTTCATCAAAACCACTTGTCTTTAAAAATGAACAAGTTATACATTGTTACATGAGCTTCATTTACAAATGACCCTCTATCTATCTATCTATCTATCTATCTATCTATCTATCTATCTATCTATCTATCTATCTATCTATCTATCTATCTATCTATCTATCTATCTATCTATCTATCTATCTATCTATCTATCTATCTATCTATATACAAAACCGTGTTTGTTACTCGTTTGTCTGTTTGTATGTGCAACTGTAGAAAGTGCATGATGGCGCCTTCACAGTGTGCTCATACTGAGCTCACCAAAACCAAACAATTTTCATGTTCAGGTGATTATACCCTCACCTAAACATTTGTATAAATAATGGATTCCACTTCTACTTCATCCGTTTCGCTAAATGCAGCTTAATTTTTCAGCTTTACAGTATTTTCATGAAGCATCAACACCTGCAAAATAGAGTGCGAGCAAACACACTTTACCTTTGGTTCGATTTTAGTACAAGTACCCTGAGTACAAAATCACTGCCCTGAGGAAAATATATGTTGTCAACAGAAGTTGGTAGATTATTCACATCGAGCCTTTTGAAAAATGTTCCACCTTTGAAACATTTCTCCACACTGTTATTTCAGATCCTTTATCAGAGCTTTTAAGGAGCTGGTGCAGCACCTTTGGGTTGGAATGAGAACCTGTCAGTTCTGGAGCAGATATACGCCGTGACGATATGTGGTTACTTAGGAGCCTCTGCTCTGTAAGAGCAAGGGCAAACTCAAATGCATTGTATAAAATTGAAAGAAAAATCATACAGTTTATTTTGTATCTCGTGCAGGAGGCATCCAGGGGTCAACCGCAACATGCAAAGATGCTGAAAAGGAAATTTATTCAAACTGCACATGCTGCAATTCACTGAGTGGTTAAACTCACCAATGACAGATTAGAAGAAGCAAGCAATGACCCAGCAGAGTGGAAGGGGTGAAAGGTAACAATAAGAAGAGAGAAGAAGAGAAAAAGTGTGTAGCATAGAAAAGGAAATTTAAGCCAGAGGGATATATATAGATAGAAAGAGAAATTAAAGACACAGGTGCAGTGAGGGGGAGGTGAAGAAAGCACAGCAGAAAGTGTGACATTTGAAAAGAGAGGAGATTGAAAAATAGAAGAAAAATTATTGCAAGAGAGGCAGCAGTGCTAGAGTTAGCAGTCAGCAGAAACAAACAGGACAGTGACAGCAGCACATGTCAGTGTGTCGTTCATGCGGTTTCTGAGTTCTCAGCAGGACAAGAAAACAAGGTCATGGTTACAACAAGAGCTCATCAGTAAACCAGATCGGATAAATATGCATCAAGCAAGAGACCTGTGCATTATAAAGTAAGGTTTTAAAATCCTCTGATATTCACATTCACATGGCATGACTATGAGACAGAGAACTTCACTGAAACAACAATTAGAAAAGAAATCATGATCCGCTCACTTGAAGCATCAAAGCCACCAGAGGGTGCTGGTGTGGTGGTCGCAGGTTCTGGTGCAGCTACTGGTACAGGGGGAGTCGGAGAGGGAAGTGAGCCCAGAGCATCAAAACCCGACTCGAGCAGGTCGTTCTGCACGGGAGCTGGAGCCAAGGCAGGAGCCAGAGAGGGTGCAGCTGTGGGAGCCAAGGTGGGGGACATCAGGCCTGTGGGGGACACCAGGACAGGTTTGCTGCTGTGACTTCATATAAAGCTCCTTTTATTTTTGTCGTCTCACCTCATTAAAATTTGATGTTCAAATAAAACGTGATTACTGACATACAGAAGGCATGAGTCAACATGTAATTAAATCAATTTAAAGTAATCGATGTGGAAAAAACAGACTCTGGACCAGAGCTTTAATAAGGATGTAAATATTTCTACCACTATGGTAAAACGAGGAAGTGTGCAGCGCACAGACCTTCAGTTTTATGTCCAAGTGCAGGAGCTCTATGGCGGCTCATCATAACTTAAGGCTGGGTGCAAACAATGCCTGATATTTGATTTCTGTTATCTGTATTAATGACCAAACATGTTAATGTCCTATATCAGGGATGTCAAACTCAACCACAGCAAGGGCCATAATCTGGATTTAGGTCTAACCTGAGGGCCAAACAGGGTCAACATTTCACCAAAAAATATGTAACAAAAACAGCAATTATTATACATCATTTGGAAATTCAAGGAAGATAAAAAAGATAAGTTTAAAGGCAATCTGAGATAGAAAAATTGATTTTATTTCAATTTTCTAACTATTTTTATTTATTAGTTTAAAAGATCAGAGCATGATATTAAAAATAGAAAAATAATGCTTTAAAGAGCAAATATATGAAGAGAACATTAAAATCAGGTTTAAAAGGTCAAAATATGACTTAAAATCTAAAATTGTAATCTAAAGCATAAAAATGACACAAGACTAAATACTGAGTTGAACAAAATCAAAGCATGAAATTAAAAATCCAATCATGTTTGACTTGTAATCTTGAAATGCAAAACTAGAAACATGAAATAAAACACTGAATATTTCCCCCCACATTCTTGACTATTTATCAAATCATTCTTACTCTTTAATTTCCCAGATTTTCGTGGTTAATTAAGGACATTTTAAATAATTGTGCTCAAGTTTACATTATTACACTGGAGGAAATCTGCAAACTTCATACTGGTGGGCCAATAATAATACAAATATGAGATGATCTTGTGGGCCAGATATAATTGTTCCACAGGCCAGATTTGGCCCCCGGGCCTTGAGTTTGACACCTGTGTCCTATATGATACAAATCTTCCTGGATGTACAAAAACAGGGCTAAAGATGTGGACATGACATCACCACAATGCCATACCCGCTGGTCGTTTTCTAGAGATCTTTAAATGAGTCCGAGGCCATTTTGCCTCTGCAGTCTAACGCAGTGTGAACAATCCTGCCAAGTCAGTGTCATTATTACTTTGAGTGATGCACACATCTTTACTGAATGCATAATTTCTTAATCAGCATTAAACACTTCTGTCTGCCTCCAGCCAACATAAAATCTCTCTGCTAGATTACTGCTATCTCCAGACTTTTTATTCCACTCTGATTAACATAGAAATACTTCAGAGTAACCGCAGTCAGAGGAGTCTCACCTCCCAGCAGGTCGTCTCCAGGCCCTCCAGGAGCAGAACTCTGGGTCTCCTCAGTAGGACTGCTGAAAGTGTCTGCAGGGTCATCCAGTTATCCACAAAGCAGCATGGAGGGCAGAAAGGGGTAAGAGGTCAGCCCTGGACCACACACTAGGACATGGCGGGGGTAGGAGACAAAATTATCTTCACAAAGAAAGGTATAAAATAAATGAGTATTAAAAAACATTGAAGGGGGAAAGAGAACGATTCCTGATTGTGATGGAAATGTTCAGGTTTTCTTACCAAAGATTCATGGGCCAAATCTATCAATGACCAAAACTGTGCCAAAGCATGGCACTGATTCAGACTGAATGGTGATACTATCATAATAAAATACCACAGATTACTTTGCTAGCACAGTAATCATGCTAAACATGATGACTGTTGTTTTGCTAGCATAATGTCATTAGCTCTGAACAAAGCAAAACGCCAAAGCGAGTGTTAATGTCATATTGGGGATATTTGAGAAAAACAAGAGACGCGGGGTAAATGCTCCTACTGAGCGATAAACGGCTATTAGAAGTCTAGTGTTTTTTTTTCTTAGACTTAATTTCAACCGTCTAGATTCTGTACATTTTTAGACAGAATTTAGACGTTTCACTTTAACCCATTATTCGATAACTATTTATTTCAAATAGCAACTGTGAGTTGCATAACTGATCTCCAAGTACTTAACCAAAATAATATTGATGATAGCCGTTGAGCAATATGAAGTGTAGTATAGATATAGCCCAGATTTAGATTCAGTCTAAACTTGGTCTAAATTTAGAAAAACTTTCATTTTTTGACCTGTGGTAGCCTGATTCTAGACCAGTCGTCTAGGCTACATTTAGACGTCTATTAGACCTCTTTTAGGCCACATAATACTCAGTGGGCTGTCTTTGCATGAATCAGCTGAATTTGATCTTTTGAAGGCATTATGATTTAAAGCTAATAATTAAAACTAAATTATCTCTGCATTGCAGGCGGTGATTGATTTGCAAAGGAAATAACGAAAATGTAAATTTTGTATTGGATCATTATCCTTAATGTGCCAAAAAAAAACATCAATCTTTCCCAGAAATGAATTTCACTGAAACAGATGTCTATTCATTTTCTGTGTTTTCCCTCGGTAACACTGAGGCCCCTCTGATGAAGACTGAATGACTAGTTTTTTTGTGTATACAGAGTTTCATTAGCATGGTTTATTCCGCTCAGCTAACGGCTGTTGAGATATCGAACTATAATACCAAAAATACGAGCCTCAGGATGGTTTAAGGATTTGTCTAGACAAGCTACATTAAAAAATCTGGGGAGGACTGTGAACTATTGTTCTAGCTTAATGAACTGTCTACAGTCTAATCCAGACACAGCTGAAGCTACTTGAACAAACACCTAATCTATCTCTGAATCTACAACAAAACAACTAAGAGCTCAAACATCCATCGATAAACTTACTGCAACAACAGTTGAAGATAAAAAAAACACCAAGAAGAGAAAGTACATTTTAGTTTTACATCAATCACAGCAGTTTATATTGTCAGGAAACTGTGCCCTTCAAAGGTGTGTCTGTTCAGTACCCAGCAGGTCGATGACAGGTGCTGGCTCTGCTTTGGGAGGAGAGGAGGCTTCTGGGACAGGAGCTGCAGCAGGAGCAACGGCTGGAGCAGGAGCAGCAGGAGCCGCAGGAGCTGGAGATGTAAATGAGTCTGAACAGAGAGAGACAGAGGCATGAAAAGAATGTAATTACTCTAAATGGCCGCGGTATTATCAGTGATGGCTTTATATTCAGGGAGAGAGGGTTTTTTTATGCACTAATGTTACACTTTTCTAAAGAGCTGGCAGACATGCAAAGAGGAAGAAAGGGAAGGAAGCAAGCATCCTGCATCTTGACTCAGTATCCTCATCCTTGGTGTGCACCATTTGAATGTAAAGGGCCGGTGTGCATGCACCAGCATCAATCAAAGCTTTCCATAAGTTGAGGATGGCTGCACTCTTCATAAATAGAGGAAGGGGAGATGGTGATGCAGCAAAAGAAAAAGCAGCTCTACTCACCAGTCACAATGTCTCCAGCTGGAGCCAGCTCGGGCAAAGGAGAGGGCCCGCGAGAAACAGCAGGAAGGTCTAATTTACCAATGCAAGCGAGAGGCAGAATACAAGAAAGAAGAAACCGTGGAGGTTGGGGAGCAAAGAAAAGTATTAGCAAGGCAGGTAGAAAGACACAGCCTAGATAGAAAGAAAGCAGCCACAAGGACAATCCAAGACTCTACAAGTGGGATTCATGCACAGATTTCAAAGCACTATGGGGCACAAACCAAGACGTGTGGGGGAAAAAGAACAGTTGACAAGAGGAGTGGACGTATGGTAACCAGAAGGTATGAAGAGGTTCCACACACAGAGAAATGGATTTCAACTCCTGTACCTGAACCAAAAAGGTCTACGCTAGGAGTGGTAGCAGCTTTGGATTCTGTGGTAGGGCTTTGCTCAGGCTTAGTATCAAGCATATCTACAAACAAGGACACACAACCATATGAACATTCAGATTTCAATCCAGTGAGCAAAGAGTAATGAGTTAAGAAGAGAGATGTAAGAGAGAGAGAGCAGAGAAAGCAGAAACTTCGATCTCAAACAGCTAAGCTCTAATGTATCTACTCAGTGCGATGCAGAAGGAAACGGTGCAGATGTTAAAAGGATGTATTGCCAAATTTAGGTGTCAAGATTTTCTTGCGTCCTTGAGTTAAATTTGATGACATGAACAGTAATGACTTTACAGTCTGTACATTTTCAAGGATGCTGTGCTTTTAGTGAACGAGTTAAAAGGTCTGTTTTTTTTCCTGAAGCATCACCTGTAAACTGAGTCCAGGACTTGACATTCACTTATTTATCATCTGGACTTCTTCATCATGTTGGAGCTCTCAAAATAAGCTCCAATCATTTCGTAAGTCTAACTCTGGGCAATAAATCCTTTTAACTTTAGTGCGTAAACTAAACTATGGCATTCCCAGCTTACAGTCTCTAAAATATTGATCACAAGCAGAAGAAGAAAACAATTTTCTTCCCTCTAAATTTAAGCAGGTTATTAGTATAAGATTAATAATGAAAGCAAGTTGAACCACCTCTATAATAGAACAAATGAATCTTCACGGCCTTCCTGCAGGGACAATAATCATATATGGAAATAGCCAGTGTTGTAGTACTACAGTGTTTCAGGACTCCTGCTCAAGAAAAATTCAATTTTTTGGAACGATACGAGCGAGCAGGAGCATCTGTTTGTGGGCGGGGCTTGGAGAGGAGGAGCTGAGGGGAGAACTGGTTGGGAGGGGTAGTGTTTACATTCAAGATTTCTCCCCAAAAATGGCGCTTCCTCAGAAACTGCTTACCCCACCTTCAACTTAAACTCTAGTGCAGATTTATATGGACTTAGACTCAATACCCTAAATAGTATTCAGTTTTGAGGAAGGGCTGGCAAACGTCTTCACCTGTACACAGTTCCTTTCAGGATGCTTAAACAGTTAACACAGACTGTGCTTTTCAAGAACAACTGAAGGGAATACCAGGACAAACTATTTCAACACCCATCTGCCAAGGATGCAACAGGGGTAAGATGCTAAAGTTAGCATACTTCGTACTGCTAGCGAGCTAATAGCATTGATTGTAAGCAACTAACTTGACTTAACTATTAAGTTCAGGACTTAGTTCTTACTGTTAGCAGGAGAGTTGCAGGTATTTCTAAGCTGCAACACACTTTTTTTTTTTGCACAACACACATGGCGCTGTAAAAATCACAGATAATCTAGATCTCCAAGTGTGCTGCCAACAGGATAAATCGGAATAAGCGGTCAACAAATTACATGTGTTTTATACACATACAAAAGGTCCCAGGAGTCAGTCTTCATCTATACAGTGACACATTGCTTCACCTTATAACAACGAGGGGTTGGTACAGCCTAAAACTAACAGGGACTGGACTCAGATTTGAGACTAATCTTTAGATTAAATCCTCCAGACTCGACTGGGACTTGAGGTTGGGGTACTTGACTACAACACTGGATATTGCGTACATGATTAGCATCACTGTATTTTAAGTGTTTCAGTTTTGCAGAGGGGTCAAGATGCTTGATTAACTTGATTAAATGGTCGGTATAAGAGGGGAAGGAATCATGAGAAACAGCAAAAAGAAAAAAGGTAAAATGTAGGACGCAAGCATGTTACTATCATCGACTCTATTGTTGCCATCTATTACAAGAGCAATGCAGTCATCATTTTCAAAACCCAGAACATCATCATCATCATCATCATCGTCATCATAATGCAGGGCAATGCAGTGAGAAGCATGATGAGAGCGCGAGGACTTTACCACCAAAGAGATCTAGAGTCGGGGTGGCTGCAGACTCTGTGGTGGTGGTGTCGGTGGTGGTTGTGGTGGTGGTAGCGGTGGCAGTGGCGGTTTCGGTAGTGGAGGAAGGGGTTGGGGCAGCGGGGGGAGCGATGGGGGCGATGATGGTCGGCGCCTCACTAGAGGAGGGAGGGGTGACGGCAGTGGCCCCTGTGTCGGTGGGCTTCATAGCGAACAGGTCCAGCTCAGGAGCAATGTCTGCACTCCCCTCCGTCGTGGCAAAGGGGTCTTCAGGAAGAGCAGAAGGGCAGTGGTGTTGAAGGGTTAGACAGGTTAGAGGGGTTTATGTTAGAAAGAAGGGAAAGGAACAAAGTGAAGGGGGGGTTGAGGGTTTGTTAAAGCAACAAACACTGTAAAAAGCATTTTTAACACTAACACTTCTGAGGCTTTAAGACAGACGTGGAGACAAAGACAGAAAAACAAGCACACGGTCGGTCACTCATAACGGTGAGCTCTGCTCCCACAAACCTTACTTTACTCATCTAATGGTCTAATCTGGCTTAATGATCTTATTTGACCCTATTCACTCACTGCAAACATTTTAATGACCCTGAAAAATGTTAATATCTGAGGTTTAGTGGCACAAGGCTGCAAGCAAAGAATAAAATAAGAAACTAAAAACAAACTGCAGACTAGAAGGGAGCAAGTCTTGTCTGTCTCTGTAAGATCCAGTCCTGAGGCAACAACTTTAAGTATCAGTGCCAGCAAAGCATAAGCTACTCGCCACTTAAAACCATGTTTAGTCATTTCTCAGTTTCTACTTCATTGAGTGATAGTATCGATAAAAAAAGAGCAAACTGACAAAAATTAAGTTTTTATTTTTAACCTGCTATTTTCGACGGAGAAAAGAAGACAGGAGGAAAGTTAAGCGTAGGTGTAGAGTAGAGTTAATGCATGTTAGTTGAGTTGTTTGTTATGTTTAATGCTGAGGTTAGTATGTTAAAGTAGAAGTAGCCAAAAGCTGAGCTCTTTATTTATCTTGGGTCACATTCACACCAGCCTTCTTTAGTCCAGTTGAACTGAACTCTGGAGCGTTTACCTCCTTGGTGCGTTTTGTTTTGATTGGTGTGAACGCTGGCCTCGAACTCTGGTGCGGACCACTCAACTGCTCTCGGGTCAGCCTGGTAGGGGAGGTCTCGGACCGCCATCAAGTGAAACTCTAAAGCGGTTTACTCCAGGTGTGAACCCCATTCGCACCAATCACAGGAAGCGCGCCTCGCAAAAAACATCGAGGTGAGCTCTCATTATCGCCTGTCGTGTTTTGTGATATGACCATCCAATCGCAGTGCGTCTCCTGCGGCATGTGTGTATTAATGCATTTGCATGGTCTGTTAAAGTCTGCTGATATGCAGTCCAGATCAGCACCAACATAAAAATGAGCAGACGATGCTCCATGATGTACGGTAAAAATTGTGAGGGATTTGTCGTCTACCAACCTAACATGCACAAGCAGGTTAGGTTGGTAGACGACAAATCCTCGCTTTGGTTCATATCCGAAAAAGGACATTTTGGTGTGAACACGATCTTAGACATCACAGAGTATGTCAAGTCACCTTCCTACTACATGTTCTTGAGAAACAACGCTATTTAATTTGTATCATCATCCTAATCACAAGGGAGTATCAGGGTTCGAGCATCCAAATCATCAATATGTAATCACTTCACTGTGCTTTTTACTCTGGTATTAACTAGGTGAATATTAGCAGGAGAAGAGTAGTTGAGATGAGGGAGGGGAGGGTCCATGACTGGGCATTAGAGCGGGATTTGGGGCGAGACAGTAGCCCTTAGGGCTCAGGTTTGTTCTACTGTCTCCTATGGAAGCAGAAGCAGCTCGCTAAAATAAAAGCAACAACAGCTTTGACATCCCCACACACAATCATCCACGCTAACACACACTCATTCACAAAAAGCTGTATGGTCACCCACCAGATCCACCAAATGCATCTGCAGCAGGACCAGCGGCCGCGGCAGCAGGACCGTCTCCTGGGGAAGGTGCAAACGCATCTATGGTATTGCAGACGTAAACAGCCGGAACGTAAACGCAAAACACGACACCGGGGGGAACAACACACCGACAGACAGATGGATGAAACGAACAAAGGATGAGTAAACAGATGATATGGACAGGAACAGAAATCAGAGGTCAGAATCAGGAAAAAGCAGAGAATACAAGAAATATGCAGCCCAGTTTGATCTGGTTATACAGTCAGTCACATGATCAGTTTTGAAGGGCTGCATAATGCTGCATTCAGTGAGTGCACTATCTGTGCAGGTCTGTGAAATGAGGCAAGTTGTCACAAGTTTCTCTGTACTCTGTGACAAGAGGGAAAATGTCAGGTTAAGGGAAGGATACGGCGGGCTGTCTGTGTCAATATGGCTTATTCAGGAGATATTAAAAACGTCTTCTAGTGAGAGCCTGGGTAAATATAAAAAACCCTCAATAAAACTAACCACCATTCAGACACATTTATGAAATTGTAAGTAAGCCATCGGGGGGAAATCATCACAGGGTGATAAACAAAAGAAGCAACAAGCAGCAAATCCCCAAAATACAAGTCATGATAGCAGATTTATCCTGTTTCACTGGGTTTATTGAAGTGCACAAGATTTGTGATGAAACATCTTCATGCTTAAACTCATTAGTGCATTTTTGCAACAGTGCAGCTCTGAGTAAACCCAGGGAAAGCAAAAATAATCCACTATTTACTCTCATATTTTTGGCATGTGCCACAGATAATGTGTTTTGCTCAGTGCTCGATGCAAAACAGAGTGTGTGAACGCCTGACGTCATGTCAGCATTCAGCACTTCAGTGCAGGTGGTTGCAACAAGCAGGATGTAAAAACTTTGGGAAAAAACAGCATAGAGACCATTGGATTTGAGTCACAACACTTTGCATCTGAATGTTTTGAATTTAATGACCATGGTTGGAGGTCATGATTATCAGACATTTATCTTTATGAGGTTTTTTTAAACGATACTCTGTAGATTCACAAGTATGATCATGTTTCTTTCCAGTGTATTACAGGTCATCCACTTCCACAGAAAATACTAAGAGAAGAAAGAACTGTATGTAGTTTCCATGTTCACTGTTCTTTGAATAACTGTGTGACTCAGATGCAATGGTTGTTCATGACATACAAACTTGAGAGTGCCATCTGTTTACCTGAGTCTTAAAATGTAAAAAACTTCAAACTTATTTCTTCTAATAATCTCTTTCTGCAAAGTGTTTCCAGATTCTACTGAGTTTTCTTGTATCAGTCAGCTCAGGGTAAATGTTTCCCCTTCAAATCTACACAAACCTGTAATCTGAGTTTCCATGGATTTAGAAGGAATGATCAAAAGGAAAGTTAAGGAAGCAGAAAAGAAAACTGAATTCCCCAACACCAACTCTGTAAAGACAGAAACCTTTTAATAGATTTCTTGAATTACTACTTTGAATCACTGCCTGACCTAGTCCTGATAAGCAGGCTGACTGCCACATTGTGTTTCCTGATCTGAATCCTATCCTTGGACCAGACTGACCTCCAAAAAGGTCGATATCTGTGACTGAGGGGGCAGCGGGGGTTGAGATGGGCAGTGAGGTGGGCACCGGTGCAGCTGTAGCTGTAGCAGTAGTGGTAGCGGCAGCAGCAGTAGCGGCCGCTGCGGGTGCAGGGGCAGCAGGAGCTGCAGGGGCTGCAGAGGCAGCAGGGGCAGCTGGGGCTGCGGCATCAGCAGCATCAGACTCCCCCTCCGCCAGGAGAGCTTCAGAGGCTTCATCGGCAGCAGCCGGAGCTGCTATGCAGGTAAACCCCATAATCCAAATACCAGGACCCAGTCACATCCCCCAGGACAGAGAAATACAGAAAAAAGAGAAGATGGAAGGAAGATGCAAGAGTCAGAAAGACGAAAATAAAATAAAAGGCTTTGGGTGGAATATTTTAGGGTGCTAGAGGTGAAAACAGTTACACAAATACTCAATAAGAAGTTCAGGTAGAAAGCCAAGTTGGAAAGTGAAAAATGAAGCGCCTTGAGGCATCTATCATATTTGGTCTGAAGCAGAGAGCTGTAGACAGAATACTCACCATCAGCCAAGAGATCTGCAATGGACAGACAGAGAGACAGGAATAAGAAAGAATAGACACTGGCACAGAAAAAAACAACACAGTTCTCTCCTTTAAAGTACCCCCACAACTTTAAAAGGGAGTTTTGGCATTATTACAATGTCTGTGTCTGATAATTAGGGTTTTAATTTTCCTGCAGGGACCGAAACTTACTGCCTGCTTCAGAAAAACTGTCCACTGTAACTTTAATGCAAACGTTTTCAAAGACTATTTAATTAGATCTAGAGCTTCTTCTTATACATTATCAATGGATTAAAAATATGTTCTCAGTATTATTCTTGAGTTTTAAATCTCTCCTCTGAACAACCATATTGTTTTTATTGGAACTGGGCATTGACTTTACATGCAGAGGTAAAGATATATTATAAAAAAAAACAGATTTCAAAGATGTCAACACATTAGTTGTTTTGTCTTTGTCTCTTTTTGAACCAAAACCACAACAGAAAATGTGAAGGAAAAGAAAACTGTAAGTGTATTCATCTGCATAAAAAAGGGGACCACTTAAACTTCTGAGGAACTGACATAGTACCAACAATAGTGACCAGGAGTAAACCTTCTTTAGAAAGCTCAACTCATCATTAATTGTACTTTAAACTCTTGTTTCATGTAAAAAACATAAAATAAGAAATAAAACAAAAATATTGTGTTCCCTGATTTTCCTGATTTGCAGCTGTTGTAATTAAAAACCTCATCATCAGCCCTTACATAACAGAGAAACAGATATACAGCACTTAGTAAAATCAACTAGGGTGGTCAGGCCAACAGAGAGAAGGTTTACCTCCCCATCCAGAAGTCTTAAGAGCGCTCCCTGCTGCTGCTGATGAGGAGGATATGGGGTCTAGATCCAACAAGAAGCCGTCATCCAGAGCGCTAAACAGAAAGAGAGGTTGTTCCTGTTTTTACTCTCCGTTTTCGACGCCAATCAGTCGAACACTTTGTTACATCATTCAGTGATTCTTACTTGCTTGCAGCGCTGGCGGCAGCAGGGGCTGGTGCAGTGGGGGTGACAGAGGGTGGAGGAGGCTTGGCTGGAGGCCCAGGGCGTGCAGGGGGCCCGCCGCCGGCAACAGGAGGGGGTGGTTTTGCGGGCGCAGCAGCAGCAGCCGGCGTGCTGTTGTTGGCTGTCACATCCTGCTGTGGAGAGGGACTCCAGTTAACACCGTGACCAACGCAGTTATGTAAGCTGATGTGATTCAACCGCTTTGTAACACATGAAATCACAGTAAATCAAAGCTTACATGTAAGTGAGAAGTTTAAGGTAAAATTGAACTAAAACAGTTGAACTTGATTTCGGCATTTTGAAGTGCTGTATAATTCTATTAGGACTGCTACTCTCTGAATATCTAAAGAGATGACTCACCTTGGTTGGAGACCTGCAAAAACAAACAAAAAAGCACATTTATTATAAGAGTTAATGCACAATGGCAGAGACAGAGGTTGGAAGTTAAGTATCACTTAATTTTATTTCCTTAAGGGAAATTTAAGCTGAGTTGGCAAATCTATCTACTAAACATCCAGGTAAATACAGCCATGCTGCAGTGCTGAGTACTAACATCCTGGCTCTGGCCCCACTTTGACAAAGCTTTCCCTTTCAACAACACTGATAGAAAGAGATGAATGTTTCTGAGCGGCATGCATCTCAAGCTTTGGTAAAGTCAGGGGTCATGATAGAGGATAAATCAATGAATATGTTAGTAAAGATGTCTGCTCAGTCCGATCGTTGTCATTGTAAAGTCTCTCAATGTCAGCAGCAGATGAAATTCTGTCAGAAATGCAAACACAGTGTTTACAGAAATAATGAACTGAGTGTGTTTTTATAGAGCTGCATCTTGAACAAAATAAATGTATGTCACAAAACTAGTCAGCCACTTGTTCAGATGTCAGTTCTATCCCATTACTGTAAACTTTAAAGGCATGGTTGACAATTGGAGAGATTGGTAAAGTGAAAGAGAAAAAATAATGGAGAAAATCCGTTCACCCTTGCAGGTGCTGGGCTGCAGAAACATTGACCAATGGGAGCCATCCATCCAGCTCCCATTGGTAAATCTCCTGCTCCGCCTCGCCATCCAATCACCTCGCTGTATTCGACACACCCCTCTCCTGTAGTTCCGACTCGTCCCCCCCTACTCTCCCGGCCTTCTTTGAAGCTCTGAGCAGCTAAAAGTAGCGTAGCAGCTTAGCTACAGGAGCTGTGATGGCAGAGTTTTTGTCGAACTGGTAATTTTTGCTGTTCAGGCAGCTGCAGATGGTGCTCGCTAGCAGAGCTGGCGTTTACTGCCAGATCCTATGTTAGCTTTATCTGCTGGCCGGCTTCTTGCTCTGCCAGAGAGGGTGTGTCGTGGGGAGGGCAATACAGGTGCAGGGGGGAGTTATCGTGGAGCGCAGAGGGGAGAGGTTTGTATGTGTGGGGGTGGGACACTTTTCAAATCTGTCTCAACGGCTCAGATTTTTTCAACTACTTCTCAGATCGTCAACCACACCTTTAATGTAACAAAAAAAGTGAATGTACCAACACAAATGATGGTCAGATAAGAGTCTAAATGACTACTTACTTATCCTCTCTGTGTTGAGAAAGGACAAAGGAAAGGCATGTTAGAGAGGCGACATTTACCAGCATGACAGACCTCACTAAATGAGCTGAATGGCTACTTAAAAAACACCAAACAAACCCAGCTGCAGGTTTGACTGTCAGGCTATTCTTAGCCAAAAATCTGACAATAAAGCTGTAAATATTGCAAGAATCTCTAAAAGTATGAGGACAGGACTACTGAAGTTTTGGCTCTGTTGACTCAAAAGTTAAAACTCGATAAAGTGAACCACTTACGGCTTCTTCCCCTCCAGCGTATTAAGATGGGTCTCCAGGGACTCCAGAAGACTCTCTGGGGCCTGCAGAAAGATAAAGTCAGCACACGTTAGAAAGGTCAGAAATGGTCACAGAAGCTGACAGGACACTTCACTGCACTCTGTGATAAAGCACAGAGTTTTATAGAGTTGGTTTGCTTCAAATTTCCCATTTGGCTTGAGGGACTACATCTAGGATTCTGCTGCAGCTTTTAATAACAGATGTTTCTTTTTTTTACTTCTGGCAAACTATTATTGGTGTCACAATTCAACATCTCCCTTTGAAATGCTAGCATACACTTGCAACATAAGATGTTACAGGCACAAGGCTCCTCTGTTTGCAAATACAAATGAATCCATTCTAGTCTGCTAAAACAGTACTACAGGATGTGTCCCTCTGGATCAATCCTCTGATAATAATCTCCCTGGTGCTGTTTTTCAAAATAATCCAATCAACATCGATTTGGCTGCATGTAGTCTTCCACGGGGCCTGCTACATTCATTCATTTCAGGCTCCAGTCTGTCACTGTAGTTGTTTTTAAATCACATTCTACTTTCCAGTGAATTTCTGTGATTTTGTGAGTTTTACTTCATCTGCTCGTAAGACATTACATCCAGCACTGTTTACGATTCTAAAACTTGCTGCGTCATTGTTGAGACTAAAAATGAGCTTTCTCCGGGGCCAGTTTGGTGATAAAATCACAACAATAAAAGTCCCTCTGTGTCTTTTACCACTGTGGTATTGGTGCATCAGTTTTACACCAGTTTATAGAGTAAAACAGTCGTAATGTCATAAAATAAACATTTGAAAACTATTCAATCAGTTAAATAAATTAATTGGGAGATATTAGTATAACACAGACATTTTCAGTCTCCTACCAGTAACACATAAAATGGAACTTAAAGAAGTGATAAGAAAGATAATAAACATGAATATAATTGGAGGAAAAAAAAACAGTGAAGGCTTAATGTTAGAAGTGAGAACTCTGTGCTAATCAGCCAAGGTGCAAAGCTACATGCAAAACCATTTAGATCATCTCATTGACATGCAGGGACAGGAACTGTGAGAGCTTTTCAAGCTAGTTTAACACTTTCTCAGCCAGTGATAAAGGTCAATATAGTCAGTGATTTAGTTCAATCTACTTTAATCTGTGTCTTTTATAATTTCCTAATCCATTTCCTGGATGTGTTTGTCCAGTTTCTTATCAGCCCTGAAAGTTTCAACAACAAGCCGAGAGGCTGTTCTTTATTGTCTTGGCACTAAAAGAGCTAGGCCGACAATTTATCATCCAGACACTTTAAAAGTCTGTCCAGTCCGTGGTAAACAATGACGATAGTTTAGCAGACAAAAGACAGACACAAGGACTCTATTAAAGAAATGCTTCAGAGTAAAACGTTCACGTCAGAGGAGAATAAAGCATCTCACTGTGAGCGCGACTGCAACAGGTCTCCAGGTGTGTGTTTGTACTTCGATCCACACTGCCATCATTTAAAGACTGTTTCCACATCTACTCTCAACTCTTGAAAAATAAGCAACCAACCGTATCTTAATAATGTCATCTCTATATAAGACAAGAGGGTGTTATTGCAGTAATATAATGATGTTATTCATCTTAGAGGTTTGAAGTATAGGAGTTGGCAGCTAAAACTGAGATTTATCCTCTCTCTTTGAAGCTTTAGGAGATTGATGTCGTTTGCTCTGTAGGACACATTAATCAGCTTTTATCACCCATGCAGAGTCTCCTCTTAAAGACAGCGGCCTCTAAAAAACACAGGTTGATCTGTGAAGATTAATGATGTCATCCTGCTAATTCATGGCAGAGCAATGCTCCACGCTGTTGCATATCTGCTAAAAAGGAAACTGTTGGCATCCTTCAAACCGAGAGAAAGATTTGTTTAAGGCTAGACGAGAGGCCCGTGAAACAATTTTATCTTTTGACACAAGCAGGGGCAGTGGAGTCAGCTGAACCAATATGTTAACATCCATTTATCTCATATTGTTTCCTGGATTTTGATGTTTTTTTAATAGAACATTTGGATATGAACTGAAAAGCTGCAGGGCTATGAGAAAAAAAGAGAAAGTAGCTTTTTAAAATTGTATTTATACAAAAACTAAAAGAATTTTATCTCAAAAGCAGGCAGAGATTAGTCTCAAAAAACAACTCCACAGGCATCTCATGAAAATGTAACACACTCTCAAGACAAATTAAAATTGTATAAGCCTTTTTTTAACTCTGTCGGGGATGTTGCATCTGTTCTTGTGCCCTGAAGAAAGTCATCGAGAGAGGAAGTGATGTAGGGGAAAACATGTAAGCTTCAAGAAAGAAAAACGATCTGTGGGTAAAAGTCACTGCTAGAGTCTGTTTGGAGGTCCAGTATCATGTTACAGGTGATTAGCTCTGACTTATACTGATCTTGCAGCAGTCCAAGTTTGTACACTGACTTGAATTCATTAAAGCAGGCCTGTTATGCTGACCTTCAGCTAAATACATACATGTCACTTCACAGTTTTGGATGCCTATACTAAATCGGAGCAAAGTTATATAACACGAAACACGGATGGTGGTGTAATCCTCAAATGTGTTTCCTGGATTTAGAACAGCTAAAATTTAGGAGCTCTGTCAAAGGCACGCCCACCCAGAAGCTAGAGAGTCTGCTTCAGTGCTCAGCTTTTTCCTCTGCTCCACACTTTGTTGATTCAGTCTGGCTCAGAGAGTCGAAGGACAGTCATTGCTATTGTCTTTTTCTAAAAACGACAGCCATAGAAAGCACCGGGAAGAATTTACAATTTGAGATAAAACAGCCATGTTGTTACTGTCTAATTAGCAAACAGCTCCTCTATAAACCGGGGCCAACATGAGCTAAGTTTGTATCTTCACTATTGCTGAAACCTGGGACTCTAAACTTTGGAATAAAACGACAGCTTACCTTTACTAAAGTGGCTAAATTGTAAGCTAGGTGGACGCTAACAGCTAGCTTTTAGCTGTTTTCTGTAAAGACTTTTTGTCTGTTCTGTGTGGTCAGTTACACATTTGTCTTTGTCTACATTTATGCCTCTACAAAAGCAGTCAGTACAAAGTGTTCCAGTTGGATGGCAAAATGAGGGTTATTAGGACTCCAGCAAAAGAAAAAAAAAAACATGATTTCTTTCAGATACATAGAGTGTAAAACCACCTGGTAGTGAAAACAAGTATAATAGCTCTCTTTTGGTTTGATTCTCTCTGAAAATTTGTCACACAACTACCATAAGTGCTTTTGGCAGTGATCTTTTTATATTTTTAAACTAGTCTTTTATACTGTTTGTTTCTTGCACTGCACTTTCTATTTTAAACTAGTTTTTTTTAATCTTTATTTATCTGTTTTTGTACCAGGTATGTGTGAAAGTGTATGTTGTGTGTACGGCTGCTGTCAACAGTTTTAATTTCCCCACTGAGGGATGAATAAAGGAGTATCTATTCTAATCTAATCTAATCATCTGTGTTATCTTTGCATTGTTTCTATGGTGATTCTGGTTCTGATATGGATGTGTTTTATACCATCAGATTTCTGAGGATTCAAATCAGACGGCATCTAAACATGCTTTTCATGCAAGTCATCCAGTCATCTGTTATCCAAACTGCAATGTCTGGAAAAGTCACGTAAGCTTCAGATGTTCAACAACAGAATAGAGTTCACAAAGCCAGGTCTGATCCGGGGAAAACCATCATGATTTAGTTTTCTTATCTGGAAAAACATTTATCAACAATTTCTGGTCAGAATTCAGGAATCAGTAAAGCGAAAGTGACTCTATCTGTTATGTGAACTCTGGAGCACGGTTCAAAAAAAACAATCTGCTGCTTCTCAAACAGCTTCTTAACTAAAACTATGTTTAGCTCAGAGTTACAGCAGTGGGAAAAACAGCCACCTAGTCAGCAGCATCGCTCAGCATATCACAGCTTCACCAATCGCCTCATCAAGTCACATCACCCGGCTTCATCACAGCGCTGATGTCTGAATGCTGTATGTGCACTCGCTGCTGTGCAGTGTGCTTCAAGTCCAGTGCACTCAGAGGAGTTCAAATGTTGACCTTTCCTAAGCTGTTTGCTCCCCAAAGCTAGCTCTGTGCACTACTCACTACTCACACTCTCAGCCTGAATGATCAATCTGCATCTCTGGAAGTGAAACACAGAGGGGGGGGCACAGGGGCTGTCAATCACCACGGAAACACAACTCACTGGATGCACGGAGAAGTGCACAAAGGTTACAGTGGGATACACCTCCTTATTAGACTGGCAGTCTGTGAAAGTCTGGTTATTATCAGAGAGGAGCGGTTATGTTTCAGATCTCAGCAGGAGAAAAGAATAGGTGTTAGCTTCACACATGCTGGACAGTTACAAAAAAACACAATACACACATGCTCTGTTAGTACGCAGGGTAAAACGCTCAACAGATCAACGGTAAAATTATCAAAAATAAATTTAAAACACAGATAAAAGGAAAAGGAGGCGTGTGGTCGTACCTGGGTGAGTTCAGGTATGTCATTTTTGTCTATTCCCACTTGCTGTAAAAAAATAAATATATATGTTTAAATCACACAGTCACTGAGCAGAGAAAGCTTAAGATGCTTTTTATGATCAAATACACAACCTCAGCAATTTTGAAGAATTCTGAAACCCTGGTCATCCGTGTCAGGAACCTTTTGTAGATCTCCAGTCCGTCTTTACACTGGCTTCTCTTCATCTGGAAAAACTTTTCTGCACAACAGAGACCATCGTGAAGAGTCAGTCTTTACTCCACAAGAGTCCAGTGTTTTATCATGTTTGATGGAAAGAAGAAAAAAATTAAACAAACTGCATTTATATCATTCTGTTTTACCTAGGAGGTTGATGATGCCGTCATTGTAGCAGGCGTATAACTTGATCAGATCTTTGAAGAGTAGAAGGAAGCAGGCATTGATCACTCCATTGTTCAGCTCCTGTGGATGAACCTGTGGATAGAAAAAGAGTGCAAAGAGGTGCATGTGGTTACCGGGTCTCAAAGATGTACAGGTGAGGCACCAATTGAAAGTCTTAAAGTAGGAAGTGAAGAGGGACCAGTTCATTTCTTCAAGAACCGATCATTTCTTTGAGTTAATACATAAATAAAAAGTTACTGTTATTGTTTGTTAAGCTATACTTCTGATATCTAAAGCTCCTGTGGGCAACTTTTGGTTTGCGTCTATTTTGGCGCCCCCTGTGTTCAGAGCAGTCTTTGCTCATCTTGTTCTGCACATGCTTAAGTGGCAAAAGATCTTATTCTGCTGATTTCGCATGAGTTTAAGGCGTAAAAACACAACATCAAAAATGTCCATGTTGTCACTGATGGTCTTGTTTGTTTTTATATAACATAAAAAACCCTCAATATGAGTTTTTCTGTATTTCAAAGATGTCAAAAAAATCCTCACAGGAGCTTTAAAATAAGCCAAAGAGACAATTATGAGGGTTTAAATTAACACATGATGCACATGTTGTGAGTGTGACACTGTAGATATTTAATAAAACCTGCTGAGAGTGGTCACACGTGTTTAACAAGGGCTGTCTCCATGGATGCTGCCACAGCTCCCAGCATTGTTTAACCCTGTGGGAAGCTTTTTTCACAGCTCTGCTCAGCCTTGCACTAATAAAAGACCTTGCAAAGTGACTTTGCTCCCTATTATCATGCGTGTCTTACATCAAAATCCAGCAGCGCATCAATCTGGCTCTGCAGGGTGGGCATTCCTTTCAACAGCTTTTCTACGGTCATGGTCCTCATGGCTCCATCAGCTCTGAAAGGGAGGAAGAAATGGAGAGAGTAAGAGTCTCATATATAAATAAGATCCACATACTGACTGTCAACTGAGGACTACCTGTCTGAGCGTGCGACACATACAGTATTCACCGATGTCTGATCTCTCTGCTGCAGTCTACATTTTTATTACTCAGTGCCAGCTCATGTAGTCAGAGGAACCTTGGGTCTGCCAGCCAAACAGAGCTGTCCACTCAGAGAATGAGAAATAACCCACTCTGTATTCATCTCTGTACACCCAGTAAAGCCATAAACTTGGCCAAAACGCCTGGCTGGAGGTAGCTGAGTTCAATGGCTGGCTTTGACTAACAAAACATTTGCACAGGAATAGGAATCAGTGATGTTGCTGAAATAAGTAACAGCAAGGCGCTGTTGTCAGGAGGAATAAAAAAACAGTACCCTTTCTTGACTCGTCCAAAGTCAAAAGACATCTGTCTGTAGGCAAAGGCCTTCTCGTTCAGGTAGCGGCTGTAGCGTCTGATGAACGTGGACATGTCGTAGCCTGAGGAAGACACAAGATGTAAGCACATGTTCAGACTCAAATGTCAGAGAGTGTGGGATATTTATGGACTGCACAGAGAGTTACAAGGAGAAAAATATCAACAGCGTTTTGTAGGATTGTTCTCATCTAATGCATGTAATACTATGGGTGATAAAATTAGGTCAGTGGATCGGCCTGATCTTTAAAAATCAGTTTAAATTATGTGATTTTATTTCTTTTTAAAGAAATATGCAGAAGGGATTACGATCACTTCCATGGAACACAAAATCTAAGTCGAGAGGCGATTAGCTTATTAGGTACAGTAAAAAGGTTTCAATGTGCCAGGTCATTTGGCTCTCCACCGCAGTAACATCCAGCTCTTTGATCAGCTCTTTACTTTATATTGATTTGACTTCATGACTCAGATGAATTTCAGGATGACTCATACTGTTCTCATACTCAATGTCAGCCAGAATATCACAATATCACAACAATTTTTTTACCTGTAAATCTATTACATCTGTGCAAAACTATTTATCTAATTTTTTAGTTTATTCTTTATGTCGGCCACTTTAGTAAGCTGTGTCTGTATTTGTATTTGACTGATATCACAAAAGACCATGCTGTTACTCCAGCTCATTCTTAGGATGCTTATCTGTTAAACATGAAGAGCAGTAGCAGCTGTAAAAACTCTATAAATAATTTGCACAGATGTACAGATTATAGTAGTTGTTTAATCCACACACAGAAAACAGGTTTTCAAATTAGTGATCATGCTGTTTCTTCATGTCTCCATACTACGTTACCTGCCACATTGTATTTTCACATCAAACAGATGAATAGGTTAAATGGTAATAATGCTACAGTGACTTTATTGCTTAAAATTTAATAAAATACTTTTCAGGGCCAGAAGATGATTTGACCAGTAAGAACGCTGGAAACAGAATAAAAGGTCAGCACGTCTCTGTTGAGGCACTAACATCTTTCACGTTTAGGAGATACCACTCTAGTCCTGGTATCAATCATGTCATCGTAAGCCTTTAACATACAGGATCTATGTTGAGCGCATTTAGGTTGCCATTCTAAACAATGCAGCGTCGCACACAGGAAGCGTCTCAGCTTGTCGAGCGCAGCTCTGCTAAAGGTACGCGCAGAGTCTATTTTCTCTGCTCTACAATACACTGCTGCCACGCTCCAAACACGCATCCTCGACGGATCAGAGACGCGACACTAACAGAACGCGCTCCACATGGATCCTGTATGCTTCGACTTTACTTTCACCAAGAAAGCAAGATTTTCAAAAGCTTAATCATGATGAAAAACAATAATTCAAATGTTTTTTGTGGAATCACATGTGCTCAAAGAATGCAAAAAAACGGTTATAAGAATAATGATCCTAATATTAAGAACTTAAATAAATGTAATAATTAAGAAAAATTTAGAAAAAGGAAAAAAAGGGAGAAGAAAAATAAAACTATCTACAAAATACACAATTTAAATGCCAGAAAAAAGTGGTGGTGTAGTTATTATATATATAGTTATATAGTCCTTTAGATGCCTTTAATGTGCTGAATTTCGCTTTCCAATGTACATAAACACTTGTGCCCCCCCTTGTAGATTTAGTGTCCATGACAACAGACTGTGAAGCCAGTGTTTATCACAGTGGGTGACTGCATTAATCTCCATGGAGATGGGCTTAATTGAGGGGATCAGTGGAGCTACCCTGAAGGTTGGGCAGAGTAAAGGTCAGGTTGTTCTTCACAATCAAGCTTATTTGCACGTTGTTGCTGCACCTGTTCAGTATTTTCAACCCAAAAACAAACCAAACCAAAACTTCTCTATTTTGAAGGAAATGACTAAGTGAAGATCAGATGGAAGTGTCAATTTGAGGTTGATAAAGGTGGAGGCGTGACCATAAAAGACCCACCGTGGGAGCCAGTTTTGTCCAGGAAGTTGCTGAGGTTGAACAGAGTGTTTCGAGACGCCAGGAACTGCAGGAATCTCTGCAGGAGAAAAAGAAAACACACTTGAGTGTCAAATATGATAGATGGCTGATTGACTCAGAAAAAACAGCTGAAGCAGCATTCTTCAGGAGAGCTGTAGACATTTGCAGAAGAAAATTAATAATAGACTGTAATGAAAATGAATTATCGAGACATTTAGCTTCCTTTCTTATCAGCTAGGAAACATCTTCAGAGCTGTGGGTGCACGTATAAAAATAAATAAAGTACGTACTGTGAATATTTCAATTAGTAAACAACAGTAGATTACTCCTAAGAGTTATGAATAAACCTGTATATTCCCACAGCGAAAGCTTTATGATAATTTTCAAACAGATGGCTCCATGTAAAATATTAGATATCCGAGCTTGTTTGAACTTCACGCCTTTCTCAAAGAGGCTGTTCAACAAACCTGTGAAACCGCCTGAGACTGTGCGTGTGCATTTCTATACATGTCTTTTCTCTGGGAGTGCTACTTTAATAGAAAACCAGGGTTAAAGGAACAAGGCTGCAGTAGTCGTGTGCATGAGGGTGTGAATATTAATACAATATGGGGAGAGAGGACCAGGAAACATAGCAGGAGAAAGACATTAGGCTCCCTCTGCAGAGAACGAACATTACTCCAGTGACACACATGGGCGTAAAAACACCAACCCCTAGACACAAACACACACACGCACACACACACACACACACACACACACACACACACACACACACACACACACTGCTGGTGCGTATTCAGTGTCTCCATTTACACAAAGTGGAGCACAATAGCATGCAGGAAGGTTGAGAATGAAAACGCCTCCCTGGAGAAATCGTGAGCTACACATAACCTCCCCTCCTCCTTTTCCTCTCTCACTCCTGTCAGTGCTCTCTTCACCATCATCAGTTGCTCTAGAAGCTAAAAATAACCAAGGTACATGTTGTAAACACATTGTATTTTGTCTTGTCAAACATAATTTTAAGAGTCAAAACATAAAGGACTTGTATCCTCTTGAGTTTTTGAGGCCATATCACACAAATCTCTCTCTCTCTCGCTCTCTCTCTCTCCCTCTCTCTCTCTGTTAGAGCACTACATCCTTCTTTATCTGACATTCCTGTATCAATACCTCTGTCTCCTTTGTGCCCTCTGCATTTAAATGGATGCTTATGCCTCTTGGTGGGCTGTAAAGCAGCATCTGTTTATCTCTTTAAGTTGTCCCTTGTTGCCCACTCGGGGCTTTTGGCTTCCTTCAGCTGTCAGGACATGAAGAGGGTCAGGGGGTCAAGCAGAGGGTCGGTCCCTGCGCTGATTCTGAGATGACTGTTGTGGAAGATATTCTCAAATATGGAGTAAATATAGAAACTGAGAGGGTATTGTCCAAAGAGGACCTTAGAATCAACTGATCCCAGCTACATATATGGTAAATCAAAATCAGGAACATTCTCTCACTGTTATATGATCTCAAGATTTTTTTTTCAAGATTGGTTTATTTGTCATATGCAGGTTAAACATAGTCAACAATGCAATGAAATGCCCTGGATGAGAAGGACCGCTTGACCCAAAGAAGTACAAATAACACGCAATAAGTACAAAGAAGAATACAATACAATAAGGATACAAAAATATTAAAAAGTATGAAACAAACCTTTTTTTAAAATTATTTTAACAATGGTTTTCAACACCTGCAGTGAGAAAATACTTCAGTCTAATTCCCTCTTGTTTCCTGTCTCACAGCTTTAACCCTGCTGTGCTTCACTTGGCCACTTCATGGCAACACAACAAGCCATAACCCAACATTTACACATTGTCACGCAGTTTTCCTGTGTTAGTATCACACCCAGGTTCATCTCCAGCAGGCAAGGAGCACAACATGGATTGTATTGCTGTAATGAATCTGTCAGCTTGCTGAGTGTAAGTCATAATTACACTCTCTCTCTGTTGGTCTCAAGGGTATTATTTGCATCCCAAGCTGCTAAATGCTCCACTACTAGCCCTTCACTGTCATCTGCTGCTTATGGCAGACAGGCATTGTGACTAAAAATGTGGCCCAAAAAACAGCTACCTGCTGCGTTAAAGCAAAGTCATCGCCCAAAAACTAAAACATGACCTTTAAAATGAGAGAGAAACTTTTCATTTTATTCATCACTGCAAACAATGCCGACAGCATCACTTGCTGTGTTTTGACAAGTTATTCATATTAAATACTAATAGTGCAGCTTGAAAGTTGGAAAAATCACTTCAACCTAGGAACTTCATCAAAAATGTAATGCATATAATAAGTGTTTACTGATGTATTACTGATGATGGCTGCTAAAAGCCTGTCAAGTTAAACAATAAAGATGTTTTATAAAACATTTCGCTTTCCTCAAGGATCAAATCTCTTATGAAGCCCTCACAATCTGGGCCCTACATCAACAATGTCACATTAAGCCTTCAACATAAAGCTTTGCACAGCGAGGGTAAACCCTGCTGAATAACTCTGACTGTTCTCTTTTATTGTATTTGTGCATTAATCACCAGTCACAAGTGACCACAATAATATTGATATCTATGTTCCCAGCTGTGCCAGCCCAGAGACTGTGTTTTAAGAAGGCTTTAAAAAACTTGCCTGATGTTTGGCAATGCGAGAGTAAACAGGCTTACGATACACAGGTGGAAAACCTTTTTAATTCAAGATGCAGCTGAAATTTGTGAATTCCCCCAAAATTTATCCAAACTTAATTTTTACCTTTTACATAACGTGTTGAACATTTTAAAAGTGTAATTTTGCAGCAAAGTTATCTCCATCCGTTTGGTAGTACCATATTATAGAAGCAAATACAGTCCTCTGCTGCAGTTTGTTCTCAAGCAGGTATTCATTTCATTTGTGTGCTGGCCTCGTGTCTTTAACAGAAAGTAGACCCAAACAGTTCACGGAACAGAATTTCAACACATTTCACCTCTGCTTGTGGACACTATTGCAGAGAGGTTAGCTTCAGTTGGTATCAAACTGGTAATCATTGTAGCAAAAAACATTGGTAGAGCTAAATAATATGGAGGGTATTAATTCAGGCAGTGGCAGCTAAGACAGTGAATGCATCTTCAAGTTGCTGACAGCCGCAAAGAAGCTAAAACCATCAGAGGTTGTGATGATAGCAACAGTGTAAACGTTGCAAATCTCCAGAAATAGGAGAACCGATTGAGAAAAAAAGGAAACATAAATATTCTAATACTCTGGATTCTTATCCACATAACCAACTTCACAATCTCAATTTCTGACATGCATTCTCTTATAAAGCCATTTCTGCCATCTGAGGGATGCAAACACACCTCAGGATAAGTTTAGGAAAAACTGCATTTTACCGAACATGAAAACAGCAAACTTGATTATTGAAACAGGGCGCGGGTCAACCATGTGTTTTAGCCTCACCTCATTGCCATGCACCATGAGGTGGTGTGTGGTGATCAGGGCTTTGAAAACCACCACCCAGCTGGCATTTCCAGCCCTCTCCATCAGTGTGTCAGCCATCTGGGGGACGTTCACATTGGTCTCCTGGGTGGCCTGGATCAGGACTGTGAAAAAGAAAGGCAGACAAACCAGGAGGTCAAAAGACAGATATTAGCAGGGGAGACACTCGGCACAGGAACAGCATGTTCAGAGCACTTTTAAATTAAGTAATAACAACATAATCCACAGCAGAGGTTTAAAAGAAGAGGACAGATGGGTGAGAAATGACAAACAGGGGTGTGCTTTGCCTCATCTCACAGCTGCACTCTCCTAATTTCCACTTTAATTCATTCTGCTGTGTGGTGTGTCCTCACATATGCATATTCAGTGAAGTATTTAGTTTTCATCTGTTTGAAAACTTTTGCAAAAGTATGAGTCTATTTCCAGTCTTATTAAAGGACAGGTACATATAGAGCAAAACTCCTCAAAGACTGAGTATGTTGCTACTTTGTGGGTGCTGGACTGAGTCAAAAGCATAGCGACAGAAGTTGTTGATGATTATAAGACTGGCTGATTTGTTAGACCTCACCTCTGAAGTCTATTTAGTAAGCAGCAGGTTTATCTGCTAGAGCAAGGGGCACTAGTTCTCATCTGTAAAACCGCCTCCAGGGACCACCATTTATCATCTTATTGAAATGCATTCAGATGAGTATGTCACGCTGTGTTTCCATCGCCTGATATGAGTCATAGCTTTGTTCATCTCTGCAGCAAGTCATTAGTATACGAGCACAGTCTCAAAGAAAGAGGATGATGATCCACAGAGGAGGGTTGGAGCTCAGTTAAAAAGGAAGAAGAAATTACTAATGAGAACTTACTCTCTCTGTGTTCAGAATCAGATAGACACACAGGGCTAGAGGGACACATCTAGATTTGACCAATCGTCCACTTGGTCATTATTGGAGACAGCACCTGATTTCTAAACCAGACAAATTGGCTCTAAATATTGACAAATATATCGACCTTATACTGAATACTTACACTATGTATCAAGTCTTAAAGAGGATAATTTCTGTGCCATTTTTTTTTCATCTCATGTAGGACTAAAACAGATATTTTACATGAAAGCATCTAATTTTGACTGAATCTTTATACCATTTTTTCTTCAGTTCTCTATTCAGTCTTATTTTAACCCCAGTATAGGCAGTATTCTTTAATCAAAAAGTACATCATTTAGTGTAGGTTTCTTGTAAGGGACCAACCAGAAGATAGACAAATTAGCTATAAGCAGCTACCAAACATAGGAACAGTTAGATTTTTTTCTCAGGAGTTCGTGTGAAACTCTTTAAAAATAAGCAGAGTTGAGTGAAACAGTGGACTGTTTTGACTTACATTTGTTAAGAAACGGCAGAAACCACAGAAAAGAAAAAAAAAAACTCCAACTTGGTGCTAATGTATGCTACTCATTTAGGCTAACCTAAATAGCTAGGCTTGTATGTTGATGTAGACAATAATAAAATAAAAAGGACAATTAATGTCCATGCTCCCAACAACAAAGACAAAAGAAAATATGATTTACTGTATTCTGAAAGTGACTCTGCCAAACAACCATCAAACCAGAATGACTCAGCGATGACTCAGCTGTTTTAGCAGACTTTATTTTCTGTTGTTTACACTCAAGTTTTATCACAGAGCACTAACATTAAACATCAGTCTTTAATAAACTTAAACTTTAAAGGTCACCATGCTATATTTACTTTACCATGCACAGCTATGCATTGCTAAACTGAGTCTCATCTCAAGCTGTGTTGTGTTTCCTACCTCGCGTTTATCAGTGCCTGTCAGGTAAGAGGTTTTATCCAAGACTAGAAGCTGTGTTCACTGTTAGATAGAAGAGCTGTCCCCCCTGGCACACCTCAGGACATATCTTTATGGCCTTTGTAAGGAATGAGGTAAGTGTGTGTGTACTCACAGTGATGGACAGGAGGGGTGAGAAAACATGACTGGCGTCATTTTAAAAGCATTGATTCAGCAGAGCAGGGCAGACTCAGGGCAGTTTCTATCGAGTAATGTGATTCATGAATAGTGTCATATCCATTTCTGCACATTTACTGCCTGTAGGATGAAAGGCGGATGAGAGGTATATCGACTTTTCTTTGCATGCTCAATACAGACAAAATGTCATTACTCCTCCTTGCAAATAGAGTAGGCCCTTTAGAGAGCAGTCCATCATTTGCTACAATGACATGAAATAATGAGCAATCTGGAGAGTTGTAACCTAAAACAAAGATTTTGAACAAACTAAATGGCGCCCTGAAGTTTTATAAAAATGTTTTTCATTTCTTAAAAGGAAAATAAGCTGCAATAGCTCAATAGCTTAACTACTGAGAGGAAAAAAGCAATTATTTTTTCGCTTTCGTGTCTGGCTGGCTGTCTTCCTGAGGCAACAATCTCAGCTACTACAGTCCTGATCCTGATGATCATCTGAGTATCACTTGGTGGCTGAAAATAAGCCCCAAGAAATACATCAGTAACTCCTGTTTAGTAACACCGGCTAAGGGTAAGGTGTCCATCTTTTATATTGCCCCTAGAATAAGGAGTGATTTTTTCAGAGAGACTTTTGCACCTTTGGTTTAGCTTATACCCATACCAATTTGAGCCTACTTTGATCAGACTTGTAAGACATTTACATATATTTATATATTATCAATGTGCCTATAGAAACATAAAGCATTTCCTTGAAATCTGCAGACCTACAAAGCAGCTTGGATTATCAGACAGAGACAGAAAAAAAGAGTAGAGATGATAAACTGACAAGGAAGGACAGACAAAACAAGACTGTAATAGACCTTGGTTGCAGCTGAATAGATTCAGTAGCTCTAAATTACCAGGCGTGAGTGTTTGTGTGCAAATGGGTAGAATTTGCTGTAGGTGGAAAGTCTGTATTTTCCATTTACTTTGTGCATTAGCATTTCCACTGTTATCAGTCTGGGGGTTTCTAATTAGTCTGTATACAACATCCACCTGAAATGAAGACTGATTCACTAAATATATCACTTAAATTGATATTCTCCAGAGCACACCATCAAATTCTGACCATAGTTTTGGTACAAAAATGAACAAACTCTTTATAAAAAAAAAGTCTTTAAATAGTTTATAAAAAAAAGTCTTTAAATAGTTCATTATGTTGCACTGCATTGATATTCCAAGAAGCACCATGACAAACATTTCTTGCTGTATTTTCTTTTCCTTGTTCCTGGTTCATGATGCATGCTTATATTTCCATGAATGAGTTAAATATAGCCAACAGTAAGAGGAGCTTCAAAGGTGAATGCATGAATAATCATGTGAACATCCTTTTAAGGTCACTTTGCCTTCATTGTTATGCTCCGAATCCGCTCCCTTTTTGCTTCCTCTACCATTCTTTCATCATGCAGAAATGAATGCTGCTCACGTCCCCTTCAGTTGTAAAATGGCAGATACACACACGCACATAAACACAAACATATGTGCACATACTCAGATACAGAGAAGGATAATCCCTGCAGGGGTGATGAGTCAGCAGCCTGCATCATCATCCTACGCTTCCCATCTCTCTGTCTCTGTCTCTAGCCCCGTCTGCTGGTCTGTCTGTCTCACTCTCCACCTGTCTCACCATGTATTTCCCACAGGCAGGAGTAGTGCCAGTCAGAAAACCAAGTACCATGTGTTCAGAGAGTACAGCAATGAAAAAAAAAGATGTGAAGACATGACAGCTGTGTTTGATGTTGCCGAATTACCATTAAAGTTGTACTGTCTATCAAACTAGGTCCATTTTATCTTAAATGTAGCACACAGAAGTAGGGCCCAACCGATATGGATTTTTCGGGAAGATGCCGATACCGATTATTAGGGGGGGAAAAATTTCGATGACTGATTAATCGGCCGAATTTTTAAAATCTGTACAGATATCTACACTGTAGGTATCTACAGTATACTGTGGATATACTGTAGGCTACTGCTCTTCACGCCGACAAGAAGACCGACTGACCAGAAAAGCGTTTTCAACCCCCCCAGGTGCCTCCGCATCTTAACTTGCGTTACTTATTTCTGGTCCAGTCTCAAGTCATCTACCATTACTGGCATGGCTAACAGTGTAGCAAGGCTAATAGCAGGTGGCTAACTCTAACTTAAGCTTGCATATCACATGGTGCTTCACCGTTAACTCGGCGTGACCGAGACCAGCACAGCGGGGAACATCGTGAAGCGGGTTGAACTGAAACTTGTTGACTTATTGTGTATTTCACAAACTGGTTTATTTGCCGTTGAGGCGGACCACTCTCCTCCGTGCGTCCCTGTCATTCTGCTGTGCTGTGAGGTAGTTAGTGGATGAAGATTGTCATGAGGTCTATGCGCCATCTACAGGATAAGTTGGGGAACTTTTCAAATGACGAAACATTTACGAAGTGAAACCTAATCCTATTCTCTGCATTTTATTTCTGAAAATATCGGCGAAAATTGGCAAGTTTTGGCTGATTATAGATTAGTCTCCAACGGGCTAAAATCAGCTGATTTAATCGGCTCGCCAATAAATCGGTCGGGCCCTACATAGAAATATATTTTTTACCATAAACTGTTGTTTCATTCGAAAGTGAGCAGCATATAAATCCTTAGAAAAAAAGCAATCTGCAGAAAAAATAATGAGAAAACAGAGGGAGGATCAGGCCGAGAGTCTCTCTTCTTATTGAAATGCTGAACAACAACTCAGCTGCAACTCCTGACTCACTGCACCCCCTGACCCCCACCTTTCTACTTAATTATTAATGCATGTGAGTAGGAAGGAGAAACTGAGAAAGCAAAGCAGCTTGATATGTGGCCTCTGTCATGCATTATAGCGTGCATACATATACACCTGCACAGTCAACCTAACAATTATTTGCATGGATTAACTATTCATGTCCTGTCCTCCACAACATAGCAGGACAGTTTTTCTATTGCAAAGAGCTGTAAGCAAATGAAAAAAGCAGGTCTTACATCCACACTCCTTGTAGGCAACAATCTTTAGATAACGTATCATAAGCAACACAAGCCATTGAACAAATGAATTCACAGACTCGGTAGGCTCTCTGAGAATCACAATATCACAACTAAAAATGTCATATTTAACTCAAATTTATGTGGCGCCTTCTACGGGACCCAAGGCCACTTTACAAATTAGGGCAAAATAAAAAGCAAGCACTGGAACTAAACTAGTGATGACTGCCAGACAGCAGAGAGTACATGGCACAGGGTTTTTTGGGACAGCAGGTTTTATGCTGTTTTATTGAACATGGCCTGAGATGTGTCCTTCTGTGTAGCAAAACGAGTTCCAGAGATTGGGGGTTCCCACACTGGGAGGTACCAGAGCATCACATACAGTTGTGATGTATTAGAGGTTAAGGCAGATTTACAAGACTGTGTATTGATGTGGACACCACAAGTTTTCACTGTTGCATAAGTTGCATGTCACTAATATTTTCTCATGGTTTCTATCACTGTAATTACTTCTCATCAGCCTTCATTTTCTAAGAAACTTGGATCTTTGTCTTACTTCAGATCGATACAAGAATCTGTGTTACCTACCTGAGGGATATTTAAGTTTTATTCAAAGCAAAGGGCCTGAAGCTTCTGCATGTGCCTTGGCTCCACCAATACAACATGTCAGCACCTATTAAGGTGATCTTTTAAGTGGAAATAAAGGCTGTTATTCATTCTTTCTCAAGTCGATATAAGTAAGGAGTGTAACTTGAGATGCCAGTGAAGCTGGAAGAGGGTTTGAGTGATGTACTGCCAGGGTTTATGAGCAGACAAAACCCTGATATCAAAGTTCCGCACACGCTGGAGCTAGCCTATAGGATATTACTATGCCACTTGACTGCAGCTGTCCAGATGGGAGGTGATAAAAGCATGGATTAAGGATTCAGGCATAGCAGATAAAAGCAGAAGACAGGCGACTATCGAGGAAGTCGAGTAGCTGTTTCAGTGCTGAGATAAGGCTGCATATATGCATAGCTGTGCAAGCTGGGTCAATGGTTACTGACCAAATGAGCTGTTATACAACTGCGACTGACAATCACATGAGAAATGGGTTGTAGTGTCCTCCAGCTCATTATTTTGTATTTTCACCTGCAGGTTCAGTGTGTGTCCACTCTCACTGATAACAGTATTATGTCAGACAGCAGGTGTCTGTTTTAAGCTAAAACACAGACACACACACACAGAAGAAGAAGAAAAAAATGCTGTACACTCCATGCACCTAATGGCAAATCTTAGAAACAGGCTGGTGAGCACAGTGTGCCAATTAGCAGCTGGCTTTCAGCTCCGGAGCTTCCTCCTGGAAAACTGAGTAAAAAAGACAGGATGTTTTTTCCTTGGGAGGCCAGAGACAGCCAAAGAGAGATGACACAAAGCGAATACTGATGATGTTCGTTCTCCGTCTAACAGATGTGTAATCTCCTTGGGAGGAATTTGCTTAATAAACTTCATAAGGTTACAGCAGGCTAATTCTGTTCATAATTACTTTTAGGAAGTCATAATCACAAATAAAAATAAATAAGTGTGTTATTGCAGCTTTAAAAAAGCAACAAATTTAATCACCTGGTATAAATCAAAATCAACTGTGCAGTCTGTTTCTCTTACAGAAAGCTGCCAAAGGTTTTATAAAGGAAAATAACGTCTGCTGAACATCTAGATTATCACCCTACAGTTAATTAAGTAAGTTGATCCTGTTTTTATGTACCATAACATCTCTTTGGATTATTTTATTTTATAATGTCTGGAACCGACTCGATGAGAGAGTAAGTAATAAAACGCTACAGGGACAAATATTAACAAATTAGCTGCAATTATGAGTACATAGAAATACAACTGAGGAAAACATTTCTTCAGTTTATGTTTGCGTGTAATTGTGCTCATCAAAAGCAATGACACAAAGTCCTCTTGCCAGTGCAATAAGGCAAAGCTGGCACCAAGCTATTAGTAATGAAGAGGGCAGATAAAGAGGTGCTGCAGGAACACTTCAGAATCTCCATAAGTCTCTTGCTGAACAGCAAGCCAGTGACACTAAGTGGCTATGAAGACGGCACAAACAGAAGCACTCTGGTTACATCAGGTTTGGTTGTCATTTGTAATTCAATGGTTACACGAACATACAAACTGCACACGTACAAAAGTCTCTTTTTTACAGAGTTGTTGTTCCCAGGGGAACATTCCTGATTGTCCTAAGCCCATCTTTATTAACTCTGGTACGGCAGGATGGCGTTAGTTTTGAGATCAGACATTGAATTTACAGCATCCTAATACACTTAGATATGATCTGCCATAACATTAGAAAATAGTGTGGAGGAAAACTGAGCAAGCTTGAGTTAAAAACCTGGGTGTTTGGAGTCAAAGTGCGGCAATGTTGAAGTGCTGAAGCTGAACTACAGAGATCAAATACAGGCATTACCCAGCTGTACAAGCTGTCCATCGTTCACTGGTGATCGCTGTAAAAGCTGCATACTTAAATTTGCATGATTCAGGCACACTTTCAAAACTGTATAGTTAAATGACTTGCTTTTACTGTATGAGAATAACTTAAAAACTGATCAGCCTGGAAGTGCAAGTTTTTACTGTGCCTGAAAAGTGAAGCGACAGAATGGGAGAATCTGGCTTTTATAGGATGCATTTGTTACTGTTTGAAGATGTGCAATAAAACCAAATGCATTCTGGTCGTGTAATGTTGCAAAAACCATATAACTGCGGTCTTAGATGAAGTTTGAGACAGCAAGTGGAACATGTCCTTCATTCAAAGCCTGGGGAACTTAAGCGTTTAGCAAACTGAGGATTTTAAGAGACCAAACTCTAGTCTTACACATCTATAACATCATAGGCAGGCTCACGCAAACATATACATGGATCCATGAAGATACATCCTGCCCTGCTCTTGTTTTACAGCCACAGCACCTGAGCTGACATTGTGCAGCAAAGCGTGCAAAGAGAGAAGAAGGCTTCCTCTGACAAGCTCACATCCTCTGCAGCGTGTATGTGTGTGCATGTTTGTTGCAAGATAAGATGAAGGAAAGAAAACAAGACACCTGTCTCGAAGTAAAGCTGGTAAACTGACTCACACGACAAACTCGTGGCACACAACCTCAAACAAACCATAATATTTTAGTTTTTAGGATGCAGCCGTACATGATTCAGCGTTCTGTCTGAGAAACAAATATTTATGTATAACACGCGAACTCATCCTTTATGCATGAAATGCCTGATACAATTTTCATGATCTGAAAATGTAGCATGCTCCAAACAGACACCGAGGGGAAGCTCAGGAATGATTTAATCCTCAGTGGTATCTTCTGTAGCCACAGGTTTTTAAGGCTTATTAGTCTGCTTATGATGGTCCAAAAACACACTGCAGGGACACACTCCAGTGACACATTTATTCATTTCTTAACACATGGCCAGAGGGGCCTTCTCTGCAACAACTCTGCCTCTGTATTTTTGCATCCAGGTGACCTACTGTAAGGTTCCAGCTTTTCCTGAGCATGCTGGTGACTTATTAACAGTGTTTTCTTGTTCCTGGGCTCATAGGAAGCTAATTATGCTTATTGTAATAAGTTATATTCTGGAGTGACTCTGTTTGGTGGTTGTAATTTCTTTTGCATTAGGTTTATCACACTGTGCAAAACACAGGCATTATTACACTGCTGCTGCTGCACAGAGAGCACTTCTAAGGCAGATGAATTTTTCATTGGCTCTGGTCCTGTAATGAGCTTTAACCAGGCCTCAGACATGTCCTTGCTTACTGTGTCCTAATACACTGCTGTCTCTCATTTCAATGGCTGTACAAGGGCTATCTCAGAGGTCCTAGTGGTCCCTATGTCCCTATGATAAACACTGAGGCTTCTTCCAGTGGATAAAGTGACATATTTGATGGATGTGTCAATGTAAATTTGTCAGACATGGATGCACGGATAAAGAGATGATTAAGTAGCTCGTAACTGAAAATATTAGGCTCTATTCTGTGTGGAGTTCATGTTCTGTCCATGTTTTCACAACTTTGACAGTTTATCAAAATATTGTACAAAAACTACAGATGAGGCCCAGCAGCCAGAGGTGTGGGATAGGGCGATATGAGACCTTAAGGGATGAGCTAACGCATGTCCATTACCTGTAAATACAGAGATCATAATATCTACACATTCTTTTTTATCTGTTGCAGTTTAATGCTCAAACTCGACCCATGCTTCATTTATAAAGCTGATGCTGCACACAGGCTAAGCTAACAGCATGTCTGCTACATCGAGTGAATACATTACATTGTCAAGATGCCCACTGAGAGTGAAAATAATACATTTTAAGGGGTTCCCTCCAAGTTCTCAGCGTCATAGTTAAAGGGGTTATTGATTCTGTGCCTCTAGGTGTCAGATTAAACTCCCAAGGTGCACTGCAAAGAAGGTTAATGCAAAGACACAGTCTCAGTCTGAAATAAGAAGGATCACTCTGACAAACCTGTTTACTCTGACTTGTTTGCTGCTTGAAACAAGTCTAATTTAAATTATTTCAAATTTATTTAAGATTGGGTTTAACATGCCGATTTTTAAGAGGAGAGACAGCAGACTGAAGTGCATGGCATGTAGAAATTTGAGTTAAGGCTTGATTGGGTGGTGATTCATTCATGTTTTTTACTTATTTTAACTCTACTTTCTATTTTTTTGAGAATATCAGATTCAGTTGGCAGTATTTTTTTAAGTCCTGTTAACTGCTGCAAAGGGTGAGGTGTCAGATAAGATGATTTGCAACAAAGAAGAAAATCTTTTTTGACAGAAAATTTCAATGAGTGATACTTGTGACTGTTCAAAAGGACAGGTTGAGATCTTTGTCATGAAATACAAAAACAGAAACAGCAGAGGTGGTTTCACTTTGTCAACGGAAGGCACCAAAAATCAACACCAATGTAAAGTTCCTCACAGGAGCTTTAAAATCAACATTAAAAAGCTTGAATCTTGGAAGGTAACATCATGCTGACCTACAAACCACTGGACTGTGACATTGCATAAAATGAGATGTTTTACAGATGTTAAATCTATCATGTTCTTCACAGGCAGGCTGCTAGTGTAGCATGGGTTTTGCACTTTATCACAAGTCAAGCTGAAACCTCACTGCCTGTGTCTGCAGCTCCTGAAAATTGTTCAAACAGATGCATGTTTCACTCCTCGAGGCACTCTTAAAGTTGAATTTTCTATTTGGGACCTCTTTATGCATAACTATCTTCTTTGGGGACCACTAAGCTTGAAGATGAGTGTAAGAGTGCAGCTGCAAGGCCATCGGGTTATTGGTTTGTGCTAATTTATGGGATCATTTGATGATAGGAACATTTCCAAATTTCTCAAGCTTACTCTGTAAAAGGGCCACCAAAGCAAAGAGAATCACTGAGCCACACGGTGTTAAATAACTGTCACTGTCTACCAGATCTAGATGCTTACCACACCGCGCACACTCCAATTCTTTAAATAGCTTCCCTTATCCTATCAGTCACTGTAAGTGATATATAGGCTTTCTGTGTTTAAGAACAACTGAGGGCAAACAGCAAAGCCTGCATGCACCACAAGAACAGAGAGCATCTGCACAAGCCAGCACGACACATGAGTAATGCTCCTCATACTTTTTTTTGTCTTGGCGGATTTTTTTTTTTTACAAATGTAGCATTAAGAACCACTGGGGACATGCCAAGGTGGTTTCCTAGGCAACAGGCTCTTACATGTGCTGTAGCTTCAAGGATGCAGAAAATTTCCTTTGAAATGTGACAGTTGCAGAGTCAAGATATAAGGGTCAACTGGCCAGAGCCAGATACATGTGAGTCATCCCAGCCTCAGCCCTGCTGAAGGATTCAACACCAAATTTATGGCATTCATAATCCCATACATGCACCTCTCTGAGCCTGTTTTCTTTTTATGTAAATGGTTTCTTCTCTAATAGTTCATACAAATCAGTACTGTTAAATAGATGACTCATTAATATTAGGATTGGTGCACGCAGTGAGTGCGTCACCCTGGTAAGAGTGCAACATAGAGCTCAAGCCACGCTACATGAGTGATGCTATGAGCTACACATGAACGAATCATGAAAGCGCAGCGTTTATTTATAGCTCCTCTCACCCTCAAGCAACATACAAGGAGAAAAAAATTACCCAGAATGCACTCCAAGTATAGCATAGCAGCAATGGAGTGTGGCAGCAATACAAAGAGGACACCATTGGGATCCCAAAGCCGTGGAGGCTGGAAGTGACATCTGAGGAGAAAGCTGGCATGGCACACAATACAGCTGCAGCTGCCGGTGCACACAGATAGCGGAGCTGTCTTACTGGTGACTGGTTTTTTATTGACTTTTCACTCAGCTATCAGTGGAGTTTTGGTTTGTTTGCTGTGATGCAGCTCAAGAAAACCCCACAACCTTTTTTTTATAAGATGTGTTAAGTGTGTAATAAAAATAACAGGTTAAAGACAACAAAGGAGAAGCTTGTTTGCTTTTGTTTTCCTGGACTTAACACATCAATAGGAAACGCTTATACTGGGAAAGCCCAGAACAACTAAAGGCCACCATTAAATGAGACCTGCTGATCTGTAAATTCATACATGTTAAAATGTTTGACGTCAACACTTAATCTCTGCGAAGTTTCCAAACATGAGATACACCGATGTTGGTATTATCACAGTACAAAGCAGCTAACAAATCAAAAAGTAACACCCACGGACCGTCTCATGATAATGTTTCAGTCAAAATTCTGACTTCAGGTTCGATGAAGAAGTAGTGTGATTTTTGCAACAAATAATACAAAATACAAAGTTCTATATGTGTCACAGACTGACATCATGAAAGGTGAAAAGAAGTATAATTAGTCTACTTGATAATGCACAGACCAATCAATAGAGAGATTTTTTGGTGGGCGGAGGTCAGCTGTAAGCAAAACAATCCTTTAGGTACGTTAGCCAGCACTGGCTAACATGTTGTTTTTGTCTTCTTTTAATTGACACTTGTGGAAGATAACACAGGTCTCTGAAGATGTGAGGCCCTCAGAGTATTAGTGGTGTATGCTAAAGATGATGATTGGTTGATTGCTATGGCAGCTACACTTTGTTTTGCTGGTAACACAAGCCCATGTGCTACAAAAGCTGATGTTAAGGAGAAATCCAGTATTCCTCCCTGATTTCTGATGAGTGGGTTATGATTAGGGATGCACTGATCTACATGTTTTCACATCAGTTCTGATCTCGATTCTTGAATTTGGATATCTGCAGATACCAATACTATTCCCATACCAGAGCTCTGTTAGCTTTACCATCATTATTATCATTATTGTTTATTTTATATCAGGTTGTAATAAAATACTCTCAACAGGCAAGTATATGTACATATGATTTCCTGAACGGAGGCGTGTCTCACTGAGTTTAGGAAATCAATTGCACAGTTTAAAGCAAAGACATGACTTATGGATTGGAAATTTTTGCAGGTTGGATCTGAAATTTCCGATCCATAAATTACGTTGGTATCAGAACCCGATACCAATACTGGATCGGATCAGCCTCATCCCTAGTTATGATGCCCCTTAATAAACATAATGTCATTCATTTATACAATAGCTATTTACTTCTTTATATCATATTCACATGTAGTTTGCACAAAGCATTTTGGACTGTCACCTATGCTCAGTCCTTCCTCTGATCATCTTTTTATGTTGTTTCGTGGACAGGCAGTGGCAGCTGGAGTTTCAGCTTTGAGACATCACTTCTATTCTCTCTATTCTGGCACCCGACAACACAACAATACGTTATTTTAAGACACCTATCATTTACTAGCCTGAGGCGTTGATTCATGTGTCAGTCTTGTTTTGCTTCATTTGGTCTCCAACTAAATCACTATGACACTGGCCCCAAAAGAGTCTATAGGTGCAAAACCTGAGTGACACAGACAAAAAGCCCTCACTTATTTTTACATGTAGATGTTAAAATTCACCAAGAGGTCATGTAGTCACTTTCACTGATATCCTGAGAGCTCCATGTTCCTGTGTTTACGTCTGTCTGAGCTGGAAAACAATATTTTACACTTGTGCTGATCAGTTTTGAATGCAGGTCTTACAGATTGGTCTGTTTATGAACCGTTTCTGGAAGGCAGCCAGTGTTTTCAATTTATAACTTAGTATGAAAAGCTGCTCAGGCAGATCAATTCAACTTGTAGAAATGCACACAATTAAGTTGTCTACTGTACGATGAACGCTAAAACTCCATGATTTACATGGCGATGAATAGATGAGTTTGTCATAATTCATTCAGAAAGCTTAGTGAAGCTGCAGCTAAAGCCAGTCAGACAGGAAGTATGGCAAAAACTGGGAATCAAAGTAAGATCATCTAAGGTTAGGCCAGCCGGTGTACAACCTGATGGATGCGACGAGCATACTTCCTGCTCAAAGAGCTGACAGCTGTGTATTAACAACCAACACAGTGTCAAAGGATAGTGATGAAAAAGCCAAGTGAATGCTCCTTTACTGTATCCAGAGGAAAATGTGTTGCTCTGGTTAGGCTAGCATAACCCATTAGCATGTGTGGGATAGAGGGATACCACTGAGTTAGCATAGTAAGCACCCTACTGGAACATCTTTGTATGCATGTGCTGATGAAAGCGGTGGTCTTTGAACATCACCCTCTCTTTTCCTTTGCAGCCTTGGTGTCATCTCTCTGTTCATACGAGCTCCATCCTTTCTTACTTTTACTGTCAAAAAGTTGTTTGTAAAGACACACAACACTAACTGTAGACTTTCTAAAGAGATGGAAACTTTCAAGAATCAGGTGTTGAAAACCAAAAATAAAAGCTTTCATTCAACCGGTTAGTTTACTGCGATGATCTTCAATCATCGTGCAGTAAATGAACTTCTGCCTGTCAGCAGGTGAACCTCCTGCATCTTTACATATCATTCAGCAAAGCATCCAAACAGACACTGGATGAATATTTTCCATCTTTTCTTTTCCATCTGTGTTGACACGTCAGTCTCCCTCTCAATACCCCATTACTACCTGTACCTCACAGCTCCTGGGTCTGCTCACTAACAAACCTCTCACTGAAAACATACGGCCCTCTCAGTATCACCATCTAACATCTCTTTTTGTGTGCAATTGTTTGTCCTTTGCAGCTCCCTCTGCCCCTTATTAGCTCTTCATCCCTCGTGAGGCTTTGTGTCCTCGCTGTCTGAGCAGAAAATCCCCAGCTTGTGGCTTTTGTATTCCTGCAAGACGGAGTCAGAGACAGATCTCTACCCTGTAACCTGAACCAAATAATGCAGCCAACACAATTTACTCCCTGGGTTGTTTGTGCTTTTTTCCTCCGACAGAGAAAAATCTGTGTGTGGGTGATATAAGAGGTCTGTTCAGGGCCAAAGAAGCACAGGAAGAAGAGGCGGGAGGAGAAAAGGAACAATTAAAGTTCATCACTGGTGCTGAACTGTTGGTATACTCTATTATCCCCTGCTGATGGTTGCTTTTTTTCCATATGCTGTTTACTTTCTTTGTCATAGTTTAAGCAATAAATCGAGCCATATTATTTAAGGTAAACTCAAGATAGTCTATGTCTATTTGGAGAGCTTGAGCTGTGAGTTAGAGATCTACAGATGGAGGGTGATTTGAGATCTTCCCGCATGAGTGAGTGATGCAGTAATCCAGGAAACTCAAATATAACTTCACTGTGCTGCAGAGTTTCACCTCAGGGTCTGCAGCAGTCTACCTCCTTTGAAAAGTAATTTTTTCATGATTCACGACACCAAGTCTAAACTTTGAGGAAGAAACTGCATCTGTGGAAATAAGTTTGCATTTGCATTTGCATTTGCTGCATGGAAATATGATGAATAAATTTGATGGAAACTCGAAAACTACAAACCAACCAATTACTTTTCACAACTTAGATACACAATAAAGGCCTCCTCAGGATTTTTGAACTTGGGCAGGAGGCTGTGGTAGGATCGACACTCCTTAGAGATGGTTTGAGGCTGGAGGGTTTTATTTTTTTACCCTTGAATTATTATTTTCCAACAACAGAACCCACAAGGAGAGAAAGAGTAGGGAGTAAATGAAACTGTGAATTTATAATGTGATACAGACAGCATGTCCTGCCCAGTGGGCTAGCTTTGATCTACCGAAGCATGCTTTGAAAGCAGAGCGATAGGTGCTAAAATATGATCCTATATTTGTTGTGTTTTTCTTCTTCTCCTAAATATAAAACTGCAGATGACAAAGACATGATTCTACATACTGTGGTCTGTTCAAAGTATGATGCTGCAAAACCAGACCAGTATGAAATGATTGACAAAACTAAGTCATTTTAGGGAGGTGATCACCACAATCACACTTGTACATGGTATTTGTTGTGTGTGCTTGTCTCTCCACGAAGTGAAGAGACTGGAGCTCAGGGGAAGCAGCAGACAACCTTCATTTTTGTAAATCTTACCAAACCATAAAATCTGATTAATGAATTTAATTAATTGATTCACATCCCCACTAATCACATTTTTATTGGGTTAAGAGGTTCAGCTTCAGTCTTATCTAAAACACATCCACTGTGTTGTACTTGAACTCAGATTTAAGGTCCTCACATACCGTGTTCACCAAATGTTCACTCAAGTACTATTTAACTGTTGTATTGTGTCAAAACAACAAGAAAAACAACCACAAAAAGACTTGACATCAACATTATATATCAGTATTAAATGTAGAGTAAGTCATAGTGGTCCTGTTTTCTAAATATCAACATCGACCATTGATAAATTGTAATCAGTCGACCCTAAAGGTAAAATATCAACCACCACAACACAAATGGTGGCACATCAACTGAAAACACAGTTTGACTTTACAGTACTCCTTATTGCCCACAGCTAATCTGCTCTTCACTGCGACAATACCTTTGTTATTAAAGGTTACAAGAGGTTAGTGGTGACAACTCCTTGCCTAGGACCTGGATCTCTAACCTCATATTTGTACAGGATCACATACAGTAAGTGCACAAGTCTAAGTTTCTCAGCCTAAAAATACAGAGCAGTAACCAGAGAGGCTGCAGCACAGCTTTAAACAAACTCATAAAACGCTTTCCTCCTGTAAGGTACCTTACATCTGGGGCTCAAGTCAGCAGGGGAACCCTTTTTCTGTGACACTCTTTTTGCAAACCAGGTCCCAGAGCAAAACTCGGCAGTCAGAGGGGTAATAAATCAGCAGGAAACCTAAGCCCTCCTGCATTATTGATGCGCAGCCTGAGTATAAACATGGCCCCTAAATTTCTGAGCTGCCAGAACGCCTGGTCCTCTTTACCGGTGCACAATACACAGGTCACTCACGTACAATCAGCCGAGCATGCAATGTTAATCGAAGTCTAGCTCCTCTCAGATACAGCTGTTCTGCAGTATTGATGTTTTTATCCTTGACTGGTAGGCTCAAGGGCAGGGCGACCTCTGGGGGAAATCAAAAAAGGCCACAGGCCATGAAGAGGCGAGGGGCGCCTCAGACACAAATCAACTTGAATGGGTTGCTCAGATTTAGAGCTGATAATAGTCTGATAGCAGCTGTGTGGAGGTTCCTGGTCCCAGCTCATTAATCTGGACCCACACTGTTGGAGGGACAGTCCACCTCCCACACAGCGCTTGACTTTATAGAGGCAATCTGAGGCTTTCAAGACTACCCACTGTGAGATCAGCACTGCAGCACAAACAGGGCCCTCATATTCCTCTGAGCGCTGCATCTCGCCATTAGACAGGCACTGCACAGAATCATTACTGAGTGGCGAGAAAGATGAGAAACAGAGTGGGAGTAGTGGTGAAATCATTCGGTGGGAGAGGCTGGAGAAGGAGATATACGAGGACCAATATGAACCAACGGGAAAGACTGAGGGACGCTTTGAACACAGAAGCGTGTAACAAACATCCTCATGATGACTCATACTTCAAATGGTTTTTAGTTTTTTCGCTTCCAGAGTAAATGCTGTGAGGCGAGGGAGAAATGTGGATTTACTAATAACCCTACAGCAGATACACGTGGCCTCTCATCACAGTTAAAAGCTCAACTCTGGAGGGCTTGGATTCCATGCATTATTGCAAAAGTTCTCCCACTGATTACAGCTAAAACAGAGCAACTTATTCTCAACATACAGCACTGTAGCAAGACCTGCAGAGAAACAACTCTCATTTTCAGAGCAGATACATATCAGCGCACTGAAAATATCTGGTCAGCAGGTGAAAGTGCTTCTAAAAATGAGACTTGCATCAGTTTTAGTGCCGCTCTCATGCAGCCCTCTGCCTCTGTTTTAAAGCACATTTTATCGCCCATGTTTTGCTCATGCCAGGAAAGAAGACAGGCTGTCTAAATCCTGCTGCAGCTTTTCTCAGATACATTATTTTTGAACCGACAGCCTGTGGACACCACACATTCATTTGCCAGGAGACATGAAATCTTCTTCACACATGTGGCTGATTAGCACCTGGAGCGAAAGTATAATCTAAATGCAAATTAATCTAAAAAAAGAGCTGATGAGACCTGTGCTGTAACAGGTGCTTTTATTAAACAGATGTTTAAAGTTTCAGTGGAGACTAGCACTGCAGATTCCAGTCAAGTGGTGATAAGGCAACAGCCAAAATTGACTAATTGATTAAATGATAACACCTAATTACATAGCTTCAGAGGTTGTGGTAGGCATATATTCCAATTATGTTAATTTGTGACAGGTCAGTCACATGACTGGGTACAAAAAGGACATCCAAGTGAGAAGCTCAGTCTCTAACGAGGAAAGGTGGGTACAGGTTCACCACCCTGTGAGAAACTGGGTTTATGATCTCCATGGCAACATGAAGAGATTCAGACAGTCTCATCATGACATCTCTGTACAAAAAGACCATAAAACTAATCTTGGATGGCTGCTTACATCTGGCCCCTCACTAAAGCCAGTACTGCTTTAAAAAGACAGACATGACTCTGTAGTGGATGTCTCTGCACATGTTTTAAAACCACTTCCAAAAGCTATGACGGATTCCAAACAAAATCTATAACTTTCAAGTGTGGGGCACTTGCACTGCGAGGCTATTAGCTAAACTATGCAGATGTATGCAATCACTGTACAGGAGACGATTGTGCCAACTAATGGGGCTGGGCAAAATCGATATCATGATATATTGAGCAGTTCACCTCAATAGCGATGAATGGATGATAACTACTCCACAAGCTGCTCACTCCCTCCCCCATTAACTTCATCTACTTCAGCCGCTCCAACTTTTGAACCGTCCTCCATCTCCTCACCTGTCTTTCCCTCTTTTGTTACGGACTGGATGGGGTGGAGTCACGTCTCTGACGTAGGACAGCATCTTTAAGGGACATGAGACCATAGCCTACCTACACACATCCAAAACCAACTTAAATTCATTATTTTTTGACACCAAATAATATTAACATGGGCAAAATGACATTTGTTATTGTTGTAAATTTTCAGTATCAGTAAATTTTTGGTTTATCCCCCAGCCCTACCAAATAACTTTGCTTAATCATATAAGCTATCACACATAAAAAGACACTCATGACAGCCCCCACCCCCTATCCTCACCTTTCCAATCCAAACAGGGAGGCAGCCAACCTCTCAGATATGGAAACACATCGGCGGTGACTCATGTTATGGTAACAGCACCTTAGCAGCCAAAGGCGACTGAGCATGCTGTTTATGTTTCTCATGGCTTACTTTCCTACCTCCAACCCCCATCTCAACACACACACACACACACACGCATATACACTCACCGGCCACTTTATTAGGTACACCATGCTAGTAACGGGTTGGACCCCCTTTTGCCTTCAGAACTGCCTCAATTCTTCGTGGCATAGATTCAACAAGGTGCTGGAAGCATTCCTCAGAGAGCTTGGTCCATATTGACATGATGGCATCACACAGTTGCCGCAGATTTGTCGGCTGCACATCCATGATGCGAATCTCCCGTTCCACCACATCCCAAAGATGCTCTATTGGATTGAGATCTGGTGACTGTGGAGGCCATTTGAGTACAGTGAACTCATTGTCATGTTCAAGAAACCAGTCTGAGATGATTCCAGCTTTATGACATGGCACATTATCCTGCTGAAAGTAGCCATCAGAAGTTGGGTACATTGTGGTCATAAAGGGATGAACATGGTCAGCAACAATACTCAGGTAGGCTGTGGCGTTGCAACGATGCTCAATTGGTACCAAGGGGCCCAAAGAGTGCCAAGAAAATATTCCCCACACCATGACACCACCACCACCAGCCTGAACTGTTGATACAAGGCAGGATGGATCCATGCTTTCATGTTGTTGATGCCAAATTCTGACCCTACCATCCGAATGTCGCAGCAGAAATCGAGACTCATCAGACCAGGCAACGTTTTTCCAATCTTCTATTGTCCAATTTCGATGAGCTTGTGCAAATTGTAGCCTCAGTTTCCTGTTCTTAGCTGAAAGGAGTGGCACCCGGTGTGGTCTTCTGCTGCTGTAGCCCATCTGCCTCAAAGTTCGACGTACTGTGCGTTCAGAGATGCTCTTCTGCCTACCTTGGTTGTAACGGGTGGTTATTTGAGTCACTGTTGCCTTTCTATCAGCTTGAACCAGTCTGGCCATTCTCCTCTGACCTCTGGCATCAACAAGGCATTTCCGCCCACAGAACTGCCGCTCACTGGATATTTTTTCTTTTTCGGACCATTCTCTGTAAACCCTAGAGATGGTTGTGCGTGAAAATCCCAGTAGATCAGCAGTTTCTGAAATACTCAGACCAGCCCTTCTGGCACCAACAACCATGCCACGTTCAAAGTCACTCAAATCACCTTTCTTCCCCATACTGATGCTCGGTTTGAACTGCAGGAGATTGTCTTGACCATGTCTACATGCCTAAATGCACTAAGTTGCCGCCATGTGATTGGCTGATTAGAAATTAAGTGTTAACGAGCAGTTGGATAGGTGTACCTAATAAAGTGGCCGGTGAGTGTATATCCTGAGCAGTGTTATTGCGTCACTGTTTTAAAAAACCTGTTAATTGGAGTGCTAGTGGAGCAGTGTCAGAGCTGCTGATAATTGTTTCAGGAAAAATGGCAGAATCTCATCCATGAGGATTGATAAGGGAAAGACCATTGTGATGAACACTGAGTAGGTTTAATGGCTGTAAATATGAGAGTGGAGATGATGTCATACATTTCTAAAAAACATTACCTTCAAGCCATAAAGCTGCCCTGACTCTCTTGACAGCAGGAGCAATAAAGAGGTTAAGGCAACATGAGCAGAAGTGGATAAAGATGGAGGCTATTAGGGGCAGCAGGAGTAAAGGGGGTCTGTCTCCAGAAACACAGCCTTCTTCATTTGGCAGACGTTCAGACCCTGTTGCACTAGTTCTTCAGCTTCCTCTCTTTGAGCTGCACACGCCCTTCATGTCCTCTGACACAAGCTCTCAACACAGAAATCCACACTAAAGAGCAGCTCACTGTTTCCAAAACCAGGAAAAGTTCGGTATGGAGGAGTTCCCTTCTTTCTGAGTCAGATAAAATTAATAAAACAGACCCTTGCACAAAGTTTCAGCTGATTCAGGTAACAAATCAAGCAGCCAAGTGTTCTGCCGTCCTCAAACAGCAGCAGTGGTCACTGAGAGACCCAGACCTTTCAATTTACCAGTTCAATTGACGCCAGATGTCGTATAATCCACTCTGTCCAATCACTCTTACCAAACAGAACCACTGCACTTTACCAAACAAGGCCCTAACGGATGTGTGCCAGTCCACAGGTTAAAGCCCCTCACATCCTCCACCATGTCACCAGCAGACTATAATCATTATTGGTTTGTTCTGTGACTACGTTCAGTCAAAAATGTATATTACCAACAGTGCTGTCTGACTCTCTTCCCACACATTACCAACTTGCATGATTCAGTCACAGTGAACATGGCTAGCGTGTGCCATTCCTCGCTGCATCTTGAACCCCTGAGTCGCGTGCCTGCCAGCATGCCAGATGGCCACACTATTTCACCAGAAGCCTCCAAAAACCGGATCACAGAATTAGAAGCAGGAAGATACTCATCCTGAATAAACCAAATTCAAAGATGGCTCATGATAGTTTTTAAAATTCTCACCAAATGTCTCCTGCCAGCATCATGGTAACAGTAATGATGTAGCCTACTGTATTTTTACTTATTTTATACTTATTTAATCAATGTTTGGCTTTATTCATATACCCTCAGAAACTTTGTACATCTACAGTGAGGAGCTTTTGTTTCACCTAACCCCTCTGGACATAACGATATGTCTTATCTCTTTGCTGATCTTGTCTTGTGCGCACAAAATTGGTGTTTTCTGACAACAAAAAGTCTCCTTCTGCTCTCTTTTGATGACCCACCACTTATTTACAGCAAATCTTTGCCATAAAAAATGTAAACAAAACCTGTTGTTGCAGCCTGACTCACCAAACGCCCCTTGTTTGATAGCCATTAAATACAACTGTAGAGAGAGATTCAGCCTTAAAGGGATATTCCAGCGTAAATTTAAGTTATGGTCAAACATACTGTAACACTGAGTTAGACACACCCTTGAGAGGTGGATGTTGCCAACTGCTTGCTTCTCTAGTTATACCAACTTCAGCAACGACCACACGATAGCAATACACAGCGGTCTACGTCTCCACACGCAAACCTCAACCAAAAAGCCACTCTATAGCCACAAACAATGCTTAGAACAGTAGCATTATCTGTGATCTACTCGTTAGGGCTTCCCCACAAACAAGCACTGCTGGAGGAGAGTGGGTGAGTTGTGTTTGATCTCTTTGCTAAAGAAATTAGGCAAAACTTAAAAGATGTTTGATGGCTAGTACTATAGCTCAGACCTTATATGTACTGTTGATGAAGTTGGGTGCTGTTCTGAGCATTATTTGTGGCTATAGAGTGGCGGTTTGGTTAAGGTTTGGGCGTGGAGCCGTAGACTCCTGCATATTGCTATTATGCAGTCGTTGCAAGCAGTCGGCAAAATGAATCTCTCGAAGGGGTGTCTAACTTGACGTTATGGTGTGTTTGACCATTACTTAAATTTACACTGGAATAACCCTTTGAAACCCGATGGTGTTGTTTGTTTGTGCAGGTCACACAGATGCATCAATATGACTGACAGTCTGTTTCAAATCCTCACAGGACCTTTAAAATCTCTTTGCACATCATTGCTTCCAGTATTAGATCACTTCGTTAGCACAAATGTGGTGACAGGATTGCTCTGTGTGCACTCTCACGTTACCATGATGTGAGACATGAGAGAGTGCATGACACAGACAAAAAATAGCCAAAGATGGTATGTTCATTTCGGGGTTTTTGTAGCTAAAAAAACAAACATCAAGCTTTCAGGTCAGGTTATGATCTGCTTTGTTCACAGTAATTATCCTAATGCTTCCAAACTTCATCTTTATGCAGATGACACACAGCTGCAGCTCCTCCTCAGCACCACCCTGCAATTATCCCAAAAAAGACCTAGGTGCTCACTCTAGTCTTTTCTTTAACTGAATGCACACACGAGACTACAGCTGTGTGTTTGTGCACGAAGCACACATACACAGAAACTTGAAGCCAACTCAGCTGTTAGACATCAAGCAGCTCCTTCAAGACACACTCAGGCCATGTGAGCTGTCAGGCAATCTGTGCTGCTGCTGAAACTCGAATCCTTTAAGAGTTTAAAGGACTTCCGGTCTGTATCGCTGTCAACTCCTGAGCTCTTAAAATAAATAGCAGATGTGTCACCAAGTTTTGAAACTTCACTACATGCAAATATATATAAATTCTTTTTCTATTAGTAGGATTTGCTCTTTAGTTTAGCTTTTACTTGTTTGCACATAGTGTCAGTCGTTTATAGCTATGAAGATGATAGAACACTTCTTCAAATAGCTTTTTACTTCTTTAATGATGGAGTATAAAACAAAATGACTGCCTGTCAAAATGTAAAAAAAACAAACCTTGAAAACAGACCTTGAATACCAACATGTCTGCTTACACCTAAATTTCACACTTTCTGACATTATGGGCCTGGGTATGAGAGAAACTTTGGTGCAGAATTTGTGTGTCTCTGAGAAAGGTTCTGCAGTCTTAGACAGCGTAACTTTTCTCTGTCTGAGACTGCAGAACCTCAAACAGGTCACAGTGTGAGGAGCTGACAGCCCTGTGCTCTCTGAATGTCACTGGAAATGGATCAGCAGAGTATCAGACCAGTACACTCTTAGCTGTAACAGGAACAAGCTGGGAAATAATATTTGCTATATATCGCTCGAGACTGGCCTGAGTTTAGGATTACGGTAATGCAATAAATGAAATAAGATCTGATCACAAAGAGTAACCACATTATCTAGACATTTCAATCAGTTAAACTCACTAAGAGAATTACCGGTAAAAAAAAAAGTGGATCATCTCAGTGGACCAGTTCATCACATTATAAATATGAAATAAGGAGTTTTATCCATGACCTAATTTTGGGATTATTACTTTATGCAAATGTATTTAGGGAAATTCATAATGTTTAGAAGCCAGAGACAGAAAGTATGTGTGAGGCAGACAAACACTATGTGCATACTAATTTTATCTTATTTGTTTGCAGTGTAACAGGAGGCTGGTGATAAAGGTCACTGATGTCAACATTAATGGCTTTTATTGCAGTTTAAACAAATTTGATACTGCCAAAACAAAAATAAATAAAATGGGTAAAGGGTAAGTAATATGGTGGTAAGTGTCTTCTCTTTCCTGCACATCTCTGCTAATTACCTCAATCTGATCAGTCAGTATTCAATAGCAACAGTCTCTAAACAGCATACCTGTGCAATAGATCTGGCTCTGATCATTGACCCTGGGAGACAAACTGTAAAGATATCAATTCACTGAGAGGAAGTGAAGTTCATTTGATGTTGGTTTGTTTACAGAAGGAAAAAAGGATAAATGCCAATAAAATAGGCAAAGGACAAAGACAAAAAACAGGCAGAAAGAGGTGCTACATGCTACTGACACTGAATACAACACGGTGAGGGATAAGAAGATGTTTTTAGATTAATACTGACAGTGATCAAATGAATAGTCCTGAATCAGTCCTGTTCATCATCACCCTCACTGGAAATGTTCAGTGTCATTTCAGTGTCTACAGCCATGGTAGCTTATTTAAGAAAAAGTTCATTCTAATGTAATATTTGCCATTTTTACCATTACCCTTTTGAACGCTCCTGTGAGGAATTTACAGATGGTATCCTCTTTATCCTCGCTGATCTTTTGAACATGTGTAAGCTCTGTTTATGAAGCTAAATCTCTTCATTTCAACACTCAGATGTATGACTCATTGAAAATCGTTGCCATGGAAATACTAACAGAGCTTCTTTTGATGTCCTGTAGTAGTAACTCTAACGGACACTGACCCCCCACCAGTAGTTTTGGACACTGACAGTAATCATATGAAAAATGTCAGTCTTTGTGCTAAAGGTCTCTTTTGAATTTGTGGGTCATAGAGGGGCATCAGTAGTGATCTCAGTCTGTTTCAAATGTTTAAAAGTCTCCTTATAGGAGCTTTAAAATAAATGAAATCACATCCATAGTATAATTTACTGTAGAAGTATTGTTTTATTTATTTGACTTATTTTTTAGGTAAACAGTCATGTAATAAGGGGGGAAATGCACAGTGGTCGTTTTAGCTTTATAGTCTTGGTCCTTTTCACCCTATCAGGGTTCCAGTCTGCTCTAATATCCCGCTCAAAGGATAGTATAGCTGTGAAGAGTTTCTAAGGTGCTCTGCAGCAACAGATTTGACTAATGTTACTGATGCACCAAGGCATTAATCAATTATTTAGTTGGTATAACTGCACAATGAGTAAATGTCAACTGTGGAGGAAATTGGTTAAAAGGTAATATCCCTGGAGCAGCTCCTTCAGAGTGATGTTCATTCACCTCTGACATATTTCAGGGAGCCGTTCACTGATGAAGAAGTTCATTAAGCTTTTAAATTTAAGGATTTTTCCCAAAAGCAAATGGCTATTTACTTTTGTCTCAATATCAGGTCTTAAAACTAACTGAATTGAGGTTCTGTGAAGCTTGTAAAAAGGTAAAAGGAATTGAGACTTCAAGATAGTGTTTACAACTCACAGTGCTCCAAAGCAAGACAGAAACACATGTATTGAATGGCAGAAACTACGGCTGAAAGAGACGATTAAAGAATAAAAGGACAATCATTTTTATCCAATATTACCACAAAGAATTAGGACAACCTCTGGATGACTTATGCCAAAAAGTCACATTACAATAACTTCAAAAATAAAATCAAGAAAACAACAACAAACTGTCTCAAAGTTTAGACTGCTCTTTTAAATCTCATACTTTTTCTTCAGCTAGCATTAGCCATCTTATACTATCAATCAAAAAACAATCATTTTATTCCATCACCATGAAAAAACATCTCAGGACACAAATTAAGAGCAGAACCACATCTTCATGTTATTTTGTTATCTACTGAGACCCAACATGGATCCATCAGTTACAGCTAACATTTGGCAACTCTGGAGAGGAAACTTCCAGAAAGCTCAAGCAAAAGCAGACAACCAAGACCTGAGCAGCAAGGCCTCTGGCAGCAAAACTGAGGCGGCGATGAATGTAATGAGTAGGAGGATGATCTCTTTGTTATGCTAACAATTCATTAGTACGGGGAAGAAAATGTCAAGTGGTACTTTGTAAGTTACGTCCTCTCACTTAAAGGAAGCAAAAGGACTTCTTTCAAATATCTTTATTTGATGACCAAAGCAGAATATAACTAAACTGATCATTCATTAGAGTGATAACATGAGTTTTACATTGGCTTCATTGTGAAATGAATCCCATTTTCTATTCCAATTATTCAGTATTTGAGTTGAGTCTGATGATGAAGTTTTATGAGGAGAGCAAAAAAACCTCCTCTCCCCCCACAACAACAAAGTGCTGAGTCAAACTTTGGCAAGTTGGTGATCTTTCCACTTTGTTTTGTTATGATTTAAAGCAGTTAAATATTTCAGCCTCATTTTATATTCTGGACACGAGCAGACGGGTGGATTGATTTCTCCCTCATCGTTAGGCTTTGCCAACTTGAACCCAATGCCTTTTCATCAGACTATATGCTGGAGACTGGGGTGAAACAGTAGACTTTTTATGTGCAATGATCTGTAGTTGTAAGGAAGTCGAATTTGTACATTTTTAGGAGGGATGTCAAACCAGGCATTAGAGTTCCTCCTTCTTAACCTTCTCTTTAGTGGTCTCTACCAGTTTCCTTCTCTCCTTTCACCTGGTGATCATTTCAGCATTTTCCAATCACCATCCTTATGCAAACAAATATTCCTCACTGTTTATTACATAATATTCTCCTTATCATCAAACTACTTGTGCCCATAATGCATTTAACTGTATTAACTGTTAAAACCTGCTCACTGTACGTTACTGTAAGAAAAGCTAACTTTTCTGTATGCTTTTCACCTGATACAGTGATAGTAAAGTTGTTGCATTTTGTTTGATCACTCTCATTGTTAGTCTGTGATGTTTTTTTTTTGGTACACATCCTGTGACTAATAATTAACAAGGTCCTGTTTGAGTGTACATGATGTCAAAATGGAGCCTATTAGCAAGTTAGGAGGGTCTCTTATAAGTGACATTTGTATCAAAATACATTAATAAAGGTAACATGTAGATCAGGGCTATTTGTTAATAGCCAAAGCTTCTTGAAGCAGTTCATATGCTACAGGAAAGAATATAGGGTGTCACTGTGTACATGTTGGCCTTGAAGCATCCATACTTCTCACTTTCTAAGACCTTATTCTCATACAATTGGAGGGTTTGTACATCTTTACTTTAATTCAGTGGTTCTCAAGTCCAGTCCTCGAGCCCCCCCTGTCCTGCATGTTTTGGATGTTTCCCTGCTCCAACACACCTGATTCAAATGATCAGCTCGTTATCAAGCTCTGTAATGGCTTAATAACGAGCTGATCATTTGAATCAGGTGTGCATTGCATGGATTCTACATATCTTTGGTGTATGTTTGCGTTACGCCTGTTCCGGGCTTTTATGGGCTCTGTGACATTTCCCTTTTAGCATTTGAAATTGAACTGGCACCACACCTCCATTCCTCCTCTGCCTTGTTTGTACTGAGCGATATGCCAACAAATCAACAAATTGCACCAACAAAAAAAGTCAGTGGGGCTATGAGCTGACAGTGCCAACTACCTCTGTGGACTACTCAGGAAAATGCCTATATCTTCAGCAGCTTTAATATCCCTTTAGACCTTTTAAATTATGTATTCAACAGCACTGACACATCATGGGATGGACAAGTCTCCTGTAAGTGTGGCTTAAGTATATCTGGTGTTAATCATATGTTTGTTTAGATGTAGTCTAAATTAGTCAGTCAGTGGATGCTTCAGTCGTGATGCATGTTTGAGCAGACGTGCACACATACTAAGGCTGAGGTGCCACTCCACTCGCATTGGAGGAATAGATGGGGGAGGTAACCATCATGGCTGTGGTGCATGGCCTAGTTGTGCGTGAGGAGGATGATGGATGGAGGGTCGAAAGGACACGTTCGGTTGGATAGAAAAGAGAGAAAGAAGATCAGATGGGTACACATGTTACTTACATTCCATGTGCTTTTTCTTCGGAGCTGTTTGCTCATGTGTGGTGGCTTTACACACAGCTCGGGACACATCGGATCCCGTCAGGGTGTACTGCGCCGCGGCGATGCGGTCTGTCAGCGTCTGACCCGACATCTTCTCTCCGTGGAGCTCACCTTCAGCTATCGAGAGTCCAATACGGTCCTATCCCCCCGACACCTCAATACAGAGCCGGCCTTAGTAATCCCAGCTGCCCTCGGATGCACCACAAAAAATCAGACCTAAAAAAATTGATATTGGGACACTCTATACAATTGGATTTAGTTGCATAACAATATCGGAACTGGCCGATTCCCACTCAGTTGTGTTGGATGAGCATGCGTTTCTGGAACAATCATGAGCTGACTTTCGCACCCAAGGACCAGGATCCTCCAAAAAAATCACAGTCAATTTTTTTTTTAAAAGGGAAATTTTTTGATATGCAGACTCCTCCTTCGGGTTTGAGTTTTGTTCTGCTCCTTATATTTCAATTTCTTACTGTTTCACGTTATTTGTCGGCCAGCCTCGCTGTCAAATCGGTCCTCTCCGGATGATGCTCGCTGCTGCCTCCCCCCTCTCTCTCTCTATCTCTCTCTCCTCCTTCCTCCTGCCTCTCAGATAATCCTCAGCACCGACAGCAGAGCGACGGTCTCTGTATCAGCGAGGCGTGCAGGGGAACATCATCCCCCACCGTCCAGTGCAGCGGTTCCTTCTTCTTCCTCCTCCTCCTCCTCCTCCCCTGCTGGACGCCTTCTCTCTGCGGCGGCCCACCGTCAGCTGCAAGCCCCGGCGTTATGCGCTCCAACTCGGCTGGAACGATGGCGGTGTCCGCGATGAATTAACCTCCACTTGTTTATTTAATTATTAATATATTTATATCCCTCACGGCGCTCCGCCTCTTCCTCTGAGTCAGGTGACGTATTGTTACCAACCCTGCTGCATCCTCTTTTATCGCGAGAGCTGGGAGGAGACGAGAGCCAGGATGGGGATTGTGGATGTGTAAGGGCGTAAAGGGTTAATTCAGCCAAGCTTGATTCACGTCATACAGCTACCATACTATGAAGGTCATATGAAGCATGCAGCCTCAGTTATCTCACTATTTCGAATATTGAAGATTTTCTGTAAGGATGAAGTCAGCAGGGACGTGATGATTTCTGTCCCTGTCCATGGTACTGATCTGCTCTATGTTTTAGGGAGGATCTATTATTAGTTATTCGCACGTTTACCAGCAGTGGAAGTTCTTCAGTCTCTCTATCTAAAAAAAAAGAAAGAAAAAAAAATCACATCTAAATTGAGCACAACGACAAGTCCAAATATCTGCTCTGGAAACAACTGACTTTACTTTACACATCCAGACATAGTGTCTTTTGAGTTGAGTTGGGCCTGAATCCAGTTTTTGCTTCAACTGATTTAGACAAAAAGGCGTAATATACAGATGTGGTTGGCTGGATCATTGGGCTGGCACTTGGTGAGGCTCCTGACATAATGCATGAAATGTCATGACGTGAAAAACCGAGTGCATGTGAAACTCCCGTTAGAAATCTTTATTAAGTCACATCGATATGGAATGGCACAGCATCTTCACTTTGTCCACAGGGACCTGAATGAAATGTTAAAAGTCAGTCATCAAAGCTGTTCCATATATACAAATAATTAAAATTAAATACAATAGCTTTTGAAAAGTAAAATTATCATTATAAATACAAAAAATGTACAAACTGATTTTCCCATTTGTGTTCCACAGTTTTTTTCTTTTATGTAAAGTTGAGGTTTTTCACTAGTGTTGATCAGTTGTGTGTCAGTTAGACCCTCCCCCTCCCCCTGCTGTGTCCTCACGTCTTGATAAGACCCTCCAGAAAGTCTTTTTCCACCATCTCCTCGATATTCTGTCTAGCTCGGCTCCAGAACACTTTCTGGCTCTCCAGTTTGTGGCCCTCCTTGTGGCTTTGGAAGGAAGCATCAGCAGGGTTATGGGTGTAGGTGGGACCTGAGCGGCTGCTGGCCTTGCTGTTGAATACCTGGCTGAGCAGGTTGAAGAAAGGGAGCAGCTGCTCCATGCTGCGGATCACATAGAGGGTCAGCATCAGATGACCTGGCTCCCAGGAAAGGGTTCGAGTGGAGCAGTCCTCCTCTGGGTTTTTCTAAGACAGGAGGAGATGGGTAACTAATTAATCAAGTGGGGAAATTAATTTTCCAATCCTGCAGGTGGGAGATGATGCAGCAAGATTGAAAGACTAATCTGAAATACACAACCTTGGACTCCTACACACTCTCTTGGAGTGACACAGTCATTTATCTCCATTATTTTAACAGCCATGTGAAGACTGAAAGGGAGAGATACCTTGGCTCGTTTCCTCAGCAGCTTGGCTAGTCGGACCACGTAGGGCTTAAACTCTCTCTGGTGAGTCCCCTGCCGTCTTACTTCCAATCCTGAATCGTCTGATGCTTCTGGGATAAACGCCCAGCGATACCTGCAATGAGGCAAGACTCACTCAGAAATGACACAATGTTGTCCTTTTTAACAAGCTGTCAGAGTTTCAAATCTAAGTAATCAAATGTCTCAATCATACGACCCTCCACATTCATGCCACATTTGGTAATTCTGCCATATGAAATAATCTCTGCAGTATTCATTCATTCCAAATACTGACAAGCTTGCATTGCAGAAATTCCACATGAAGCACATCATGTCTTTTACTCATTCCCTAACCCAACCCAATCATGTGCATAGGCCATAATTATGACTAAAGCTTCACTAACATCTGAAACTGAGGCAGGCTCTCAGGAGGCAGAGCCAGAGCCAGATCAAGGAGCTTGCAGGCAGAGAGGTACAGGTTGAGCCAGCGCTGGCTGTTGTAGGAGGTGGAGAAGCCGTTTCCACCAGAGTAAGTGGTCTCTAACCCAGCTACAGATGGCCCCGATGTCCTAGAGATAACAGAAGTGAATGAATCCTCACTTACAATGCTAACATGTTGCTGCAGCCAGGTTAGTATTATTGTCAGCAAATGTACCTTGATATGTCTTCATCTGCAGTCAGCTCCTGCTCCATTAGAAGAAACACCTGAACCTGCAGGGAAACACACGTCAAGTGTATAAATGAGCACATTAGAGTAGCCTAATATGCTCAGAAGACAGGGGGAAAAAAAGAGACACAAACGACACTACTGTGAGTGAATGATCAAGAGAACGACTCTAATCAGTGTGTTGTCATTCTCACCAGCTCGGTGATCATGGTGGGCCACAGGGAGGTGAGGTGTTGAGGAGACATGCGGAGCAGCAGGACTCTGAAGAACAGGAACACCTGAGCGTGGAGGATAGGCACCTGAGGCAGCCGCAGGCTCTCCACCAGTCGCTCTGAACACCAATAATGACAGTCAACTTTATGCACTGCTCAGCTAAGTGGTGTTAGAAACAGGATAACAAATCTTAAGACAACAAGCACACCTTACTTGAAAATACGGCTAATCATGACTGTTATTTCAGGGGGTTCCCTATGAGTTTGTCCTCAGTTGGACTCTTTATGAGGCTCATTTATTGGAAATACCACTCATAGGATTATACCTTAAGTTTCCTAGAACACATATCACTTACCCTCATCTCATGGAGTTAAAAACAGAGAACTTTCTCTCACCTTAAAGGCCTTATTGCTGCAGCATACAGTATATGGATGTACCCTGGTGAGAATGAATTGTTTACCTTGTATGTCTGGGAGATATTTCTGGTACTGGTCCACCTCACTGCTGTAGATGGTGAAAGCCAGCCGTTTAAGTAGCATGGCTCTCTGCTCCAGCTCGGCATCACGGTTGGTAAAGAGACTCACAGAGCTGCTCTGGGCTACAGCCACCCGAGCTAAAGGGAAACACACATAGTCACTGATTTTTGATACAAATAAATTAAGCTGACTTCAACTATCTTAATTCAGAATTTTTTGCAGAATAATGAGCAACAGAATGAATAGATTCCAAGTTGAAAAAGCTTGTTGTAATGACATTCATTTCTGTCTGCGATAAGATGTGATTGGAGTATATCGCTGAAAACCCTGTAGAAAGTGATCAGGTAAATGATCTGTAACCTCTCCTGGTGAAAACTACTTTATAATAATTGAAATTTAATTATTCGACTTACTCATGAGGTCCCTAAATGTGGTTTTGTCATGAGTCATCAAGTGGTCAATGATGGCTCTCCAGCTGAAAAAAAAAAGGATTTTTTTGTTTAGATTAATATTAAAGAAACATTCAGACATAAAATTAGACACGGCAGCATTCAAATTAGAAGTGACATTTCACAAACAGCAATCTAGTTCAATGTATCTATGATTTGATTTAAGATGTATTGATGGAATCTTTATATATTCTCATCTTCTATAACATCATATGCATGCAGTGAATCATACGCCCATTAAAGTTAATGAGAAACACATCATCTCGCCTTCTTCTCTTGTGCAAATGCTGAATGTGAGAATACAATTTCTGCAAATGTCATCAAAAGGCATCAAAGTCTATTTATCTAGAAGAAAATGATGCAGCTGCAGCAACCCTGAAAATCTGAATCTGGCTGTTCAAGCAATCTCTGGACTTTGTAAAATCAAGCGCTAGGGGTTACCACTGAACTAAGACTGAGCAAAACTTCTCTGAAATGTATTTTTCTCCTCTGATGATGTGAGGATGCAAGTTTGATCTAGGAAGTGTTTTTTTTTTGTTTGTATATGTTTTCTCCCTTTCTCTTTGTGTTATAACTTAGGCTACATATTCAAGCCAGCCTCATAAGGACTCGCCAACACACTACTACTCCCACTCACTGGCTGACGCAGGAGGAGTCCATCTGGAAGAAGGTGTGGTCCATGAAGAGATCGAATGCCTCCTTCTTCCATGCACGTCGGGTATACTGGTACCCGCTCAGGCTGCTCAGCAGTTGGATGCAGGCTCTGTAGCTGGGGGCGTTGTGAGCACTGCCAGGAAGAACAGGAAACATACAACTCTTAAGAATGATAAGCTACGACACCTTCTCATTCTTGGTTTCACCACACTTCACTTTCACTTCCAAACATGAAAAGATCCCTTTTATTTATCTCTTCAACGTGTCATATGTTTCACCTTCATCTTTCATTACTTTGAAACAAGATGTAAATTTAACATTTTCAGTCTTAAAGACAATCTTAGAGACCATCATGTTTGACTCAATAATAAAAAAGCTTATCCCCACCTGTGGTTGCGGAGGTAGGGCACTACATAGTGCATGATATTAACCAGCAGTGGGATCACCCTCTCTTTCTCGTCACTGTAGAACACCATGTCCAAAAGATGAGCCAGCACCTAGAGAATTCCGCATCCAGATTTGTCAGTCTTACACCTCAAGCTTTCAGTGGACATGACAACAGTAAAAAAAGAAACACTTTCCTCTGACAGCAGACAGTATGAAATCTCTTCTACATACTGAGCTGCATGCATTTCTTGACAGGAAATTGACATGAGGGGGTATAGGTATCAGTACCACACACCAGGAGTAAATCTGCAATCAATGTTGCCCTGATTTATAACTGGAATAAATCCAACAATCTATAGTTAGTTAGCACCACAGAGCAAAGAGAAAATCTGCATAATTTAACCAGCACTGAGCTGAAATGACCTCAGTGGTAAAAGGTTGCAAGGGAGTTTTATTGTGCAACTCAGCTCACCGAAAGCCCCACACTTAGTAGAGCCGATTGATTTATTGGTACACTAATAAAAATTGAAGCAGAGGTGGGGAGGGAGTCTTAAATCAGCTCAGTGGGAGTGTATTAGTGATTGCAGGGCTGTGCCTGAGACCAACGAGCTCAAACATTGCTGGTAAATGTGAGTGGAAGCATCTCGGTAAACAATCAAGATGAACAGTAGACATAATTTCCAGGGTCACTGACTGATGTCCTGAGACTGGACACGTGTGCAGGGTGGGCAGATCTGAGGCAAAGAGAGAGAGGGGTGTTTTACCTCGGCCAGCAGCGTGAGGGCGTGAACGCTGTACACTGATGGAGTGAAGCTGGAGGCCTCCATCACTGTGAGCATTAAATCTACAAAAACACACACAGCCAACATAAGTAGCAGCCATGTTGCCTACATGTTAATACTGCCATGCTAAACATACATAATGTGAGAAATAGTCACACCACATGCTTTTTGCTCTGACCCCTTTTGTGTAGTTTGAGTTACTCATAGTTGGGTTACTTGTTACTTGTCTTCCCTTTATTTAACAGCTGCCATGATTATGCAGAAAACCTTGATCATATACAACATATATACATCAAGGGTGGTAGAAAAAATCAATACAGCATAGAATCACGATATTTCGTCTGGTGATATCATCTCATTTACCAAGTATCGATTTTTTCAAATTAATTGCTAATATGAACTCAATTCTATGATAATGGAAAAATAAAATCAACAGTTTGTCCAGTGAGGCTGGCAGAGGTGACATCATGGAGAAGGAGAAAGTGCAACAAACAGCACCTGGAAGGGACATTAGGATTGCAGCAGGGCACAAATGAGATGAACATGACATATAAGGTCTGCAAGATGTGCTACATGAAAATAAAATACTGTGTAAATAAGACAAACATAATGGACAGACAAATGCTGAATTAACTAAGCAGTTGAAAAATTGTAGAAATCGCAAAATACTGTATCGCAATACTCATTGTATCGCAAAATTTTTTAAAACGCAATAATATCGAATCGTGGCACAAGTATTGTGATAATATCATATCGTGGGGCCACTAGTGATTCCCACTCCTAATATACACACACAAAATAAGGTCAGTATCCAAGCTGCCAACTAAATATACAAACTCACTAGAAAACCACAATGAAATAATGTCATGGTCTCATGACATCAGTGTTAAAAGCTCATTGTGAATCTAGTTGGAGCTACGATATAGCGTTAGCGATGCTGTTTTCTTTAGCATTTATGGCCATCATACCTTCTACATCAGCTTCCAGATTTGTTCCGTCTACAACAATCTGAGGGGAAGCCTTGACCTCCAGGTTTCTTCTCAGCCATGTGGTTTGCTCCAACGAGGAGCCTGCAATTGTTCCAATGGCTTCCACCACCTTATGGGTCACATCCTGAGTACACAGGTAATATTTAGTTTATTCAGTAAAACGTCTGGTCCAATCTGGTCAATTTACTGTGAGTTATTTTATTTCTTTAAACATGATAACTTCAAGAGAATTTTTTTTTTTAAAAAGACAAGGGCTGATCAGGAGTTGGCTGCAGCGCTCACCTGCAGCTCTCGTTGGTCCTTTTTGCTTTCTAGATTGGGGTTCTTCAGAATAAACTCATTCAGAACTCTGCAAGATAAAAAGGAACCAGAGAGAGATGTGTGTATGAAATAAATTCAAGAGTATAATGTACAAGTGAAAGAGCTGTAGTCTCTACAGACAGAGTAAATCAGATTAACACTATGACCACTAAAGAATGAGTAACCTCTCAACACGAACAGAAGTGATGCATTTAAAATGTAATACCCGAGATGCAGTGAGAGTAAAGTAAAATCTGAATGAAAGCAGTGAAGCAAAAGAAACCAACCCTAGGATAAGAAACTGTCCAGGGGCAGGCAGGCCTAATGGTACCGAGTCCTTTAGCAGTGCCAACAGAGACGGCCAACTATCAACTAAACTGGACACAGGGATCCTGGGAGAGACACAAAAACACAAGATATGACTTTTCAGAAGTTAGAAAGCTCTGCACATGTGGAGCTTCGGTAACAACACTGACAATCTTGGGAGATGTAGAGATAGAGGTATTGATATTGTAGTTATGTACGCTGCTATATGGCAACAATAGGCTCACCTCTGGACATAGGCATAGAAGAACTGCAACATGCAGACCTCCAAAGAAAGGTGCTTCTGTGGGAACGGCAAAGAAATAACAATGTGTAATGAGTGATGACAATATGAAATAGCTTCATGTGAGTAATAATCACAGTGTCTTACTTTAATAATATCATGATTTATGAAGCATGTTCAAGTTTTAATAAAAGCTGAAAAACAGCAGTGTCAGTAGTTGCCTTTATACTAATCACAGACAGAGACTCTGCTGTGTCTAATGGCTTTTTACAAAAGAACAAAGAAAATAGAGATAAACTCTTCTATCAGTGGAGTTCATTAATAAACACTTTAACACAAACCTTGTCCTTTGCTATGGCAGGTGGCTGCTTCAGCACTTCTTTGACAGTCTGCATGACCGTCTCAGTGCGCATGGCACTCACTGAGCGAACCAGCTCAACCAGCAGCAGCTGTTCTTCACTCGCAACAGGAATCACCTGCTACAAACGGTATAAACACAGTGATTTACAGGGTCCAAACTGGAGTCTGAGCATCACAAAGGACTGATGCTTGACGGGGAGTCAGTGACACAAATATGAGGCTGTTATTTTTCACATCAGACTCAACAACCCCCCATGATTCCTGTCATTACAAACCTCCTCTACTTTCTGACATAACTCAAAGATGTGATCAAAGAGTACAGCTCTATATTCCCCTCTGCTGCTTACTGCCCTGCTAACAACGTCTGATGTAAAGAGTTTATAATTCAGGCATCAGAAAAGTACCCCATTCTATAAAAGCCTGGGCTCTCTATCTTTACAAGAACACCCACCTTATTTCTGACTGGAGTTTTGACCTGTTTCCTCTCATTCCAAACGTAGGCAATAGCTGCCATGAAGTGAGCACCGTGGTTCATGGAGATTGGACCCAGAAGCTCTAATATTTGCTGCCGGAGGTTCTGCAGAACAGATGTTAGGAAGTTAGGTGGCCCAATGGCTGATGACTAACATTGCAAATAGTAACACTGCAATCCACACTGACGCTACAAACATCCTGTGACTATCCTTTAGACTCTTTTAAAATTTCTGTCTAAGGGAGTGAAACAGTGAAATATATGTGTTTTAAACAGTTTGTCATCATTTTTCAACAAAAACTCGACGTGTTTGTGGGTGTACCTTAGTGGAGCCGAGGTTGATGTTGGAAGTGGAGGCAGCGGAGGCAGCGGCTGGCTTGTCGGAGTTGTCTGCTTGATGGAGGACACTCCACAGCAAGGTGACAGAGGACATGATGGTGTGGAGGATGGACAGGATACCTGAACGAGCCTCAGCCAGATGCTTCTGGTCAACACTCACTTGCAACTGGAAGAATATGCAACGAAACAAATCTCGGTTAAAGTGAAATCAAAATAATGTGGCCAAAAAGATGTAGGAAACAGAGAAGGAAACTGCATTCAGAGATAGCTGCATGCATGGAGAGAAATATGTACAAGAAGCTGAAAATACTGTGAGAGAAAGAGCAGAGAAATTCAGAACAATTAGTTGGTGCATAGCGCCCTCACCTGGTGGTACTGGGAAGTGGGATCCAGCAGGCAGTAATGGATGATGGCTGTCACCCCCTCAAGAACTGTAAGAATGAGGTCAGGAGGGATGCAGAGAGCCATCCACTGAGGTCTGAAAGATGGAGCAGGATTATGTAGTCTTATTAATAAATGTTCCTGATGGTTCATTCTTCTGGACAAATTCTACATTTCAAGCATCTACATCACAAATAATAAAACAGAAGGATTGCTGGAGTATCATGTACAATTAAAGCCAATTCATCTAGTGGTGTAGGGTCCCATCTAGTGGCTGAATATTGATCAACTCTTCTACTATATTGGACTGCATGAACGCTGTACCTAGATGGGCAGATGGGGCTATCTCTGTGAAATCTCATCAGTGAGATGAATGCGTCACTTTATACCTGCTGTCAGTGATCCCCATTTCATAGCGGTACTGCTGGAGAAGGTTGTCCAGGTTCCTGCACAGCTGCAGAGTGACTGAAGCCACCACCCTCCTCAGCATTCTACCCATGTACGGCAGGGTGGCAGTGATGAGTCCAATCCACTGGGGATGCATCTTACAGGAGTGGTGCTGATGTAGCGCCCTGATTACTGCGCACAGAAACATACCCTGTGCGGTGATAGGCTGGCCGTGAAGATATTGGAGTGATGTCATTGGCTGTTGTGGGTTCACATGCTCCACTTCGCCACCGATGATCTCAAACCCAGCCCCAGGACCGCTTCCTGTCCCTCCGACTCCTGAACCTCCTCCTACAGGTCCTCCCTCTCCTCCTTCATCAGCCGGCACAAGAACTCGGTGCTCGAGTACGATAAGGCTCTGTAGAAGTCTGAGCAGCTGAGACTGGACGGCGCTGCAGCTGTCGATCTGGTCCTCTGACAGGTTGATCACACTGTCCTCTGACAGACCCTCCTCCACTGTGGCCACGTTAACATCTGACACCCGCTGCTCGTGCCATTTCTGAGCGCTGAATATTGAAGACAGTAAGCAGTGAAGAACCACTTTTTGAACCTTGCACTTGGAGAGGACATCGCTGATAAAGCTAGCGAAGCCTTTCGCCGAGCCCCCTGTGACTTTGCCTAGTTCGCTAAAAAGGAGAGTTAAGACCTCCACGCTTGTCAGCTGCATGGCCCGGTTCCCTGCCAAGTCCTGCGGGCATGCTGCCACATGTGCCGAGTAATAACTTCTTAGGAAGTAGAGACAGAGTGAAATAATGATTTCCAGGTACATGGCACTGCGGAATGAATGGGAGTGTGAATCCTGGGGTATTGGGCAGTAGAAATCTTTGCCCATGACTGACACCCTGTGACGCGCCAGGAGGTTCTGGAGCAAAGAGAGCTGTGGAGTGTAGGTGTTGTTGATGCTGGTGGTGGAGATCGCGCTTACAAATCCTGAGGGAGCAGATCTTAACATCGCTGCGATGGCTGACAGTGCGTGGAGAGCCCGGGAGGAGTCGTACAGCTGAAGGTAGAGCAGGACGTGCTGGTAAAGAGGGTGGATGTTGAAACGTGGAGGAGCAGGGGATGATCTGCGCCTTGTGATACCCAGCGGTGGTACAGAGCCCCCGCTGGGTGAACCTGTATCACTTTCAATCTCGGACACCTCTCCCTCCCCGCAGCTGTACCAGTTCTCTAGATCCAGACTGTCTCCAAAGAAAATACTTGGGGGTCGCAGTTTTTCGGCTTGATTTGCCATCTTCCTCTGCTTCTCCTCCTCTTTCCTCTTGGCCTTCTTGACTTTGGGCTTTGCTCCAGGAGATTTGTCCACTAGCCTCTCCATGATCTTCCCTTTAAGGCTGAGCTGGGTGCTGCTGTGGCTACGTTTACGGGCTTGAGGGTCATCCACACGGAGGTTGTTATCAGGAGTGACTGGGTTAGAGAGGTCTGGCAATGTGACAATAGACGGTGACGAGCTATGACGAGTGATGCCTTCTCGGTGCTGCTCCTCTGCAGACACATCAGCCGGTGAGACAGAGAGAAACTCCAGCGTTCCTCCAGCCAGCATCTCGGGCAGAGTCTGATGGTTGGAGACGGGGAGTGAGCCGGAGTCCAGACGGAGACCTGTGGAGGTATCTGAAGAGGTGCTGTCTGTGTCCGTCAGGGGCCAGTTTTCAGGAGGAGGTGAAACATCAAGAGATCCCTCCTCCACTAAACACACAACCCTTTCTATCAGTTCTTTTACAACAGAGGAAACAGCCTCCTCAACAGAGTCCTCAGACATGTCATCTAAGAAACCGGGCAGCTGGTCTGAGCCATTAACTGTGCTGCTCACGCCCTCCTGTTCTTCAAAGCTGCCAATTTCCACTGTGGACGACTGAGAACCGCTCGACTCTGAGCTCTGGGGCTCCCCCTGCTGGTCGACAGGCTGATATTCACCGGATAATTGCAGGTTCTCACTGCTCAGGCTCAGTAAGGACAGACTGTCACTCAAGGGGTTGACAGTGAGACAGAATGGCTCCATGTCACCAACTGTCAGGCCTCGGAGCTCGTCTTGTGACACCCTCCCCCCAAAGTCTGGAAGACAGAAATGAAATAAGAGAAGGATCATACACAGATGCACTTTCAATCTGTTAGGAAACTTTACAAAAAGAAGCATTAATCAACCCTTACTGTCAGAGAATCCAGAGTCTCGTGTGTAAATAGGTTCTGTTGGTTCCTGATCACGTGGTTCGGGCAAAATGTGGGCCCAGTGGCGTTGGGACTGTACCCTCTGAATGGACACTCGGTGGGTCTTGGGGTGGAGCAAGATGAGGAGCAGGGGTTCTAATACCCGAGCAATATCATGTCTCTGAAGGACCTGATTCAGCCAACCCCGGCCGACAGCGCTGGTACAAGGATCCCAATAACTTAAACTGTCGAGCATGATGAAGAGAGATCTGGAGACCGAGAGAACATTTTATGAAATGATGATATCGAAAGATAAGGAATAAAATGATGATGAATATTCACAAGAAGGGAAACAGACTTGGTAACAGATTCAGCTGTAATCATGCATGTCCCTTCAAATAAATAAATAAACAACAGAAGCGGCATCACTCATCAAACCTGTCAAATGTGCGATTAAAAGGCGAGGATTTGGTCATGTTTAGATCCCGTGTCAAATGCCACAGCACAGAGAACTTCACATGAGCCTCCAGCCGTATTCTCTGAAAGAGAAATGACATCTGCTTGAGTTTGATCAACAACATAGAGTGTACTGATTGTGTGTTGTTGTTGTTATTACTGGTGTACAAACCTTGTCTCTGTGCATGAGCTGCTGACTGATGACGTCCTCACAGATACTGGAGGAGGGCACCAGGTTGTGGAGCTGGTAGAAGAGCTCTACACTGCGTTGGTGGTGCTGAGGGGTTCCTTCACCCAGCTGGTCCCATAAGATCACAGCTACATTCTGTGGACAGATTGAAGATGAAACAAGGTTAACGCTGTTAATCTTTTTAAGTCCTGCCAAATTAATTAGATCCTAACATGAGGATTCTACCTTGAAGAAGTCAGTCTTTTCAGCGATGTACTTAAGGATTCCCTGAGTGAGCGGTGGCCTGATGACAACAGCTACACGGCCCTGGCTGGGGCTCATGGGCTGGGTGGCCTCAGAGCTGCCGCCAGATGCCACGCTCTCGGCAGTCACCATAGCAACCGACTGGGTGAGTCCCACGAGGTCCATGAGCAGGGAGATGGCGACGCCTTGCAAGCTAAAATCACTGGCCAGGCAGCAGGCGTCCATCAGGGTCTGCAGCCATCCTGGCAGACGGACCTGCTCACTGTCTGTACAGCAGAGAGGACACAAAGTTTCTTAACCGACATGTGAAGCATCTATGTGACCGAAGATGCAAGCTACAAAAATGCATTTTAGAAAACCCACTTTAATGTTAAATTCCATATAGCAATGAAGTCTTCGAGTTATTGACACATACCAAACTGCTCGTCCTGTGCGGGTGAAGACTTGAGGTTGCCTTCTGCGATGTAGACAGGGAAACTAGAGCATTCTAGGAAGAGCTGGCAGGCAGCTGTGAAGGCAGCAGCACACTCCCTTTGTAGCACACTGGATCCTGGATCTATATGACTACTGTTCTGGCAGTCCTCTAAAACCAGGGTGCCCGTCTGCATGATCTCACCCTTTTCAGTCTCAGCTTTGTGCCTCTGCCCAGGAGTGATATACAAACTGATAAGTCTGGAGAGAAACTGCTGGAAATGCTCCAGGCAGCACTGCATGACTGGTTTGTCCAAGGGCTTGGCCTGAGATGGCCCTGAAGAGCGGCGCCCTGCTTTGATTGCTGGGTGGGGATGAGGGGTGCGCTCTGGATCCTCATGGCCGTCTCCCTGGTACTGGATAAAGTCTGTGAAACCGCTCTCTGAGGAGCGACCACTTGGGAGGCTGTCTCCTTCCTCAAACACTTCCCTGTTGCCAGGCAGCTCCACTGTAGAGGGCAAAACCTGTGGAGGACAGAGCACCGAGGAAGTGGTGAATGAAGTTTAGCTCATCCTAATGGGACCACAGGGAGATACTTGTGTGTAGATCTGTGCACAAGAGCCAACGGGTGAAGTCAACGTGCTTTTTCAATGTGTTCCTAAAGATCATTCATAAACGCTGTACTCAACTCAACCCAATCAAAGACGATGCTGAAATTTCTCTTCAGACATTACAGCTGAAATACTTTCTCATTTAAAATCAACACAATTTCAAGAGATTTACTCACATCATTTATGACTAAAGCAGCCTTTAAATGTAATAGGTCAAAGGTTAACTTCATTCTTGATGTTTTCTGAATATGTTTCTTTCTATTAGTTTTCATCTCTAAGTCATCAAATAAATCGACCTCACCACTTCACAGTTGAGTGTTTCGTAGATTGATGATACTATAGCGAATCCAAAACTGCTGGACTTTGTGTAACACTGAAGTGCACACCAGACTGGCATCCTGCTGCAGACAGACTGACAGACTTCTAATTCTTTGTCTAAGGAAGTCTTTGGGGGCCTGACAGCTTCCCCAGAAGTATTCAGATAGAGAGGCAGCAAACACATTCTGAAGCCTGGCCTCAGATGGCACGTTGGCTGACACGTTCCCTATTCGGCCCTCAGGGTGGGGGTGGGGTTATGAGGATGCTACGGTAAGAGGATGTATGTAGAATGTTTTCCACCCGGATGGAGACGGCTCACCGAGGAGGCATATCAGGCCAGCCTACTCCTCTTCTTCCACAGAGAGTAAAAGCAAGCTGGGCTCAGCTGTCGGTAAACTATCTTCTGTCTTTCTACTCGTTCTCTCTTCTACTCCTCATGGACCTATCTCGATCTATCAAGCCTGTAACCATCTCTAAGCATGAGACTAACTGACTGAACTTTTTATCATATGTCAATGAGCTTTAAAACACTGAAACAACCAGGTTGCTGGGCAGGGACCAGGAGGACCAGAGCAGCCAAACGAAGCATTTGCTCTACACAACTCTTCAAATGCCTTATGTCAAGGGAGAATGGGATGGCAGGGCCAGTCATGGGACCAACTCGCCAACAGAAGCATGGGGCAGGGGGCTAGCAGGAGCCAACGGGAGCCAGAAGGGCCCCCGTTCAGGGACCAGGGCACACCATCAGAAGCTGAACGGATGGAGTTTTGGGCAATAACTTGTAGGGGGAATGGGTCAAACCGGGATTTGCTTTTACTGGGGCGGCCAAAAGCTCTATGCTTTTTATCAAATGACTTTTAAGGATCAGAGAAAGAACAGAATTATCAGCTGGCAATGCTGTTCAAAGTGAAAAGTTGGCCTACGGTTCGTGTTCATTCATAGTTCCAGTTTGCTTTGACGGATCAATTTGACTGTGATCCCATTTAAAAACATCAAGTGGCCGAAAAACCTGAAATTAAACTCCTTGATTAATACCCGTTCTGGTTCAATTCCTTTAATGTTGTTAAAGTTTTCTTTACCTGTTTGTCCTCCTTTTCTTTGCACTTATCCCTTGCTGAGTTTGACAGGTTGCTTGTGGAAGTAGACAGACCCTGAGCCTGGGAGCCCGACGGCAGTGCCAGAGGGGACACCAACGGCGGCTGCACTTTGCTGAGGATTTTGGAGCACAGACGAAGGCAGTGGGTGAGCTCACCGAGGCCCAGGGTTTGCAGGTGACAGGTCAGAGCTGCCACCATGCGCAAAAGCAATTGAGGGAGATGTTCCGTCTGGATCTCTATGTAGGTCTCCTGGACATGTAGAAAACATCAGAAGTCAAGTGGGGTGGCAAATAACAGCACAGCAAGATGAAGGAGATTATATTGTAATGAAATAGTCTTCAACATGATCAGTGCTCTACTTTAATTTCAATGTCAAAGTAAATGATGAAGCCGTTTTTTGTTGTTACTTTATGTTATTAAATATACATGATCCTAAAGAGTGATCCTAGACCTTTTTTTGGCCTATGTGTAAATAAAGTAAGCGTTCAATTGCAGGAATGTGGAAGTTCCCAGGGCTCTCTGTGTCATAGACTTTTTTGTATCCATGAATAGATTACATTTCTGACTGCAAACAACGTATGATTTAATGAACTCTTGCACTTCTGTGTGTTGCAATTAAGGCTGTAAAGTCCTAGTTGACTGGTCGACTAATTAGTCGATACGTGTTGAGTCGACCAAAATTCTCATCGGTCGACTCGATTTTTTTCCGCGTCAATTTACAGTCTATGGTTAATTTCATTAGGTGGAACGTACCAAAAGGTATGGGGGTGTTTTCAGAGCACCCCCGTTTCACAGGTAACAGCCTGTCTCAGAAAACCCCCCTTGTTTTCACCATTTTGGTTTCGCCCAACCCACTGGAGACACAGGACACAGGCAGATTATAGAACGTCCACGTTAATCAATGTCCGGTGGTTTGCAAAATATTTATTTTTATTTTGAGCGTTTCAACTTGCATTTTGTGTTCAATTGCCTTTCTGTGCTGATATCACTATATTCTCACCACGACCAGTCGCGCTCCGCCGAGCCGCGTCGTCCCCGCAGCAGAAGGGTTTGCGGTCAGAGTCGAACCCCCCATTAGTCGATTTTTGGTCGAAAATTTTAGGGTTTTAATCGATCAAGAATTTCTTTGGCTGATTACAGCCCTAGTTACAATGAATGCATTTTTATTTATTTATTTATTTGTCTTTTTTTAAACAGATATTTCGACTTCACAAAGAAACACTTTTACAATAAAAAAAATCAGAGCAAAAACAAAAATCATAAAATGAGCATTACACCATGGGGCAAATTACCATAGTCATATTTTCAACAAATATGTGAGCAACGCAGTAGCATGTAGCTGCATGCACGCTTCAAAGAAAACACACATACACACTGGGCAAAGATTTCATTTTCACAAGATCCACACCAAACAGCCAGGGTAAGTGTTCACCACATGGGATGACTGTTATAATCCCACCTCTTCCATCGGATTATTTTTACAATCAAATATGACAGTCAGTCAATCATACTGAAATGATCACTCAAAGCAGAGCAGGAACAAAGATGGCCGGGGGGATGTTGGCAGGACATTGCAGAAATGTTATCGTAGCCTCAGTGAAGCAGGGTGAGGTGAAAAAGCAGGAAAGAGCAGTACTTTACCTGGCAGATTACCCTCATGCTTCTAGTAGGCTTCAAGGAGAAAGAGCAGATAGTTTGAACAGACAAGAGCAAGCAGAGCACAGGCCACACAACACTTGTTTTTTGCAGAATCACCCATACACTTTCTTCTCTCTCAAACTCACAGAACACAAGGTTCTCGTTCTCTCGCTCTTTCGGACAAACACGCACAAACAGGCTCTCTAACAGGGTAATACGGGAGTGAGAGATTTCCAAACTGCACAGATTGGAAATACTTTGAAGAAAAGCCTTTTTCTAAAGGGATGCAAACAAAATTATTGGCAGAAAAAAAAAGCCAAAAGAACATTTTTGAACCTATGAAGAGATTTCACACAGTGCACAGACGCAGGAGAGACGGGAGGTACACACGCACAAATTTCTCCCAAGTGTGGCATCTCAGAACTGGTTTCAAAAATGGAGTTGGACGACAAATCTGACAACATGAGGGCCAATTTGCATATATTCATAGAGGTTCTTGTAGTAAACACACAGGAGTAAAAATGCCAAAAAGAAGACACAAAATTTAAGAGTTCTGAGCACAGAGAGGAGACAAGGGAGTGTGAAATGTTTATGACAAAGACTCGACAGACAGAATGAGACAGAAACTGATGATTATTGAAGGTCCTGAAGACAGAAAAGAAAATGAAACTTTAGAGAGAATAGGAAGGAAGGAAGATTTGACAGCAGGGAGGGAAAGGAAGAAGATGTATCATATCAAAAATGTCTTTTTAAGAAGACATTTTCTTTGTCTTTTTAAAAAGACAAAGAAATACAGATTGAATAACATGAAAGTGTGTCTTAAAATAGTTAGGATTCAGAAAAGGTCAATTTTCTTAAGTTAAAATGAAGTCCTTAGTGAAGGTAAAGCAGTAACAGAAGGTCAAAGGAAAAAGAAAAGAAAAGAAAAAGAAGGCAGAAAATAACAAAATGACAAACATACAGAGAGAAAAAGAAATAAGAAACAAATAAAGAGAGGCATTCAAACTTCAGAGTCTCACCAATGAAACTATATCCAACAGGAAGTCCACCAGCTGACAGAATTCCACCAATGACAGCTCAGGAGGATCAAAGCTCCAAGCAAGCTGTGGTGCACGGGTGCTGCTGTTGAGGGTCCTCCTGCAACGAAGGCACGTTGTTTGATTATGGGTTAGTGAGTGGACTGTGGGTTACCTTCAGGATTGATGACATAATAGTCTTTGCTCTGGCAGTTGTGTATGTGGACGAGGAACTTTTAGCAGCTGGAAATAGCTAAAGCACAGCAAAACAAGAGGTAAGTCACATGACAACAGCAGCCTTTGTGAAGATAAAAATATCACTGCTGGAATCTGAATAATAATCCAAAATCTGTTTCAGTAACAACAAAGCAACTTCAATCTTCCTCAGATGTCACCCCCTATTCTTTAGACCTCTACTCTCGAAAGTTAAGTTATAACTCAGTGAGTGTTCTCTCAGGTGCATATGTATTCTACAATAGTTTTAACACACGGACCTGCAGCACTCCTCGAACCATCGAGCGATGTAGTCCCACATGTAATACGGCTCAAACGAGTTAAAGAGGAGGTTGGCTGTTTTAATCAGTTCAGCTGTCTTCTTGTTTTCTCGAAGTTTGCTGAGAAAGGAGGGAAAAAGCAAAACCCTATCATTAAACATTCAATACAATGCTAGTGATTAAGACTTGTTGACTGGTTCACTTAAATGAACTTATAATGTAAAGACTGATCATCAGTCTGTAGCTTCAGTCATCCTCTCACTGACCTGCTGAGGTGTGTGTGGTCTTTGCTGAAGGGACTCTGGTTTTGGAGGTCCAACTCTGTTCTGCACTGTGTGTGTAGAGTTCTGAACACCTCAATCAGAACATCTTCGAGGATTGCTGGACCTGAAAAGTGGGATAAATATGAGGATTGAGACAGCCTTATTTACAGATTGAAAGAACTCGCCAGCGTGTTGCTGCGTGCTCATTCAAATACTGCTTACCCAACTCTGGTTTGTCCAGCAAACTGATGAGGATGCGAAAAGGCTTGAGGTCATGCATGAGGATGCTCTCTTCTTCTCCACCTCGGGCCTTGCCTTGCAGAATCCCTACCATTGCCTGAAGTGAGTGGAAACACACAAAGATGAACACACCTTGATGACATTTGAGATCAAAATACATCTAAACTCCACAGGGCACTTTTTTTAAAAACCGTTTTAAAGGTTTTCTTTTGAGCCCCCTTTGATTTTTTTGTTTCTGTATGTGTTTCACGCTTCGTCTGCCACATAATAGGCCGAAGCCAGGAACAGACAGTCTCTGAAGTATAAACCGTCTCCCAGGGGAGGGAGCTCCAATAACTAACTCAGAGCAGATGGCAGAGCCGGCAACAAAAAAACAAACTAAGGGAAAACAAAAACAAACCAAAAACAAAAAAATCGGAAACACTAAAAAAATAAAAACTTCCCCCCTTGTTGCTCTGTGTGCCCTGTATACCGACCCCTGGAGAGCCAGAGCCCACGTGAGGAGGGTAGATTAGGTTCTTTTGAGCTTTAAAGTACAAATTACTCAAGTGTGTAAATGTGTGTGTGTGTATGAGGCCCGTCTGCAGGACTGATAAGTATCTTCAAAAGGACGGGCCTTTGGGAGGAATAGGAGGAAAGAGTAGGAAATTTTTTGCAAACACCAGGGAAGATGTGTGGGGGGTGTTGGAAGAAGCATGAAAGAAGATAGAGTTATTGAAAAGCAGAGAAGACAGATGAAAATCTGCAGATCATGCACACACTTCCCCGACTCATACCAATACACGTAAGCTCCTGAGAGACATCTAATTCAGGGAACATTGTAAAAGCTATTTTTACCTTTACTTAAGCTTGTGACATTTTTCAACTACGACTTTTACAATTAACTTGAAGCCTCACCTGGACCAGCATGTCTTTGGAGAAGGTGTTGAAATAGTGGCTAGCGTGCTCCTCTGGGTTGCTCTGTCGGGTGCTTCGAGGGCCTATCATCACCCCATTGTTGTCAAAGCCTTCAGAATACAAAAACAACACAGTTATAATCACATAATTACTCAGATACACATTCAGGACAAAGCAAAGAAAGTATCCAGAAAGCAGCCGATAGTATTGTTATGTTTAGCAGGAAGACTAAGTATCTTCCTTTTTACTAAGGCCAGACCCACACCGATCTGAGCCAGGCTAGACCATAAGTCTTGGCTGCTTTGCATTGGCTTTTTGCCATTAAGAAATCTCGCATGATGTTGCATTCAGTGTCAGTTTTTGAGGGGTGAGTTATTGTCATACAGTCAGTGACCATTCTAGGCTAAGCACTCACTTACCATTAGGTTCATCCACGGTGAGAAGCAAAAAAGGGAAAATAAACCAAGAAGACAATGACCAAAACAGACACAAGTTCCATAGAATATAAAAACCAAAATAGCAACAGAGCACACTGTGAATTACTTCTGAATGTGTGACATGAAACAGAACAATTTGTATCCAAAGGTTTAAGTATTTTCACTAAATGTACAATATTTTAAAAACTCTATGATGAGTGGGAACCCTTAGAAATTTGAATCTCAGTACTGTCAGCGTGTGTGTGTGTGTGTGTGTGTGTGTGTGTGTGTGTGTGTGTGTTTCATACCCAGCAGCCAGGCGTAGAGTCTGCGGTTGAGGGACATGTCTCTTCTCAAAACCACATGCAGAGCTGCTGACAGGATCCTGATCATGTCGGGGCGAGTCGCCTAAACACAGCAGAGCAGAGCAAAGTATTTGTAATTGATTCTCTCTGTCACTTTCCCACTTAAACACATATAAAGTGCACAAATGCAGACACATACCAACACACACATGCATTTCAGATGTAAGAAAAGAGCTATGTCCAGACCCTGACAGGTGCAGAAACATTAGGTAAAGAGTTAAGCAAGTAGTGAGCTTGAGTTTCTACCACTGCTCTTGTCAAAATTTCATTTTAAAATTTAGAAGAAGACAGACACATGTTCGAATGTGATATACAATTGCATCAAAGTCATTATTGATACTAAAGCTGACTCTAATTATTGTTTAAAGAAGCCTGTAATAACAATACACACAATAACGAATTTATTCTAATCAAAACTGTGAAAGTCCACATATATAGTAGACAAACGTGACACCACACATCAGCCAGATTACTCTGAAAAACTGTGTCTAATTCAATCAACTGAATCCGTTCCACTCACCACAGAGCCCAGCATGACCAGGTGGACTTCACACTGTTCATTCTATTTTTAGACGGCTGGTATTTTCATTTGGTTGTCACACAGAAATATGCAGTCCTCAGAGAGGGGCTCAAACTTGAATAAGCTAACACATTTCAAAGTGATCACAACTGTTACAGTTACAGGTAATGTCATGAAGCAAGATACCATAGTGGACATTTTATCATTACTTTTGAGAATGTAATAAATAAATAAAAATCCTTAAATGTGTGATCAAAAAAGTTGATTAATTCAGTATCTTTTTCTTTACTTCCAAACCCTGCAAAACAACTGCATTCTCACTTTATACATATACCATCTGCTCCGTGCATTTTGGCCATATGTGACACACATCATTTTTAGACTGCATTAAAGCAAGGCCTGGATCACACAGTTTTGCATACCTGACTCATATGGAAGGGGAAACAGAAGAGGATAAGATCCAGGGTGCTTCTCTGCACTAACACACTGGAGTCTTGGACTGAGGTACTGACAGCCTCCACCTGGAGAGAGAGCAGAGGCACACTTTTATTTAACAAGTCAACACATTCAAGAAAACACAACAGCTTATTACTGTTTACCTATTTCTGTCAACACAGTGAATGAGATTAAACCAACAAGGGTATACAATCTGAAAGAATCAACTCATGCCAGTCCAATTGATTTGTGACTCTCCTGGTAATTTAGTGGATTTGTTACCACCTGGCTTTGGTCCTCATGAGTTTAATTTAATGTTGCTGATGTATGTCCTCAAGTCCAGTCCTTGAGGCCCACTGTCCTGCATGTTTTGGATGTTTCCCTGCTCCAACACACCTGATTCAAATGATCAGTTCGTTATCAAGCTCTGTAATGGCTTAGTAACGAGCTGATCATTTGAATCAGGTGTGTTGGAGCAGGGAAACATCCTGAACATGCAGGACAGTGGGGGGCTCGAGGACTGGACTTGAGAACCACTGTATGAATATATCATCTAATGGACTGTTCTTGCTGCAGTATGCTGTCCCATACCATGAGTTCAATGTCACTGCCCATGACGTAGAGCTGGTCCTCCATGGAGAGCTTGCGATTGAGGTGCAGCAAAACAAAGGACACCCCGGGGAGACGCACAGCAGGGCTGGTAAGGATGCTGCCCCACAAGGCACTGTAGAAGGCTGACTGCTCCACCGCTGCAGCCACCTTCTCTAACAGGGTGTTAGTCCTAAGGAAACACAGGGAGGACCCAGTGAGCCTGCCTTTGAACTGCACACCTCAGACTACATTAGCACCAAACACTGATAAAGAAGATTTAGTGTCCCCTGGTTTACAGGTAAATACTTTTTTTTTCATATTATAAAATCACCTAACAGCACGCAACAATCTTTTCTATTTACTGGTACTTCACTGGGTGGAAATAAAAGAAGCACCAGGGAGAAAGGGAGGGAAATGGGTGGAGTACAGAGACAGAGAGTGAGAGAGTAAAGGGAAGAGAATCTCAGTCATCATCTAATTATACTCAGCTTTCTCTGAACAGATCACTCTTGCTGTTTATGAAACCGTTTGGATCACACTCTCAAGCTTCAGTTTGCAGTTTCCATTGAATAAGCCAGGTTTCTTGCCAGTGCCTGAGCATAATACCTCATTAATATTGTCTTATCTCAGTCTCAGATGGAACAGATGGCACATTATGGTGATCAAAGCTGATAAGACAGGAGATATTTTACAATCCAAGTCGGAGAGTAAACCCACATAAAAGTCTTCTTTGTGGATTCAGAGTCATAGAAACTAAGGAAAAACTGTAAACAAAGGCCTTTGCAAATGTATAACATTTTAATACCATGTCAGTTAAAGCACAAGTGGTATTAATATTGATGATAAACTCTGACACCCCTCAGAAGGGAAACTATGCTGCTGTTCTTAAAGTGAACAGTCACATTTCAGAACGAACACATTTGAGAGGTTCAGCTCCTCTCTCTCCCTTAAATGATGTCACCGTGGTCTATCCTGTAACAGCAGCACCCTCTAGGGTCTGTGAAAGCAAACACTGATGAGAATTTCACATGAAGTTAGAACTTTACATATAAATGCAACGTAAATAGATGAATGGACGGAATAAATGTGTGTTAGTCCTGGTATAAAACAGTCACGATCTCATCTCCTGTGCGCCAAGAGTGGTGGTCTGTGTTATTATGAGTTTGGAACATTAGATTTGCAGTGACTCATCCGTATCTCATGTATCATTCATAGAATCTAAAATCAATTTCCGTCCACATTATGCTACAAACTCATTTCTCTCAATCGTTTGTTCCAGCGCCCGTGTGCACTCAAGTCTTTCAAGGTGTTTTTGTTTTTTTTCTTTTCATTTCTTGGGCTCACCTGTCATAATACTCAGAGCCCTCCTCCAGACCAGGCAGGACCCCAGTCAGGAGCCCCTGCAGGCCTGGTTTCAAAGTCTTCCCCAGGGGTAAGTAGTAGGTCTCATAGAGCCCAAGCAGCACAGGCTTCACAGACATGGCGGCATTGGAGAGTAAAGGGAAGAGCCCAGAGCTGCAGTAATGAAAAATTGATAAGAGATGTCAAGATCTGATACTTGCAGAAAGCTTTCTGCTTTCAGGAATCTACAGGCCACTGGAAGTGGTATGACAGCGTTACCTGTAAAGAAAGAGGTCTTTGGCTAGCCTCTTGGGACCAATGATCTTGAAGATGATCTCGTAAGTCTCCAAAGCCTTGCGATGGACCCCGCTGGGCAGGGCAGGATGGAGGCATTGGGCCAGCCGCTTGCCTATCGTCAGCTTCTTGGGAACCACTTGGTATTTTGCATTGTTCTGCAAAACCTGGATTTGAATGTAAAGAACATTTGGCATTAATCACATTAACAGCCTCTAAGAGCTTCTTATGATTGTGACACAGTATCAAAATAAATCAGAATTAGGTTTAACCATAAGGACTTTGTCTTGGTGTTTGAACTCAGAATCAATGAAAACTTTTAATGCCAGTACGTGTCGTCGGTTAGTGTTGCAAAATAACTTGCAATTTCCTTATTATCCAAGTTTAAGCCTTTTTAACAAACAGTCTAAAAAACAAAATGAAGAATTTATATTTCACATAAACAAGTTATCCCTTCTCACTCTGCATGTGTAGCTGATAGAGCTTTGGACATGCATTCGTAGCACTTTGCTGCAGCCGACTAAAGCTGAAGTTAGCCATCAGCCTCCACAAGATTTACTGGTGCCAAAATAGTACTGCTTTTTTTTGTACTACCTGTTCCTGTATGCAGCAGGAACATGTTGTTGTGCCTATTGTGTGAAATATGAATACCAGGAAAAACAATGAGTTTTAGCTGTTTAGCACTCTTGTACATATTAATATTTACTTGTTTATTACACATCAGAACTTTCCTCCACACTTGTCAATGTTTGGTCGTTTGAGTCATTGGCAGCATGAGACCATGAGCTTTCATTTCAAACAGTTATTGACACAGGGCTGTCACCGAGTGGTCAGATTCCAGTCTGAAATCTACCCCAGCTCACCCCTGTCATTAGTGAAGCATCCTCCATTTATTAAGTTCTTTCAGCTAAAGTCCATAAATACGTAATTCCTTTGCTCATATCAACTCCTCTCTTGTTTGTCTTTCAGTTGGTGCTTTTTGCACCACCACTCACTAAATACAGAAATGCATATGATGCTGGGTTTGTCCAGTCTGAGCTGCTGTAGAGACATGAAGGTGCAAAAGGCCAGCTCAATATCTGGTAGGAATAAAACTCATTATGTGGTTACGAAAGGCTTATTCTGGGGTAACAGAAACAAAAGGATTTTTATATTCACCTGATTAAACAAAAACATACTTAATTGTTCCGTGTGGTGACCTTGAGTGTCCTGAAAGACGCCGATAAATAAAATGTATTATTCATTATAATAACCAAAATTGTATCCCACTTCTACTTCTTCTGCTACCTGCCACTTAATACTACACATCGTACACCTTCAGCGATCTTATCAGGTATGCGCAGACTGCACTTTTCTACATCTTGTGATCACCTCAAGTGTAAGTCTAGATGCAGTTTGTCTTACCTTGTTGAGTTTGCCCAGTGCTGAGATAAGATCTGCCCACTCACTGGAGTATTCAAAGTTCTTGAGGGCTTTGTCCACTGCTGCCACATAGTTCCTGTACTTGGAGTCACTGAGCAGCTCCACTTCCTCTGCATTCATTATCTTGGGTGGTTAGTGTGCTAATGTAAAACACCAGGCACGCATAAGTGCATCACTCCTGCGATGAAGACAAAAATGACGACGATTAGACCAATAGATCAAAATAGACTCTTTTTACGAGTAAAAGATAAATGATTGGCTATGAGAGACGCAAAACCTGAAACAATCGGCATGTCATATTACATCCATCAATATACAGGTGGCACTATTATGTTTCAAGAAGTCACATAACTCAAGCACAAATACAACTTGCTTCAAGTGTTTGTGATAAAGAAGTGCAGCCAGCTTGGTAAATGATAAAGTGAAATCTTGTACAAAATGTGCAAAGTTCAGAGAACAAGTGGAGTCACCATCTTTCACACAATGCTTCTCCTGTCAGGCTCACAATGCAGTCTTTCAGAAAAACATTTATTTTAAAGGAATGTCATTCAAGGCAATGGATGCTGTTGCTGGTAGGCTGTAGAATGAGGAAAATGATTGATATTTTAATTACCATAAATGCTTAATAAAGATGAAAGATACTGGGTCCATGTCAGTGCAGTTTCAAGCTTATCAAGTCTGTTAGAATCTGTTTCTCTGAATTGGCACAAAGGAGTTCAACAGCATTTGAATCCACAAAAAAAAAAAAAAAAAGATAAATGTGACCTTTTCAAATGAAGAGATTCAGCAATGTGTGTGATGTTTGTTTCTAACACTTGAAAATACTTCGATACAGGAAACATCCTGAGACTGGCAGTACATATCGGCAGAAACTTTCATATCTGCTGGTACTACAAAGTCACTTTTTAAGCTAGTACCTGCCAGTACCAATAGTAAGCCAATAATTTGGATCCTGTTATCATGCTGACATGTTAAGTCCATGACACACAGCATCACCGAGGCTGACAGCTACTAATGAGACTGTTTTTGTGTTTGCATAACATTTCAGAAGGACATGAAAGGACTAGAAATAGGGCTGGGCGATAAAACAATAACGATATATATCGAAAATTAATCTCCCTCAATATCAATATAAAACATGGTCAATATGCTTTTCGATAGTCAGCATTCTGCCATGTTTTGGTAGACTATATGAATAGCCAATGAAAAGGGGAGTTCTCGTGCTGAGCCAATCATGTGCTGAATTAGAACCAAGTAGGAAACAACTGTGTAGTAGCAGGCTCCAGCTACATGCAAGTAGACACGAAGCAGAGTAATGTGCACTGCAAATTATGTCGAGTACATGTTCTCGCAGAGTCGGGGAATACCTCAAATCTTTTCACCATCTGAAGCAGTGCCACGCAGCAGAGCACGCGCAATGCAAAAAGTTACAAACCCCAAGCGTAGCAAGGAGCCCATGGAGCCTGTGCAGCCGAAACAGCCAACAATTCAGTCTGCTTTCTCTAGCGCAACGCCTTACGACAAAACGTCAAAGAGACGCAAAGATCTCAGAGATGCAGTAGCTTACTGTATCGCAAAAGACATGCTACCAATAAGCACTGTTAAATTTGTTTTTTTGTATCGTGATATATATCGGAATAAGGGCCCGACTGATATGGAATTTTGGGGCCGATGCCGATTATTAGGGAGGGGGGGGGAATCCGATTAATCGGCCGATTTCAAAAATTTTTTATGAAGTTATGAAAAATATATATACTGTAGATGTCTACAGTATACTATATACTGTAGCTATACTGTAGGTTACTGCTCTTCACGCCGACAGGAAGACCAACTCAGACCAGAAGAGCGTTTTCAACAGAGCGTCCCCCCGCACGTCGATCTGTGCCTCTGCGTCTTAACTGACCTTACTCATTTCCAGTCCGGTCTCATCTGGAGACATGCAGCTGCCTCAGTAAGAGAAGTAGCTCGATCACGTAACGTGTACTGTGTGTACTGTTGTTTATTCTACCGTTACTGGCACGGCTAACAGTGTAGCAAGGCTAATAGCAGGTGGCTAACTCTAACTTTAGCTTGCATATTACATGGTGCTTCACCGTTTACTTGGAGTGACCGTGAACATCTTGAAGTAGGTTGAACTGAAACTTGTTAACTTATTGTCTACCTCACAAACTGGTTTATTTACCATTGAGGCGGACCACTCTTATTGGATGAAGATTATCATGAGGTCGCTGCGCCATTTACAGGATAGTCGGGGAACTTTTTAAATGGTGGAACATTTTTGAAGTGAAACCGAATCTTATTCTCTGCATTTTATTTCTGAAAAAAATCGGCGAAAATCGGCAAGTTTTGGCCGATTATCGCTTAGTCTCAAACGGGCTAAAATATGCCGATTTAATCAGCTTGTCGATAAATTGGTCGGGCCCTAATCAGAATCGACTAATATGAAAAAAACATATTGTGATAAACTTTTTCCCATATCCCCCAGCCCTGATTAGAAATAGAAATGTAAGAGAATCTTACTTTTACCAGCTTTGCACAGCAGTATGTTACTTTCATGCGAGATGTACTGTATGTTTTGTCACAGCAGGAAAGGTGGAACTAACATGATTACTGGTGACTCAGTAGCAAAAAATTGTCCCAGTACAGCATCTGAGTGAACCATCAAGCTCAGTGCTGCTGTGACGAAAGGATGCCATTAACCACACCTGTGCATTCAAAGGAAATCAGCCGTCCAGATTGTTTACAACAGATCATATGGACGTAAACGAAATTTTATATTTTCCATAACGTTTGAAAACTCTCTCAGAAGAAACAAGAGGTAGCTATTTTACTGTAAATTCATGTAAATGTAATGTTCAGCTGTAACAGCTGGAAGTTTTGCTCTTAGATAAACAAACTTGCTTAAAGCAACTCCAAAGTGTCAACAGCAGGTAGATAGATACCTGTCAGGAAATGGAGCATTTTTATGTATACCAAAACACAGTAAGAAATTTGATTTCAACCCACCGTCAATACAGAAAATAAGAACATAAACATTTAATAATAAATGTCACATTGCTGTTTAGTTTGAGTTACAGATAGGACTAGCAAACGTTTAGCTAACAGCTACCTGCTGTCACGAGCTAGGTGAGGTGAAAGCAGCTAACGTCAGCTACATGACACTAAACAACCTTCAAATTCACAACGTAGAGGAAAGCTTACCGGTTTAAGATAAAGGCCACCTATGTCATTCAATCATGAGTCGGGGGGTTCAGCAGGTGAAAACGGCTGACGGCGTCAATGGACAGCAGGCTAGCTAACGGTTGTCGGTTATTGAAATGATGGAGATGCAGGGCCCGGCTCCGATGTCAGCATTACATTACAGTCACGTCCCTTTACGACAAGGCTCAGGAGGAAGACAACATGTCCTTATTCCCTACATATTCTGAGATTTTCAAGTATTTCCCCGCCGAGTGTAAATAAACACTGATGAGCGCGTCAGTGGCTTTCTGTGCCAGAGATACAAAGCGATACGATTGACAGCTCCCAGACTGCACTGCAGAGTAGCGGCACGTCCAACCACAAGCGTCCAACTGCTCAGCTCTTCCGCATGCACGTCTTCCGCCTCTTGGCCCAATGAAGTTACCGTACACACAGCAAACAACAGCGGAACTAATACGTTTTTACTCTTCAAAATAAAAGGTTTCGATTTTCAATTTTATAATAATAATAATAATAATAATAATAATAATAATAATAATAATAATAATAATAATAATAATAATAATGACAATAACAACAACAACAACAATAATATTAATAATATTAATAATAATATTTTTACATATAATGCACCTAAATCTTTGAAGTTGGTTTGAATGTCTCCATGATCATAACACACAATCCCCCATTCTCAAAACCCTAGTTTATCCCTGATATCCCTACGGTTTTTATCTCCCTGTCTGAGTCTAAGAATCACGAGATTACCAACAATGCAAAGAGTGCAAATGCTGTTACCAAACTCCGAAGTGTACCCAATGCCATTAAATCAGGTTAATTTGAATTTCTTCAACATTAGCACACCTAAGCACATTATGGGTTTTGAAAGTGCCTGTAATAATCACCAATCCTGTGGCACTGACTCAAAATCTTTGCCCCAGAATCTTTTTTTTCCAGCTAATTTACTATTGCAGTGTATATTTAATAAGTGTGATAAGCCCATCACCGTGTCTTCAAAATACAGGTATATGTTTTAATTTTGATACCATATAATGACTCTAACTAAGAAGATTTTAAACTCTCACTTATGCTTGATTGCTATATACCAAAAGGCACGTGTCATAAACAAAGGCAAGAACTCAAGGAAGACTCCATCTGTGTGTGTGTCACTCTGATTAATACTCATGAAAAAGAAGAGAACACACATGCACATGAGAGATCCTCAGTATACTCTGTTTACAAAAGAACCATTAACTGATGTTTAGATTTAAAAGTGCAAAGTATAGGAGGTACCGACTGTGTGACTCAAGTGTAAAAAGGCCCATTCATAAAACACTTAACAGATCCTTTCGTGCACTCTAATGTGCATCTCAAATATAATGGGGCCCTTCGGTTTTATTTTGAAGCTTCAAACCGGATGCTCATATCTCACTGTTAGACACTTGCGGACGACCGTGGCATCACGCTGCAGAGAGGCAACAATCAGAAACTGTATACAATTTAATAGACTACATGTGCTTTTATGATTGTCTTTCTGTGCGAACGCTCATGTTGTCCCGAGTCATTACTCAACTCTGAGCTTTGATCCGGGTATATTTTCAATCTTTTTTTGTTAAATATTACGATTTCTGAATGTCAGACTCAAAGATGCCAGCCACAACACATGGGGTTGGAGTGTTCTTGGAGCTGAGAAAAAGGCTGCAGAGTGGACTACTTATCGTCAGGTACTTTCTTCATTTGATACCTGGTTACATACACGTGGCATTGTTATTTTGAGCGAAAAACTTCAAATTAAGAAGGTAACAATCAAAGTTAGGATCCGTCGCTAAAAGCACTATCAGCTCAGTTTAATGTATGGACAGTGATGCTGCAGTTTACAAACAGACAGGCATGGTAGTATTAGGGCCTTCTATTTAAGGGGGTTTGTGAGGGGATGGGGACCTAGGTGTAGGATTTCAGGTAGACTGAAAATGCTTTGAAAACACATGGTGGAGTTTTGAATTAAAACAAGCAACAACTAGAAGCCAGCAGAGAAACAGTGGGCCCAGTACCTTGCCTTTTTGGGGTGGTTGAAAACCAGTGAAGCAGTCGCAATTCAGATCATCTGCAGGCTTGACTGTGCATGCAGTTAGGACTACCAGTAAGGAGTTGCAGTAGTCAGTAGCCTAAATGTTCCAGGAGCTTGCTCTAACTGGTATAACCCTTTAATGTCCGACACCACAAATTATGGCCAGAAATTTCAGATTTTTTTGGAGTTGAAATGTTTATTTCACCTACTACTGAAAACCAAAGAAATCAAAATGTCCTTAAAATTTAACAAATATATTTATTTATCTTGTTTAATACATTAGATGTTTTTGGAAACTAATATACTAAAAGAGGACATTTTTATAGTTTATCGGACTGTATTCAGGTGTTTTTTTAGTAATTTGTTGATCATATTGATTTGATAGAAGTATATAAGAGTATGTGTCAAATATGATACAAAAGACATTAAAGGGACAAGGTCTGATCTTCTTGATGTCATACAGGGCAAATCAGCATGACCAAGCAATCAACGCCACATGAATCGTAACACCAAGGCAGACTTAAGGGGCATAAGTGCAGCTTGACCAACAGGGTGTTGATCCATGATTGTATGGAGGGGCTGACTGGAATGACAAGAAGCACAGCCTCAGAAAGGTTGAGCTGATGGTGTGTCATCTTAGGGAAACGATAAGGAGAGCTGGGCATCACCTGTAAAGCAATGGAAGTGGACAGTTGCACCAGACACAGGGATGCATATTGAAAAAAGGAGGGGACTAAGCATAGACCCTTGAGGAACCCCTGTTGGTAAGCCATGCAATTTGTACTCTCCTACCCTCTATTATACTCTGAAAATGAAGTAGGAAATAAACCAGTGTAGGTCAGATCCAGAGACTGACAGAGAAGGTCAGTGGGTGTGGAGAGGACAATTTAGTGGTTCACTGTGCCACGGGCTGCTGATTGATCCAGCAGGAACTGGACTGAGGACTGCAGTTCAGTAAAGTAGACCGACTTAAAACCAGACTAATTTGGGTCAATCGGGTGGTTTCTGTACAGGAATTAGAAGACCTGATTAAAGATTAATACTTAATTTTTTCCCCCGGTCAGTTAGGGTGTGCAGTACCATAGACCTATTCATTCTGTGAACATGTTCTTAATGGAAAAATGACATTATTACATCAAACAGCTTACACAAGACATCCAAGTTTCATAGACAGGAGAGTTGGAGAATATAAGAGGAACAGATGCAAGAAGGAACTAGACACTGTTCACTACATACCACTGTAGTGCTCACCATAATGATGATAAAGACAGTCTTTCACCGTCTGCATTCTCAAATGTAGCTTGTTGTTTCTATCAACCACAAATCCTTCGTAGGTACAGAGTCCTACTTTACCCAACAAACAGTATTTTTCTTGTACTTATTTGCGTAATGAAATAAGCTTGTTGCAGTACAGATGGCCTTAAACAGATCAGGTTTCCTGAAAATCTCAAAGCGACAGCGGAATATGCATTTCCGACACGCTTATAGTTCTCTGTGAGCCTGAAGTGATCAGACTCAGTCATTAAAGTACCTAGAGGCTCCTAAAAAAGAGAGAGAAACTGGTGAAAACATATCAGAGATGCTGTTTCAAGTCAATTTCTTTTGGTCCTTGAGAGGAGCAATTGTGCCATCATTTTTTTCAAGTAGCCTCACAAATCAAATGATTTGTTCAGTTTCCTCAGCCTTTGCAGACATCAACAGTGAGTGTAGCGAATATACCACAGACATGGGCAGATTAGCACGATATGTTTAGATATCGTATTGATAGATGCTACACTCTTGCTATTCATATACTCTTTCTTGGTTCAAAATTAGAATGAAGGACTTGTTCTCGTGGTGCACTTACTTTTACTGTAATAATGGATTTTATTTAAGTCACCAATTGAAGCATGTCTTCCACTTTTCTTTGTACCTCTTTGTGTCCTTGTGTGCTTTGCTAAATGACTTGAATGGTTGCCTCTGTGCTTTTTTATTGGGCAGATTCTTCTTGGTACAGCCAGACCACTGTGGCAGAAAAAGAACCAGTCCATAAAAGTTCTGTCCATAAATTCATAACTTGTCATGCTATCTCCACTTTTTATTGACATATATAATACGCAGTGGCAAAGAAAGAGTTAGCTCATCTTAATTAAAGGAGCTCGTGTGTGTGAGAAGTGGATGCAGTTCACCTTATTATCACTAGATGGAACTAATGAGATTTTACGGACTCTCAGTCGAGCTCTGTGCCCCTCAGAGCAAGACTTTGAGAGCAGAGGTGAGTCCATACCAAAGTGCTTGATAGGGGAAAATCCCTTTTCTTATGTCCAGGAAATAAATCATGTGATTTGTCAAGATTATAAAAGCTTAAATCATTTTTTCCCAACAAGAGACAGAATAAAGACCATTTTCCACTGAGATTCAGGGCACTGTCTGCTATCGGTGAAAAAGTAGAACATTTAAAAAAAAGTTTTGCTGGAGGAGGTGCTTAGCCTGCATTCAGGTAGTAAAAACTTTGCTTCTCTCAGCTAGTCAGTCATAATTCAGCACTTCCTTCAGCTGAGGCAGCAGCACTCGGCAGGAGGTACAGAGGCTATTTTCAATTTAGCAGTGTTATTTATCATAGTTTTCACTTCAGCGGGCCCAGTTCTGCAGAAAACAGTGGAACTGCCACAGGACTCTTATGACCATGTAAGAGAACTCACAAAGAGTGCTTAACAGGCAAAAAAAACGAGTTTCATGTACACCACACCAAGAAGATGAATGTTTGAACCAAAGATTGACTCATTCATCACAGTATAGAGAAGTGGACTTCTCGATACCATTAATAATTGCATGGTTTGTTCTTGGCGTTTGAGTTATATTTGATTGTTTTTCACTTATTTCAATTCCAGCATTGGTAGCATTCACTTTGGAAGTCTAATATTACGTGCTGAAAAGTCTTAAAATTTAGCCCAACTTAAAGCTCCTATGGGTTTTTTGACGTCAGTGAAGTGAACAAAAACTTAGATTAATGCTGGGACATGGTAACCAAAAGAAAATAAGACCATAAACTACAAATTTCCCATGGCTGGAACTTGTTGAAAGGGTTAGGTGTCAGCCAGTTACCTAAAGATGTAGATAGAATAAGAACTTTTATCCTAGAGGGAAAATTCAGTTTGCCTCGCTTCTACAATTTCCACTAAAAGATTTACAATAAATGATACATTTGACTGTCAAAAGTCAGCAGAGACAAAGACTGCTTGTAAAAAAAAAAAAGTGCTACAAAAATAGTTCCATGCTGTGGAAATTTTTCTATATCTGCCACAAGATTTAGATACCCACTAGCAAAGGGCAGAAAGTAACACTATATCTATTCTCATTTATTGACTGTATCTTCTATAAAAAGTTAAGCACTTCTCTTTATATTACATTTCAGCAAGTACTGAGTAAGAAAAAATCACTGAAAACATGTCAGTTTTACATCAACTCCCTGATTGAATGATGTCAAGTTTCACATAAACTCGTATATCGTCAAATAAAGTTGTCCCAGTTTCAAACAAAATATCTTATTAGACCTAACATTGACCTGACAGCTCCAAATATAAATCGTGTTTGGAAATATTTTAAACCTAAATGTTGTTTTTTTTCCGGAAAAAAAAAGATAAAATTTAAAAAGCTTAAGGTTGTGGGTCTTTAGTGGTTTTGTTACAGATGTTTTTAGGGGAGCTGTTCATAGTCTGTTTCCTAAGCTGATAGATGTCAAATCGGCTGCAAAGATATGAGAGGTTTTGATCTTCTCACCTTAATCTCAGAAAGGAATCAGGTAACAGAAATGGTTAGTGTCTTGTGTTTCTCTTTCTCCTCTGTTTCTTTAAGTCTGCGTAGTATGAACATCTTCCCACATTTGCTTTCCAGGAAAAATGTGGCCAAAAGTCCTGCAGACGTGGTCGTGACTGGTGGAGATTTGTCTCTCTGCATCCAGACCCCCAGAGGTGAGCTGAGCTTGATATTGCCAGCAGGAGTCACCTTCGAGCAGGGATCCTGCATTCCCACACCTGCGGGAGAGTCCTGTGAGGAGGAGCTGCATTTCAGACTACGGATAAGTGTTGGAAAAAGCACAGATGAAGGTAATGTTGAGGACAACTATGGAAATACATTCAGGCACGTGCAGCCTCCCTCTGCTCTGTGAGCCTCCTCTGTGCCAAGATGAGAACAAAGTCTTTCGGTGGCTATTTAGAGCTGGCTTTCTATTTTGAATTAATTGGATTGAGTCACTTGGTCATCAGAGACAATAAAGGTGTAAAAATTTGCTCTGGGGATCCTTAGCAGCCCAAAGGCAACTGATCATCAGAGTCATGAGAAAATTCCCGTTTGATTTGATCTCACACCATCAAAAGTGTGCCCCAGAGTTATTGCATAATATCCACAAACTCCATCTCTTGGCATTTCCTGAGATTTTTCATGTCCCTCCTGGCAAAGGAGGAAGTTACAGCTAAGGACAGTTCTCATCAAATCCACTCAGAATCAGATTGATGGCCCTCTCTCTGGGCAACCCTCCTTTGCCACCCAGTATTTTATCGATTTTGTCCTCTGTAGTACAAGGTTAGTACTCTTTCTAAATATCCGACTCATTTATTTGTTTGTTTTTGGCTCTCCTCAGATGTTTCCAGCAGCGTGATTGAGAAACTTCGGGCCAAAGAGACGTATTGTTTCCACTGCCAGAGCTGCACGACCCGTCTGCTGGAGGACAGGTGAGGGGCAGACGGAAGAAGAGGACCTGTGGAAATGCTTTTTTTATTTACAGCCACCTCCTCAGGAAGAGGAGTGAGTGTTTATTGGCGGTTTGACCGACTGGTAGGAGTGACAGTCAGGGAGAGAAAAATTGATGGGCTGAGCTTGAGCTGAGTCCACAGCTGTCAGCCTGACTGGGTTAGAGTTATAGGGCTGCTGTGACGTAAAGGTCTGTTCTGCCCATTAAAAAACAATTCCCTCGTACCTCGAGGTGGCTCGCCTGGACACTGTTATTGTTCTTATTGCCTTTAGCTTGTAGCTTTCTCTGGTCAGCAATGTGACATGCTGAAAATTGCAATAGCTGCATTACTCAGACCCCTGGCCCCTGGCTGTGTTTCTCAGCAAATACCAACTATGAGTCGCCACATAAATCTTTTTTCATTTTCAACAAGGGCAGAGGAAAGTACACGAGACAGGAAAAGTGCTTGAAGCAGGTTAAAAGTTAGAATTTCAAGAACATTATGCCTCATTATGCTCTGATACAGTTTGGTCCATTTACAGAAGTAATAATACAGCCATCGACTGAAACCCATAAAGAAGTGCCCTCTGAAGTTTCTTTGCATAACCTAACATAATTCATGCTTTATAGTAATGGATGAAGTGAGTGTTGTACAAAGCAGTGCCAGCTAGTATATTATATACAAAGACAGGTTATCGAAGGGGGGTCCCAGAATGGTATTCAGCACTTAACCCAGGGGTGGGCAATCATGTGCCATGGAGGGCCAAGAGGCTGCAGGTTTTCTTTCCAACCCAAAACTCCACCAGGTGATTTCACTGATTAGTTCCTGCTCTCTGCTTGGAGGTAAGGTAATCAGTGAAATCACCTGGTGGAGTTTTGAGTTGGAAAGAAAACCTGCAGCCTCTCGGCCCTCCATGGCACATGATTGCCCACCCCGGACTTAACCTGTTCCAGTGAGCTTTTTTTGTGTTTTTTGGTCCCTTTTTTTATTTTAGGGCTCCAAATTTTGACCTATTGATAAGTCACTTGGCCCTTATCATAAGGTGACCAGATGTCCCCGATTTACGCGGACAGTCCCTGTAGTGCAGTGGTTCTCAAGTCCAGTCCTTTAGCCCCCCCCCGTCCTGCATGTTTTGGATGTTTCCCTGCTCCAACAGAACTGATTCAAACGATTGGCTCGTTATTAAGCCATTCCAGAGCTTGATAACGAGCTGATCATTTGAATCAGGTGTGTTGGAGCAGGGAAACATCCAAAACATGCAGGACGGGGGGGGGGCTCCAGGACTGGACTTGAGAACCACTGCCATAGTGGATGACCTGTTCCTGGCTCAAGAATGAGAACAAAAATGTTGTGTGTAGATGAGAGCAACGGTTATTACGGCAGCAGAGTAGGTACGGAGCACAAGTAAGCATGTTGCGTGGAGTCCTGAACAACAGTCTTTACGGGTGGTTATAAATGTAGTATGTTGTCTGTGATCACGCATCTGTGACACCCCCCTCGCACTCCGGATGTCCCCGAATTTCATTACAGACATCTGGTCACCTTACCTTATCAACCTTACTTCAGTCTTAGTCTAATCAGAATTAGCATAAACGGGTTCACATAAACACAAATGTGCTTTTAAATGATTCCTGAATGCCCACAATTGAGTCGCAATCACATTAGCAACAGCAACCTAATAAGATTGTAATATACTGATATTGTGTTTCAAGCTTGTGCCAGTTGCAACAGATAAAGGCGTATTGCTCAGCTCTATGTTGATATGCTATTCAAAGCTTCAAAGTTAACAAACTGCAGTTACTTATTACAGCTTTCACAGATGGCTTTGGACCCCTGCTTAATTATTTTAGAAAATAAGGTTATTTTTATTAGAAGACACAATAACATTTAATGAGTCAGTATGAATATTTTACTATAGAGTTTCTGTAATTTTAAAAATAATGGAGAAAGAGCTAGGCAAACTTTATCCTCTTGGGTCAATTGGACATTTTTTATCAGATTTTTCTCATTTGTTTTCTAATCTTTTCTGGTGTCAGGAAACTTATTAAGAAAAAAAATCGATAAATATTATTGAACAGCAACTGAGAGAAACTTTTCTTTTCTTTGTCCTCTTCTTTAGAGTTTTCAAGCGAGTTCTTCCTCTCCCTAACGGCAACTGGAACGCCATCGTAGACGACTGGTGTTGTCATCCAGATCCCTTTGCTAACAAGAAGCTGCTGCCCCGAGCAGAGGATTGTTTATTGGGTGACACTTTCCTCCTCCTGGCCAGAGACGGTAGCTGTGAGCAGACTCTAACTAAGGAAGTGAGCCCTGTTGGCTCAGAGGACAGTCAAGATCCTAAGGTGAGAGATGTGTAAAAGAAAATACTCACAAAAAGTTTTTATCCTAGTCCGTCAAAGTTAGGGATTACATCTCCTATTTTAGGGTAGTTGAACAGATTATCTTTGACTGTTTCATGAATATTCAACACTTGTTTTGAATTTGATGCCAGCAACACATCTAGAAGGGTAGCACAGATTCTTGTTCACCACTGTAATCCATGTAACACTCTGTAAATGCTTGAAAGCTAAGGAGACGATTTTCTGCAGTTTTGAAAATGTTGTCCCATTCTTGCCTGATGTGGGATTTAAGCCGCTCAACAATTCAGGGTCTCCTTTGATGTATTTTTTATTTTGTGATGAAATGTGTTCAGTCAAGTCAAGACTGCAGGCAGTCAATCCAGTTTAGCACCTGGACTTGTCTTATATGAAGCTGTGCTGTTGTAGTTTGTGCAGAATCTGGTTTGCCATGTCCTGATGACATGTTCAAGGTCTCCCTTAAAAAAGGCATTAACTGGATGGCAGCATATGTTGATTTAAAACCTGTATATACTACGCAGAGACTGTACATACTAGGCCTGCACGTTATATCGTTTGAGCATCGTCATCGCGATGTACGTGTGTGCGATCGTCACATCGCAGAGCTTGCGATGTCGGAGGTTGAATGAACCCAGTTAATTTCAAGGGTAACTGACTGAGATACACTGCATGCGACTCTGCATGTGCTTTGCAGCGATCCACCAATCACCTTCGTTCTTTACTCAGTTGCCAATCAGACTCAGTTCTCAGTTGCCAATCAGACTACTCTGCCAGCTGTCAATCAAAATCAGAGAGGAGGAAACCCACCCCTGCACATGTTCTGCACATGGAGGGAGTCGCTACCGGAGTTGAGCCGAGAAACGCTTGTCGGCTGAGAATTACTTTCGGAACATTACTCATCACTGTTTAGCCCAACAAATAAGAACTGAATGGGTTTTAAATTGTACATTTCCGTGGACCACTCTATTATAAGCAGTGCGCGTTTTGTGAGGTGCATGCAATTCTCGGAGGAGACGCGTTTCTCAGCACAACCCCGTTAACAACACCAACAACAACGATCGCAAACTGAGCAACAAACAGAGAAAACCACCTTAGATGAAGACTTGTTGCCAAAAAGAAAAGGAAAGTCAGTTATCTGGAATTATTTCGTTTAAAAGAAGGATGATGTCGACCAAAACACGTGTTATGTGTTCACCTGTTTCCACAATAACGTCCCAGAACAATAAAAGCAAAAAATATCTCTGAGACAGACAAAAGCCATTCTACTAACATTCACAAAAAGAGGTAGGATCAGTGCAGGTTAACTGTCCTCAAGATTTCAGCAGTGCATCACAACATAAAGTGCTATCAGGTCATCTGGTGAAAATTCCTGTATTTTTTAATATCGCAATATATATCGCAGGGTTGAAAAAAATCGCAATGTAAGTTTTTTCCAATATCGTGCAGCCTTAGTACATACTATGGACAACTTGGTTCTGCCTCTCGCCTGTATACATATTTGAAGCCAAATAGCTCTCAGTATTTCCGGGATTTTTTCGGGCATGCAGCCGCTGAGAGTCGCTGTGATGACGCTCGGCTCAAACAGCGTATCCCCCGGGAGAGCTACGGAATCCCTGAACGCCCATAGGGTGTATCAGGTGCCAATCATAGAAAATATGAACCCCCTAATCACTTTTAAAAACGGAGCTGTACAGAAAAAAGAGGACTTGAGCACAAACCAGTCTGACAGTAACTACATGTCAACATCACAAGCAGGGGGGAGAAAATTTTATATTCTGTGTAATAAATTTCTAAAGTTTGTCCACAGCCCCATAAACTTTGCTGGCGGAGGCGGGATTTATGACCTATACTGCAGCCCATCAACAGAGGGTGCTGTTCTCTGAGTGGCTTCACCCAGCGAGGAGGCAGACTCTGTCCATTCTTTATACAGTCTATGATATTACACAGCATTAATGGGTTTCCCTAGATGTGTAACTAAGCCATGCCATGGGCACTAATGTGTCCTTACCCAATCAGAGACGCTGACTTTTAAACTGCGTGCTGATAAGAAGCTGTGAGGTCTCGGGGTAGAAGTCGTTCTTGATTTCCAAAAAGAAGGTCAGACTTTGGGTCTATGGTTGTCCAGTTTTTATTGTCAGGGTGCGTCCCTTTAGACTCAACTTTTTCAGTGATTTTTTTGTCCTTGTCCCAACTTTTCTTTAACATGTTGCTGGCAGCAAATTTAAGAACACATGTTGTCATAAGACAAGGAAATTTTCATTTTTGTATGTTGTCTTTGCTCTATAATTAACTTCATATGAGTTTCGTATGATTTCTATCAAAATTCTTAAACTTCTACCTTGTAAGACAGATCAGTTATGAAGTCTGGATGGTGGAATGATACTTTGGTTGTTTTAATGGATCAAAAGAAATGAATGATCTAAATAATGCCTGTTGCTGCTTCCAGGAAAAATCTACTGATATAAAAATGTTAAACGGCAGACGTTTTGAATAAAAGGCTAAGTTGGATTCAGTCATATCATACTTACACCCACACAGACACATGCGGCTCAGACGGCTGAATCAGTGAAGTCAAACTCCAGCACTCTGCAGACGAGGATTGATCTTCATACTCTTCCATTACTCATTATCTGCACGAGAGGCAACTCTCTGCATGACTGAGACAGAGAGAAATGAAAAGACAGGCAGTTAGAAAGAGCAGAGGAGAGCAGGTGATAATCTGCCTGCTGTGGATCTTTTTCTCAATCTTTTTCTCCTCTTGTCTTCTATCTTCAGTCCTGGTTATAGTGGATATTGATTGCACTTAGCTATATTCAGAGTGGTTTCATGCTGTGAGGGATTTTCTGTTTTTCTCTTTTGTTACACGCAGAAACCTTGCCGTCGCCTGGCACTCGTCTCCTGCAAGAGCTGCTCATCAGTGCTTGGAGAGGCTGTCGCCCCAGGTACTCATAGCACTTCAACTTTTTATTATTATTTTTTTTTTTAGCACTGTGCATACTTTTCACTTTTCTCTGTTGTATTTCGCAGAAACCCTGAAACTGTACATCACACAGGTGGTGGTGGAGCGTGCTGAAGGAGACCGAGAGCCAGAGGCTTTACTTAACAGGCAGGTTTCAGTGCAAGCTGCTCATGGTGACAATTTGTAAAGTGCAGCTGTTGAAGCACATGCTCTGATAGGGACATGCATATGAAGAGTCTGCTGCACAGATAAAATAAATGCACTAAGTGTTTCTGGGTAAACTAATGTGCTTGTTGTTTGTCTCTAAGAATAAAATAAGTCCAGGGTTTATAAATCAGTTGTAATTTGTTGGTATAACCTAATATCCGACAGAGCACTGATTGGATTTTGCTGAATCTTTGGGAGATGACTTATATTGCTGCTGTGTTCAAGTTTTTTTTTCTTTCTAAAAATTAATTAAAACAGGAAAAACTTCAAAACCTGGAATAAACATTTTAATAACCACATCTCTCACAGTGCAGGGTTGAATAATTAAAAGTTTAGCAAACATATTGTAATCTCATTGTCTTGTATATGGTAGTTAATTTCTTTGAGCAAATAATTGCAGCATTACTTGACTTCTTGTGCCTTTTCTCCTTATATTTTAATAAGCAGTTGGCTCGCTCCTGAACATATGTTTACAGCTTCATTTTTTAAGGTTTGGTTCATTAAAAACATGAACATCAGGCTGTGCTTTCCCTAAAAGCACTCAGTATCTTCATTTTTTGGACTGTGAGTACAGTCAAGTTGATATGATCTTGAGGACCACATGTGTAAACAGCTGAACATTGTGTCTCTGTGATAGATTGGTCTTCCTGGAGAGGACTATAGCAGCCAGGTTATTTGGTCTGTCCAACTCGCTGAGCACCTTCCACTTCTCTGTCCAGACTCCTGATGGTAAAGCCTTCTTATTGGTAAGATCATGCAAACACAATCAGAGAAGCACCTGAACTCAAAGTAAAAATAGAGTACTTAATCATTTGACAAATGGAAGAGGATGATGTGGCAGGTCCTTCATTTGGTATGAAAAGCTGGTTGACTGTAATTTTAGGATTCTTGAGTGTCCTGCCAGGATTTTAGCTTGAAATCAGGTACAAGTGCTTTTCAACAAGTGGAAAAAAAAATGTCCGTAATATATTACTGCAATAATAAAAAAAAAAAAAGAAAGAAAAACACATTTTTCCACTAATTATTTTAGGCACAATGCTGATGACTGAAAAGGTCTTTATTTCTTTTCTAAATGTGTCATCAGACAGACTAATTTTTGTACGAGAGGCTCAGTATACAGGGCATGCAGATGGCTGAGCGGGTCAGCGCCCCCCATACTTGGGGACCACGGTCCCTGCAGCGGTCACGTGTTAGAGTCTGGCCCCAACCATGTGCTGCATGTCCTCCCCACTCCCTCCTATCTCCCAACATTTCACACTGTCCTATCTATAAAGGCAAAATCGTCCAATGTGTACTTGTAAATATTGTATATTTGTATTTGACTTCTGTTATTTTTACATTCAGATACTGATGTGGTTTTAATTGAGGCTAGCAGGTGATATTTTGGCTGAAATCTGAGCCTCATTAACATACCGTAAACTGTCTCGGCTTAGTGTTCCAGCTCTCCACAAATTGTCTTCTTGGCAGAATTGAAATTATCGGACATTAAAACTCTTCACTGAGAAAGAAAAGCCCTAATAATAAAATTAATCTTGTGTGAAATTGGACCAAAAATGGACGATTTCTTAGGCTAATATAAAATCCTTACAGTCTTCATAGTCTTGGTCCCTGAGGGAAAAAAAATATCTGTAGTTTTCAAATAAGCACTTTTTCTTTTTTTCCATCGAAGCACTACACTCTGATTTCCTGACCCCATGAAAGCCCACAAGTGGTACTTAGCACAAACTTATCCATTTGATGAAAGTAAAGAAAAATACATAAAATTAGCATAAAGACCTTTTATTTCACTTAATATATCATTTGCTGCGCATGAATAAATGCAGCAAAGGAGTTGTGTGTTTTCTCTTCGCTTGTTTGAAAATCTAGACATACAGATGTGCGCTGTGTTTCCCCGTTAGGTGAATAGAGAGAGCAAAAGAAAAGATCATGATGAAAAGTAATAAAACCAGATTTTATTGGCTGACCTTGAGCAAAATCTGAAGGTCATAAGAAGTACAGTTTTGCCTGTCTTTCTGTGGATGTGGTGATTTCATGTGCTACAGCTTGATTCCCTCCACTGTGTAATCTGCCATGTTTCTGAGTGACCCGTCTGCTCCCCCTGCAGCTCTGGCTCCTGAACAGCGATTCCATCACAGCGTCAGTCCCAGAGAGGTGTGTCGGGGGTGAGAGCTCTATCAGCTCCCCGGCTCTTCACAGTCCATCACCCAGAGCTGCCAGAGCCCTGAAACTCCTCTACACTGCCTGCTCTGACACCGGCACCGAGCAGAGAGAGTAAGCAAGGACTCTCATTGCTCCGTCCAATCTCCCAACACTCAACCCCTCTTCTCCTCCTCCTCCTCCAGTTTTATCCTGTCATCTCTCTCACACTGCTTCTCAATCACCACTTGTCCCGGCTCACCACAAAGGGGGGGAAAAATTGTACTTGCAGAAAAGATTTTAAGCCCCGTTGGAATATTTTTCTGGTCAGAGTCCCAGCTTGAATGTTTTTGTCTGTTGTTTAGACCAGTTTATCCTTCCAATGTTTTCAGTTGCATCAGGCACGCTCGTGTTTGTTGCTCGTACAGGGATGATGTCCTGACTGGAGTGAGGCTCTGTGCACCTTGCTGTGATGTGTTAGAGAGGTGTAGGTGGATGTGCTGCATGTGGCTCTCCACATTCGGTACAGCAGCACCCCACTGGAGAAGCTTTCCACCCTCATTATTTTCATCTGATTCAGCACTCAGCATTCCTCCTCCTCCCCCTCCTCTTCTTCCTCCTCCTCCTACTCCTCCTCCTCCTCTCCCCTACAGACGCGGAGAGTGAAATCAGAACAGCAAAGTTTAGTTATTTCTCCCGTTCTGACGAGCAGCTGACTGACAGAGGAAGGGTAATTAGAGGCAAAACTCACATAAAAAGAGAAAAGCTTGTCATCTCAGCAAAGGAAGTAAGGTTGTATAAAAATGACACGATTAACTGAACTCGCTGAGTGATGCACAGGAAGCTGCTGTTTCACCACAGGTGCATGCTGGGTACTTAGAGAGAATTCATCCTGGTGAAACAAGCCGTGACAGCAACTTTTGACTGGTGCACTGCTGTTTTTGTGGAGCCTGAATAAGAACCTCCACCCCTGGATTTCAGCTTTTCACTTGTAGTACAAACAGTTTGTCGCTCTGGGGTTCTTTTTAAAACCCACCAGGAGCAAAATGAAAACATGTTCGGCTTAAGGGCTGCAGTTGCTACAGCACAAATATTTATTCATAAACTAAACTAAAATCACAAATCACAGCAGCCAGTTTTGTGTTTCTACATGGAAATATAATTTATACAGATTTCAGTCTTTCCCTCTTGGAATATATAATGTAGTATTGGCTGATACAGACAAACCCTCAGGTAGTGAAACAAAATAGCACATAACTATTTCAGCTGAGCTGTTCTGGTGAGTCTGTTTTAATTCAGTGTGCTCGGTATAATTTTTGTATGACCTAGCTCAGTCCACTGACGGCTCACTGTGTCCTCTAAAGATCACAGAGAAACTCAAAGGCCTTTTATGTTTTTAAACCAGTTTTAATTATCTTCAATTAGAATTAAAGAATGTAGCTTTTAAATGTGCTGCGGGAACACTCGTCGCTGACATTTCGCTTGCTTTGACCTACAAATGGGCGCCTGCATCAGCGGAAGAGTTGGTCATTACTTAAAAGTACAGTGTGTCTGGAGTGCCAACAGCCTGGCAGTCTAAGTGCCCCGTGTCCTCAATGCAGTAGTCGCTGGTTGAATCCGGAGCCTGACCCTTTGTTGCATGACTTACCCTTCCCTCTCCTCCTCGCATTTCCCATCCACAGCTGTCCTTTCTGAGAAAGGCAAAAACGTAACTCTTAAAAATGAAAAAAACTGTGGTGTGTTGATTTGGAAATGTTTAGCAATATCAAGTGGTCTGGTGGTCTGTAAACACTCCCCTGCTCACCCCTCCTCTTGATGAAGCACCAGTTGCCTTCTCAAGTTTTTACAGAAGCAAAAATCTGTCAATTTATATATTTTTTGTAAATAAGAGATAATATATTCCTTTAAATATCCCACAGGGTGAAATTCCAAATTACAGCAGCATGAATACAGATACAAAAAGAGAAATTAAAGGATAAAGAAAACTAAAGCGTTAGAAAACAATATGTGCATGAGTCTTATGTCTTGTCTTGTACACAACAGCCACTCTCTTTTGGTTGTCTTCTAACCATAGCATTTCGTTCAGCCAGTCAAAATATGTCACTCCATGTCTGTTCTGTGCTGGGGTAGAGTCTCTGCAGAGAGGGACCTTAAGATACAAACGACTCCATTTAAAATGAAAAATACAATTGATTTTATATTTATCTACACTCAGTTGAACATCCTCATGAATATCATATCTCATTTCTACCAAGTCAGTCTTGCTAAATGCTCTACACACTGCATCCTTAATCAACAGGATGGGTGTTTGATCCTTCTCACATGCTGATGTGTCTTAGAGCAAGACTCTGAACCCCAAACTGCTCCGAGGGGGACCACCACCAGAAGTGTGTGAGTGGGATTAGTAAATACCAAAGGGGGTTTCACAGAGCAGCATGTGCCATTAGTGTATGAATGGGTGAGTGTGACATGTAATGTAAAAGCGCTATGAGTGGTTGACTCAAGACTCAGACACTAGTTTATTTATTTTTTTACTGGTTTATTTCACAGGGACGGTGCGCCACTAATCAACAGAGTTAAAAGAAAAACTGTAAGTGAGCCAGAGTCAGACAGCAAGGCTAGTTTTCATCCATTGTCCCTGGCCAGATGTTTAAAAGAAACTTAAAAATCAAAAAGGGGAAACAATAAAATACTTTACATAACAATCTACCTAATAAAAGCTCATAATAACAAGTAAACAGATAAGAAGTCTGACATATGGCATGGCAAAAGCTCATTCAAAGTTCATTGTCGATTCATCGTTTACATTACACTGCTTACCAGCCCCACACTGTTGTAGTTGAATGTCATCACGTACCGTACATGACAGCAGGCCTCTTTTGTTCTGTTCTTATGACTTTAAAACTAACTGGTATACTCGCCCTTGCCCCTGTTTTCACCTGGGAAGGATTTCCTCCTCAGTGGTATAGAGAGCTAGTCATTTACAGATCAAAGGTTTGATCCCTGCTCCTTTAGTCACATGCTAAAGTGTCCTTGGGCAAGACACTGAATCCCAGACTGCTCTCAGCACGATAGTCAGTGGTGTGTGAGTACACAGAAATGGGATTATTTAATACTGATGGGGGCTTTACATAACAGTTTCCGCCATCAGTGAGTGAATATCGTGTAAATGGGTGAATGTGACATGTAGTGTAAAAATACTTTGAAAGGTTAGAAGACAAGAAGAGTGCGATATAAGTTCAGTCAATCTACCATTTACCAATCCTCAAAAAGGTATTGATTTTTAAACTTGATCCACAGAGCGGCCTATCAGTTATTTTAACAATGAAAGGAAGTATCCACTTAAACATAATACAAATGAGGAAAGAAAATAAGAATTGCATCTTGGAGTCCTCTTAACTCAAAGTTCTTGTCATTGATCAGGTTACACAAACGCTCACAAAGATTTGATCCAGTCACGGCCTCTATATCTGCCTGAACATTGAACCGTTTTGCTTTTACATATCTAGTTCAACTCCGAATCTACCCCATCAGTTACACAACCTGCTGAAAATCTCAGCTTTTAAAGGTTTCACAGTTCAAGTACACATTTAGATTTTCACCTGCTCTGACATTTCTCTGAAGTCTTGAAAGGCTTAAACACTGGTGTTACTCACACTTCTATTTCCCCCTACATAATTTACCATTCATCCTTCATCACTCATCTCTGACAGTTTTAAATTAAATGTTATGCCTGGGGAGCTGAATTCCCTGGATGATGGCCCTCTTATTCAGGATACAGTCGGTTACAGTCCAGTGCAGCTGTGGGTCGCAGGACGTGTTGTTAGAACTGCCAATAATTGGCTGGAGAATCAGTGAGCCAGTGCCTAAGTGGATTAGGCTTGTCACTAATGGCAGTCACTTGATTATGAGTTGAAGGAAAGTCACACGCACCATCACAGCACAGTACAAAGGGAATAAGCTCTCATAGATATGGAAATTCAGTCTCTTGAGGATTGAAGGGGGGGACTCCATTCCTGTAAAAGTCCGTTTTGATATGAGAGTCTACAAATCTTAATACAGATGACAGACTGCATTTACAGCACTTGATTGAATGTGTGCAGTGATTTGGTTAAATATGTTGACATCAAATCTTAATTCAGTTTTCTGCTTAATTTCCCATGCATGTAAATAAAGATGTAGCAGTCTTGTTTCTTCGGTCTGATGTCTTATAAACTCCCAAACTTAGAGGAGACTTTCCCTAACACATACTGCACAGATGGCTAAATGTCACCCAAACAAACTGGATCAGCAGCATCAGACAATGACAGAGCATCACTCTTCCTCTTCTCCTCTTCTCTCTTTTTGACCATAAGTTTGCTGTGTATTCTTGGTTTTCCAGCAGAGTTTACAGTTTAAACTCCCCTTGCTGAAAAATGCCAGGGTGGATGCTTTAACGTTGGGTTTATAGCAGCTATTTTAAGCACCTGGGTTGTATAATGCTGCGGCAGTCACTGTAAATCATCCCTGCTCTTCTCTCTGTGTTTTCAGCATTGTAACTAGTTGGGAGGTCAATGCCATAGGACATCCTGTGGTGCTGCCGCTGTCAGTGTGTGAGGAGCTGCTGCAAGTGATAGACGACAGCAACTCCATGCTTCCTGCCTCGATGCGTTGCATGAGGTCTTATAAGGTAAGGCCATGGTCCTGTTCTGTAATGTGCAACAGATGATGAGTAAGGCATGTTAGTGCAGAAAGTCTGCATTGGCAGCCAAGCAGGGCCTGTTTTAGCTGACAGCAATCACTTATGTCACTTACTCTTACTTACAGCACCTTGTTTTTCCATTATTCAGTAGAGCTTGACAAGTGGTTTTATCCCGCCTTAATTAATTTCATGATTCAGAGCTTTCTGTTAGCAGCTTTGCTTTAGGGATTATGGGGGTCAAATTTTGTCAGCCTTATTCCATCCTCCACATACCTGTAATAGCACAAAATATGCCTAGTTAGCCGGAGTTGCCAGGGGAAACCCTTTGACTAGAAAATAGGAGGTGTTCCCTTTGCTGACATCTCCATTCTCCTGGCTGTTTTAAACATAGTTACAGGGCAATTAGAACCATTATTCTCCACTTCCTGCTCAGAAAAGTTAGGAACCGACTACCTCTACTTAACAAGTTTTTTTTTTTTTCTTTTTTACCTGCTGCAAAAATAAGAGCCGGAATAAATTACTGTACGGAAGTCTTTGAAAAGTAAATCTGCTGGTGTTCTAATGTGAAGCTTCTTTTGTTGTGCGAAGAGGAAGAGGTGTTCATTTGAGGTGTTGGAGTCTACCTTAATTTTAAGTAACTGGAGTTTTGCATTCAAAGAAGAACACTTTCTTAGAGTGATAAAAAAAAGCACATCCAAATATATTTTCATGAAAGTTTGTGGAAATGATTTCACTTTAATAACCTATTCAGTATTAGCGTTGGCCAGTACAGATGGATAAATGATCATTTGTTCTGGAAGTGAGGGGAAAGAATGAAAACAGAAATCAAACTAGAGAAACGCTGATTTAATATTTTGTTTTCTATAGATTAAGACTTTCTCATATCACAAAGAAAAAGGTTGAGAAATGGTCTCAACTAGGTGTTTGTGTGCTTATATCCATACAAGGTTGTTTGTGGCCTGAATTTTAACATTTGTTAAGTCAGGAAGTTTGTTTTGGACATAACTACATGTTAGCCATTCCTGGATGTGAGCAGGTTTTGGGGCAATGTTCTTTCTTTCCTACTCATCTTTTGGTTTCAAAGAGTCCCCCAGTGAAAGCTCAAGAAGATTTTAGGTATTGCAAAATTATCACCAAGTCTATTTTTCTTGTAATGTCTTAGAAATATAACACTTGAAGACTTGAAACTAGGACAGCTATTTCTATATAAAAGGGTTAATGGACAGTATACACTAACAGGGTGAGCAGGACCCAGACACACAGCAGAAGGATCTTGTCTCACCCTAAAGAGAGTCTGATTTTTGCATAACCACCTTCTGGCTACAAATTTTTTCTGTTTATTATCAGGCTACCGACTAAAACAAGTTGCTGCAAATACTGATTTGAAGATGATTTTATTGATCTAAAAAGGAGTTATGGCTACAGCTTTAATAATTTGCCTCAGAGCTGGCATGGGAGAGGTGGGTTGTGCCAAGTCTGCTCTCCACAGATTGGTTTTATATGACCTGTTTGATCTGGTTGTCCCTGGTGTTGCTCCTGCAGTCCAGATTTAATCACCAGTTTTATAGGGCCTTAATAATCAGATTGGAATATTTACAACAATCATGTAATAAGTAAGAAAGTGGGGCAATAATGACTAAACACAATGCTGCTTTCATTTGGAAGTCTCCTTCATGTGTCATTAACTGGTGCTGTTAATTACCTGGCACAGCTTTTATCTTTATTTTTGAGCATCAGAGAGAACAAATTTTGACCTTTTATTGACCCGCTTTATTCAAATGTGAGTCAGCTCTTAAGTTAAAAAGTCAAAGACCTTATCGACCAGTTTTTGCAGCTTAATTGGCTCTCTTTGCTGAATGATCTAAACCTTAATTGAATTGCGGGCATTAGTTGTAATATCTGCTGACAAAATTGACCAGCAGATCTAATTATAAAATTGATTGTCAACTGGAAGCTAGTTAAATAAATGATCACAAATTGCTATTATGTTATCCGTTATAAATTGTAAATGTTCTTCAAACATGCATACAGCAGGAACATTTTTACATACAGTAGCTGAAGTGAATAGGATCATGCACGCCTCTGTGCAGCAATTACACAAGGCACATCCACAGTTCATGAGGATTCAACTGATCCAATTAGCAGCAGGGGGCTAGCCAACACCACAAATTCTACTACAGGCTCTCATCTCATTATAATAGTACGATACAGAACACCTGAAGATGCTTAGTAAGGCTCCTGTCTTTTTATAGAAGTACTATTCCACACTTCTCAGAGTGCTGGCTGTAATTTCTCCGGAAGATGACGACTCAGAGCTGTTTCTCCTCTGCCTGTTACACATTGTGGCCCCGAGATGAACAGTATAGTTGTCTCTGAATATAAATGACAGTGGGGTTAGGCTTGGCTGAAATGGAGAAGGCTCCATATGAGGCGACCCAGACGTAGGACATAGTATCTGTCTGGATCTGTGGAAGTGGTCACAGCAGTATGGATCGTGTGATTAATTGACACAGTTGAACACTTCCTGATAGAGGGGGCTTGTGCTATAGGCGGTAGAGAACAGGGAGGTAATGTGATCACGGGGTCATCTCCAGTTACCAGAGATGTTCTGAGAGAGTCCTGGTTCAAAAACACACAGACTTTTGATAGCACATAAAAGCTTGTTACGGCTTTCAGAGTTTCAGATGTTTGTGGTTGAATGATGAAGATGCAGAGAGATGAAGAAACAGAGAGAGAATTTTGAGCCAGGATCTTCTGAAAGCTCAACCAGCATTCTAAAGAATGGCAGCTGTCCATGTTATTTCAATTTAATCCAGTTTTGAATTGAAAAATTTAAATAAACATTAGACTGCGAACAGGCATTTTGATTCTTAGCCTGCAAACTAATGTGTAACATCATAAATATCTCAGTTCAGTTTGGGTGTCTTTGAGGTTTCTGTGTTCACAGAAAACATTTTGACATGTCACAGAAGAAGAAGCACATGTCTAAATAATAAGATTGATGGCAGCTGACTCGTGTGCTTCTTCAAAGTAAGGGTCCTGGTGTTGTGAATGCTGCCCTACTGTCACACTGTCACAGCTAACAGGACCACTTGAAACAAACAGCCTTCAGTAATGTCATAAGTATTGTCTGTTCTTGTTCTCCTGTGACAAGTCCGAATGTGTGCTGCAAAGACAGGCTTTTACCGGGGCACTTGAACTGGTTAAACTAACAAGTCGAACAGCTTTGTGTCTGGTGTTGTAGCTGATGTGCTGCTTTCTTGATTGGTCAATAGAAACAACACCTTATTGCCTGACACTCAATACACAAGCCCTCAGTTTATAATGATCCCATAGATACTTTTAGGGTATTGAGACTCCAGATTCTCGAAAAATTCTGAACATTTTCAGAAAACAAACTATGAGATGGTATAAACTGGTTTTCTGTGTCTTGTACATAGACTGTATATACTATGGACAACTTGGTTCCGCTTTCTGCCAGTCTACAGATTTGAAGTCAAAAAGGTCTCGGTATTTCTACGTTTTTTTCTCCACTTCCTGGAACCACCACTTGCGCAGTAGCTTTCTACGCTTTTGGCGGGAGAGTCGCTGTGATGACGCTCAGCTCAAACAGCGTATCCCCCGGGTGAGCTACGCAATCTTCGTACTTCGTATCTTCATAGCTGTATCAAGTGTCAATCATAGAAAACATGAACCCTCTAATAACTTTTAAAAATGCAGCTGCACAAAAAAAAGAGGACTTGAGCACAAACCAGTCTTACAGTAACTACATATCAACATCACAAACAGGGGGGAGAAAAATTTATATTCTGTGTAATAAATTTCTAAAGTTTGTCCACAGCTCCATAGGGATTGCTGGAGGAGGCGGGATTTATGACCTATACTGCAGCCCGTCACCAGAGGGTGCTGTTCTCGCGGTGGCTTCACCCTGCAAGAACAGTCCACTGTAGGATAGTCCCAGCTCCCATTGGTAGTATTCTGAAGACAGTTTACTCCGACAGCAAAAGACTATTCTAAAGTCACTTTTGGGACATTTTGGCCTCTATTGATCAGACAGATTAGCCTGGCGTTCCTGAACAGTTCTATTAATTCCATATTTCCAGGGGGCGTTAGCAACAATTACACACAAAAGTGCCTCTTGAAACAGTTGTACTGACCAACAACCAATCAGATGAACAAAGCATGTGACGTAGGGTATAGCAGCAGAGATGTAAACAGACAGCACCAACAAACGCTGTACGTGCAGTTGTTAATGAAAATTAAATGGTCCAGTTCTTTTAAAATGATAAATGATGAAATGGTTTAAAGGAGGCGGCGCTCCTGTATCACCGTTTCAAGAACCCGGATTGGGTCAGTGTACCTGACACAGAGGAGGAACTGTTTTCAGTGATTTTAGACCCACATGCTAACTAACAAATATAAACATGAGCTGTCTGACAGGTCTTGCAATGATAGCTAGTAAATGAGGAAAGTAGAAAGTGTATGGGAAGACGTTGAAGCAAAGACTTGAACCAGCCACTGCTTCAACAAGAGCTGTTTCCTCTCTACATGGGGGCAAGTGCTTAGACTGCCAGCCAGGCCTATCACCAATCCCCAAACAAGCACTTTGTAGTTGTTTTCTTTTTCCCTTCAAGGACAGACCTGGCACAGCTCGTATTTTTACTTTTAATAAACTTGCGGCATGATGTTATTCCAGCAAACTTAGAAGAGGTTGTTTGTGAGCCAATCGCAAGAAAATCAGTTTCTTTTCTAAGTTTATACTTATACAGCAAGCCAGAGTGAAGCCTGTGTGAAACTCACTTTTTAGGCTAGTCAAATGCATATATGAGGCAAATTTCAGCAACAAGGCAATTCAGAGAGCTTCTACAGCAAACTGAGACTCACCAGGAACAAGCAGACAAAGAAATGGGAAAAAGTAATAAACCTAGAAAAGTTGGTGTTTATATTGCAGACATATCTGGAGAGGTGAGTTACACGTTGTCTCTGGTCGAAACACAGTCGTGTCTGAAATTGCTGTTGGAGTTATCAACAAAACCACACATGGAGAAGAAATTCTCCTGAAAAAGCCTTAAGATTGTAACCCCTGTTACATCATAATGCCGTTAAAGTTTTACCCAAGAGCCCAGCGGCAAAATTGTCATTAGATAATAGCTGACGGGTTATGAAATCTTCTGTTTACAGATCAACCTGTATTTGTGGAGGCAGCCCAAACACATCCAGGGCTCAGGTGTAGGTAGAGGTTGGTTTCATGTTTCCAGAGTCAAAGTCAGTGATGGGAAAACAAAGTACAACAGAGTGCAAAAAACAGAGTGCCAGTTCCACCTTCTTGCATTGATCCCACCCCCCTCTTTACACCTCTGATACCACCTCCAATGCCAACTCAGCAGCAGGGCAACTTTCTCCCACCTTTTCACCTTTGGGGCCTGTAAGGGTTCAGTGTACACCATGTGTATTTACTTAAAGTCCCACTCAGATAGTTTTTTTTATTACCACTTTAAATCTTCGCAGTGTTCTTTAAATTGTGATTATAAAGTTTTTAGCCAAAATCCCGTTACCTGTGTCATTTTTAAGGGCTTTTATTCTGCAGAACTCCAGTCGCTCTTTAGCACTTCACCCCTGAGTCGTGGGCAGAGACAGCGCTGCTCTGCACACTTCTCCTCGTGTTAGCTTGCAGCCTAAAATTGCCGGTGTAGTAGAAGTAGCAGGTAACATAGGAGCTACTCAGCTCTCGGACACTATTGTCTTTAGGGACATGATGAAAGTTAGTATCATTATTAGTTTTGTAATGTTCCACGATCGTCCTCTGTATTTCTCTGGCCTGCATAGTGGGGCTCGGGGGGCGGAGCTTGGATTTGCTGTGTAGGAAATCTCACTATATCTGATCCTGCCGTTTGGGTCTGTCGGAGAGATTCACAGTGATTTGAATGCAGAAATACTCAGAAATACAATTTTGCACCATTTTTTTATGATATGTCCTGTAGCATCAGGAAAATGCCATATGAACATGCACTAAACAAGAAAAATATGATTTTCATCAGAGCGGGTCTTTAAATATTAGATCCAAACTGGGGCATATCCATTAAACCCAAGGTGATTCTCATACACTATTCAATACACTTATTTTCAATCAGTCTGAGGAATGAGTATCGACCTTGGCAGCTCACTCTGCCTGTAACAACAGTAACCCAAAGTTTGCAGGTAGCTATAAAATTTTTGTGTGTGCGTGTTTTGTTTAATTTTAGCCCTCTGAGCAGATCAAAGCCAGAACAAAACCCCAGCCTGTTATTATTCTGCATGAGGAATGTCTACTGTAGTCAGGACCTCTGCGTTCCTGCCCTTTGTCCCTGGGCCCCGCCAGTGTAATGGGGTGTAAAGTGGCTCCAGCTCCCAGTGCCACACTTGAACCTGAGAAGGGACAACACCTCCTTTCTGCCCCCGTCTCATTAATCTACTCCTCACTCCCATTGAGGCAGCATGTGGGTTAAACAGAAACTGATCCGAACAGTGATTCACGATTTTACAATAAGGAACAAAGAGATGTATTGATCATAAGTCACCTCAGTTATTTTGCAGTCCACACAGCTGCCCACCAGGGCCAGTTGCACTTTGTCCAAATAAATTATTTCCTCCACACATCCCGATTCATTGCACACAAGCTCGTAGCAAGAAAGGAGACTTGTAACTAGAGGGAGGTCTGTGTTGTAGGTCTTGGTCAGGCTTTATATTATGGTGCTTCTGATTAAGTAGCTACAATCCTGTATCAGACAGGAAAGGGACAGCATTTTATGCTGAAAGCTGTCTCATTGGTTCTCAAACATTTAGAGTTGTTTTCATAAAGAGATGATCGAGCCCAACTTTTTGAGAAACGTAATGGCTTTATATTAAAATGAGCTTATATGTTTTCATTGAGAAAAAAAGATTTTTCACTTTCAGTATTTGACTCACTTCCAATTTTAATATCCATCCATTTTCTACTGCTAATCCCGTTGTGGGGGTCACGGCGGGCTGGAGCCTATCACAGAATTTTGGGGCGAAGGCAGGGGACACCCTGGACAAGTCACCAATTCGGCTGACACATAGAGACGAACAACCATCCATGCTCACATTCACACCTACGAGCAATTTGAAAGTGGCCAATTAACCGAACCCCACTTCTGCATGTTTTTGGGATGTGGGAGGAAACCAGAGTACACAGAGTAAACCCATGCAGACACATGCAAACTCCACACAGAAATGCCCTGATCCGGATAAGAACCCAGGACCTTCTTGCTGTTAGGCGACAGTGCTTACCACTACACCACTCTGCCCCCAATTTAATATATTTTCTGATGTATTACTCTGTCCTAAATTTTCTTGGAGTTGGATATGTGCATTGAGTTTTAAAAGTTGTTAACCCACTAAACCATCTTCATACAAAGCACTTAGTTTTTTGAAACAACAAACTGAATTATGTATTAAATATGTTTGTTTTTGATCCGGCTTTTTAAACTTATTATATCGTCAGCCTGCTTTAAGGCACTAGATGTACATATATGTTTAGATGCACAGTAAAACATTCTGTAAATGTGCAAGCCTAGAGTTTTTACTCTCTGATGTGTTAAACATGTTGTGATCAAAGGAGGTTTAATTCCTATTTTTTTCACACTTCTTGTCATCACAACAGAACCTTTTTTTAACTCAGAGAATAACCTCTGTTTGGTGCTGTCTTTTAACCTGAGTTGTTGTACACAGACAAAATACAAAGCTAAAGGTCATCTCATTACAGCTCGATGTTTTACTCCTAAGGCATTATAGTGGTATTTTACATTACACTTTGCTTACGCTCAAAAGAAATTCAGTGAGATCAGAGAACCAAAACACCCTTAAGCGTGTTATCATCAAGAGTTCAGGGCTGACTTGCTGTCAGCATCACTATCAGTTTAAAAAACATGTTCCTGTTATCTTATTCTGTCGAATAAAATCTTTCTGGGAACATTTTTGGGGCTTCTCATGAAGTCAACTGTTCACAGCATCAGATGTTCTTACCAGGAGTTATTGAAAGTAGTGAGTCCTATAATGTCCTTTTAGATAGATTCTCAACCAGCTGGTATGTATTTTCGTCTCCACATTTCATGTTGTAGAAACCCTGCTTTCTGTGCAGCGTTACACCACTTTATTTACAAAATTGGAAAAGCTGACATTTTACTTTGAAAACCCACACATGATCATTTACCAAGAAGAGCCAGAAGGTTCATTTGGACTAAATCTGCTATAAGTACTTGAGAGGTAAACCTAAGAATCAAAAAATTGATCCAATGAACCCATGTGATGCTAGCAATCTCATAGGAGGCACATTTCTTTTTCCTTTTTTAAAATTCTCTTTTATTAGTAATTTCATCACTAAAACCTAAAGAAAAGAGAAATCTAGCTGTGAATTTGCTGATATGTCAGACACCCTGCAAACCAAATAAAAATTTTGATTTGACAAAGAAATGTATTTCATATTAACACAGCGTTCAACTTTACATAGCATTTAAAACTGGTGTGAGGAACTTGTGGTTTGGGTTTGTTTTGGCGCCCTCTGAGGACAAAGTGATACCTTATATATCATGTCCTGAACATGTGAAAGTGTTTTCAGACGTCATGTATTCTTTCACTAGTGTAATGTATCACTTACTGTGTGTATTTGCTGTGAAAAGAGTTTTAAAAAAAAAGCCTTTTCTTTAGCCTGCTGTCAATCATCCAGCCTGACACCTGCCCTCTCACAGCAGTCTCAGGCATTACAAATTACAACAGGGAAAGGATCAGTCATGTTGCTGATGGTCTTTTTTGCTTTGAAGGTCATCAGTTTGGGCCCATATCCCAAATTGTTAAAAACTCCTTGTTGTGCCTCTAACACACTGTGTTAATACTCTGAAAACAAAAAAATATATTGATAAAGTGAGCGTCTGCCCCCCAGCAGTCCAGTATTTCACATGACCTTCTAAGTCATCGTATGTAACAAGAGAAGAATGTTTTTGTGTTTTCTTTGTTGTGCCAAACCCAAGATCTTTTACAACCTCCAAGCCCTTCAACCACTCAATGGAGTACAGCTCCTTTAGCAGAATCAATCCGATACTTTTACTTTTATTCCTACTGCACATATTCTGTAACTGTGAAGAGATGTAAAACATGATCGATGAAGTATCCCGCGAGATGGTTAAGTTTCAAGTATCCCATATAGTCACCTCAGTGTTGATTTAACTAACCGTGAAACTAGTCAGACATAGATAAAGCAGGTAAATCATAGAAGATTGCGGATAGCATGCATTTAGCTGTTTTAGAGTTGCACTGTAATTTATATTAGCTCATGTCTCTGGCTTGCAATCTAAATATTGACCCTTCTCAGCTTTGATTTTGGTCTCTATGAATGGCAAATTTATACCTCTTGTTTCACCTTTGCTTCTCCAGCCATTGATGTTAGGCATTTTCTTTAATGTTGAAAGATATTTATGGTGAGTTATAAATTATGATATGAGACAGACAACAGGGGGACTTTTTTCATCAATAAACACAACTCTCTCAAGCATGGGACAAAAACACCCATGATTCAAGGGTTTGTCCACTGGGGGTGCCAAAGTCAACACAGACAGAAAGTTCTCCACAGGAGCTTTACAACCAGAACAATAAGCTGAAAGAAGCTAAGACGAAACTTAAAGGGAGTCGAGTTACAGCCGCTATTGTTCGATCGTTTCTAAAGTTGGTATAACTAGAGAAGCAAGCGGTCGGCAAAATTAATCTCTTGGGTGTTTGTATTTGTATTTATATTTCTTTATTTAGCACAGATTAAAAACAGTGCAAGGAGGGAACGAAGCTGATAGGCTTATACAGAGTTCCACTCCCGTCAGGGCAGTAAAGGCATAGGGTGCAAACAACAAAGTAATTAGGACAGAAACAGGTTATAAATATACAATGAGTGGGGAAAGGTCAAAACATATACAAATTGTCATAAATAGAACACAGACTAATGATCAACCAGCCAAACCAGAGATAGAGAAATTACAAGTTTACATAATTAGAAAGGAAACATGAACATTACAGGTAATGACGTGTTAAGACACGATTAGATGTGTTATGGTGTGTTTGACCCGGAATATCCCATTAAATCTATGCAGGTCTCTAAAGTCTCTGTCCATTGTCCCTGAGAACACATTTTCCTAAACCTTAATGTAATCTCCGGTTATTGCGCCATTAAAAATTAACGTTAAAGGAAAAATAGATTAAAAATGAAGTTTCAGCTGTTTCAGTCAGTTTTAAGACTACTTTATTTGTTCACACAAAGGTGCTACTAAGTGTTGTCTCAGCTTGTGCTTTTTGTTAATTTCAATTTAACAGCTAAAGAAGCGCAAAACACTTTTCCTCCCTTTGATTTATTTTCTCAGCTTCAACCAAGCAAAACCTTCCAATCAGGTGCCAGTTTCTCTTGACCATTTATTCTCTGCTTGCTTCCTGACAATGCCTTCTTTCTTTGAGAGATTTGGTGTCGTGTTAGCTGCAGCTCACCTCTAGTTCCAGTTTGTTATCATTTGTATGAATTATCACTGATGCGCTTGAGTGGTGAGCAGACATTGGCATGGGCACGGAGAAGACAGGGCCTTGAGTAAAGCAAATGCCCTCATCCATCATCCCAATATAGAGCTCTCAGTGGAGCGCAACCAATGTCTGCAGCAGGCAAACACCCAGAAATAGCAGATGGAGGAAGAGAGGGAAAGGGAGAGAGGGGGATTGGGCTGAGCCGATTTGTTTTCTGTGCTTTGTTTTTCTGTATGTGTGTTTTTGAAGTTGATTAAATCTCGACCACCTGTGGTGCTTTTTGTTGTTTGATGGCAGTAATTGCAGAAAATGTGTTTCTGAGCTGATCAGCAGACAGCAGAGATCCAATACATCTGTGCTTTTGGGAGTGAAAATCCTCACTGTACAGTACATGCAAAGTTTAGTAAAATACTTCAATGACGTCCGTCTCTTTTGTCTATTTTTATTTTACTTTCAATTGTCTGTCCGTACTTTAACTTTTCCTTTACTTTGTTGTGTTTAGGTAGCATACCTGAGACTGTGAGATCAAAAGTTGGATGCCTGAGGGAAAAACCCCACCCATGAGTGTGGTAGAAAATTGAAGACGACCACAAACAGCTGGAGGAGAAACTTCTGTGGACGTGAACAACATTTCTGTATTTGTTTAATTAGCATCCTGCAAAGACTTCCAGTAAGTATAAGAAAAGAGATAATTGCAGAGCATGCAGTGACTTGTTTAGTCAAGTCTAAGTTGTGGTTTCTAGTTGTCTCTGTTTCACATATAAACATATTTCATGCTGAAACAGGTTGCTACCAGTCTAAATTTTAATGTACATTCAGTAAATACTCATCAAAACTTTCCTTTATTGTAACAGTGATCACACTGTATCCTATATTAATTGGTTCTTAACTACATGCGTTATCCACTAAATGTGTAAGTTAGTCAATTTTGTTGGTCTCCTGGACTTTGTTTTGTATTTTTCCTACCACTCTTGACCAAAACAGATTAAACTGTTGTATTTTTGGCAGTATCTCTCTCATCCTGTCTTTTTTCTGTCTGCTGGAGAGCTGATATGTGGGACATTGTTCTTGAGCTGGCTCTTGATAAAAGCTTATTATAGAGGCACTTCAGCCCCGGGGTGCAGCAGTGCACCCTCCACTTGAGTGTACTGTAATTACAGCCTGTGGAGCGAGGTGATTTTTGTCTAGTTGTGGGTTTATGTCAGAGTGTGTGCCAATGCATGATTGTATTTATGTAACGTGAAGAGGTGAGGATTATTTGGAAAACGTATAGTTAAACTCTAAAATATTATGCTCTTTTCACCTTCTGAAGTGTATCAGGGTATGTGCTGGTCGAGTAGTTCTTGCAGTATGTCACAATACTTTTAAACCACATTAACTGTGTGGGTCTGGAGTCGGTGGTGTCAGTACACTACTGTAGTGTAGACTGAAATTTCTCCCCACTTCCATGATTTTTCACAAACATTCATGATCCCCTGATGATGAACATTTTTGTGAATCCATTGAAGAAAACAGCCAAAATTGAGCTCAATTCATAAAACATATCAAACAAGGAACCAGTGTCTGCAAGTAAACTGTGTCCAATTGGTGTGCTGCACTGTAAAATCCCCTGGGTTAAAAACAACTCAAATTGGGTTGAAAAGGGACCGACTACTTATTGGGTTACTTTGACCCAGAACGTTGGGTTATTCAAATTAACCCAAATTTTGGGTTGACTCAATAACTCCTTTTAGGGGTCAAGTTAACCCAATCTTTGAGTTAATTTGACTCATGATCTTGGGTTGAATTGATATATGCATTTAGGAAGCATTTTTGCTTTTACAACCTGTACCATCTGAGCCAGTATGTCTTTCAATATGGCCATAGCACTAAGGGTCTTCCCTAAGGACCCACATGGGTAGATGTACTTCGCTCCTTACAGATGTGTCTCATGCAGGATTCAAACCTCAAGCCTGTGGTTGGGAACTGGATGCTCTACTATATAGAGCATCCAGCTCTATCTATCTATCTATCTATCTATCTATCTATCTATCTATCTATCTATCTATCTATCTATCTATCTATCTATCTATCTATCTATCTATACATATATCATATTGTGTGTGTGTGTATCTATATCTATATCTATATCTATATATACATATACATATATATATATATATATATATATATATATATATATATATATATATATATATATAATCATATTGTATATAAAATCAAGGTCAAGGTCCACAAACTCACTAAGTCACTTTAATTGCCATTAGGCCTAGAAACCGCGTAGAGTCAATCGCACCCAATGTTCCGACCTAATTATTGGGTAACTCTCAGAAAAATAACCCATAATTATTAACCCACTCAAATAACCCTCAAATTGGGTTACAATAGAATCCATTTGACCCAAGAAATTGGTATTGATCTAAAAAATAACCCAGAAATCTAACTTGACATGTAAAACTCAGGAATTGGGTTGAAGAAATAACCCAAGAGTTTTTAGAGTGTGAGATGCTGTCTGTTATCTCTTTTTGCTTACATCTGGGTAGTAGAGCATTGTGATAATAATCGCATTGTGACGGTTACGGCTGTACTGCTGACACCTGCATTACAGCTTGGACATGAGCAGGCAAACATCTAGTCTGTTTGGGAAGAAAGCTTTCAACTGTCAATTGCCTTACAAAGCCACAACACCTGGACATTTTTGGTTCTGAGCAGATATTACACAGTTCCATCAACTGTATATACATATACACTCACCGGCCACTTTATTAGGTACACCATGCTAGTAACAGGTTGGACCCCCTTTTGCCTTCAGAACTGCCTCAATTCTCCGTGGCATAGATTCAACAAGGTGCTGGAAGCATTCCTCAGAGAGCTTGGTCCATATTGACATGATGGCATCACACAGTTGCCGCAGATTTGTCGGCTGCACATCCATGATGCGAATCTCCCGTTCCACCACATCCCAAAGATGCTCTATTGGATTGAGATCTGGTGACTGTGGAGGCCATTTGAGTACAGTGAACTCATTGTCATGTTCAAGAAACCAGTCTGAGATGATTCCAGCTTTATGACATGGCGTATTATCCTGCTGAAAGTAGCCATCAGAAGTTGGGTACATTGTGGTCATAAAGGGATGGACATGGTCAGCAACAATACTCAGGTAGGCTGTGGCGTTGCAACGATGCTCAATTGGTACCAAGGGGCCCAAAGAGTGCCAAGAAAATATTCCCCACACCATGACACCACCACCACCAGCCTGAACCGTTGATACAAGGCAGGATGGATCCATGCTTTCATGTTGTTGACGCCAAATTCTGACCCTACCATCCGAATGTCGCAGCAGAAATCGAGACTCATCAGACCAGGCAACGTTTTTCCAATCTTCTATTGTCCAATTTCGATGAGCTTGTGCAAATTGTAGCCTCAGTTTCCTGTTCTAAGCTGAAAGGAGTGGCACCCGGCGTGGTCTTCTGCTGCTGTAGCCCATCTGCCTCAAAGTTTGACGTACTGTGCGTTCAGAGATGCTCTTCTGCCTACCTTGGTTGTAACGGGTGGTTATTTGAGTCACTGTTGCCTTTCTATCAGCTCGAACCAGTCTGGCCATTCTCCTCTGACCTCTGGCATCAACAAGGCATTTCCGCCCACAGAACTGCCGCTCACTGGATATTTTTTCTTTTTCGGACCATTCTCTGTAAACCCTAGAGATGGTTGTGCGTGAAAATCCCAGTAGATCAACAGTTTCTGAAATACTCAGACCAGCCCTTCTGGCACCAACAACCATGCCACGTTCAAAGTCACTCAAATCACCTTTCTTCCCCATACTGATGCTCGGTTTGAACTGCAGGAGATTGTCTTGACCATGTCTACATGCCTAAATGCACTAAGTTGCCGCCATGTGATTGGCTGATTAGAAATTAAGTGTTAACGAGCAGTTGGACAGGTGTACCTAATAAAGTGGCCGGTGAGTGTATATATATATATTTGTGTGTGTGTATGTTATTTTTACATACATAACCAATCGAAAGGCATTACTGATGCTGTATATTTAACATATACAGGGCATGGATTTCTATTTTTATGATCTTAACCAATGATTTAACTCATCACAGTCCATGGTCTTAATCCTTACCAACAGCTTTGTCAAAAAAAAAAACTCCATAAACTTACCCATCATATTTACAAAAACTTCTTGTTTATCTCTTATAATGTAAGTTTTTTTTCCACAGTAACACATACTGATTACACTTAAAGGCACCACTTCATTCTTGGTTTGGTAACATTTTCCATCCTCACAGCAGTAGCCCCTCTAACAGACCCAACACTGTACGTGCATGGCCACTCTTCTAGCTGTGAAGTCTGCTGAATGGATGCCCAGAATTCACATTTGGTAAACAAGGGCTTCTCGGTTTACCAATTTGGCTTATAAAGTTAAGAACCATTCCCCAGAAATACTTTCCATTCCCATGAGAAGTGGAAAAAGTGATTCAACATTTATATTTTTTTACTCTTGCTTTTTTTAGAGAACATTTTGATATCTAACAGATGTGTTGGAACATAATGTTTCATGGAAAATTAAAGGCTCCAAGAAAGTTACTTTGTGTCTTTGGACTAATCTTATTTTTGGACCGATCTCTTGCACTACCATAAGGTTGATGTTTGTGGATTTTGGTTGGTTTTAATGAGAGTTGACTCAGCTGACAGACACATTTAAGTCCTCAGTAAGTTTAGATTTGGTAAACGGTGGTCATCTGTTAGCTCATATCCAAAAATATTTAAAAAACTGCACTTTTAAAGCCCTTATTAGCTAAACTTGCCAAAGACTGGGGACATGGTGAATATTATACCTTTGAAACACCCACAGGAAGTTATCATTTTTATTGCCATCATTTTGGCATGCTGGAGTAAACGTATTTGAACCAGAGACGTGCTGCTTGGCCCCACTGCTGTAAGCATGGCTGCAGACTCTTTCTTGTTCTTATATAAAACAAAGATGGTCTTTTGTTGAGGTGTGATATTTTTACATACATGCATGATGGTATCAGTGTGACATTTGACTCCTTTGGCGTTTTCTCTAGATCAAGGTGAGGTTGTTCTGACTGAGGAAGCCAGTAAAACAGCCTGCAGAGCTCAGTCAGTTGAATAAAGCAAAATGGTGTGTGGCTGATTACCACTGGAGCCTATGATGCCCACACCTCTACTTCATGGCTTGTGAACATAGCATCCAGCTTGAAAGGTTATCTAAACCAGCATGCAGCATAATATCTGCCTGCATGTCTATTTTTACAAGCTCTTAGTGAAGAAGGAGCCATTATTATTTTTTTCCAATTCTAATGCATGCCTGGATTGGCTGAATGCTGATGCTGCAAGTGACAATAACTTAAAGAAAAACAATAAAGTATTGTGCCCACTGAGGCGGCAAAGCAGAGAGTGAATTGGCTAATTAAGTACATCCTATGCTGAACCATCAAGGGGTTCTCATTTTCTTTCTGCCCTTTCTCCACAAGTGCAAATGAAGTAGGCTCTAAATAACCCATTTGTTTCAAGCCCGCTGAGCAGAAGAGGCTCCTCCACGTTACTGGCTGTTTCTGCGGTGTGAACACACTAACAGACACAGTCAGCCAGGAGCCCAGAGAAGTCGCAGAGCCTCTTTGTCTTTCTCTCCTTGATGATAGACAGTGGATGTGTCAAATTAAAAATGTTTTTGGCCAGTACACTGCACGTGTTGACATAGAGCAGCTCATTAGCCTTTTCAGACAGTTAGCTCATGATAAAATATCAGTCTGACCAAAGGTCCTCCCTATAGTCAGCCTTGGTAATTACTCCACCACATTTTCACGGCAGTTTCTGTTCCCTCTTCTCCTACATGTGTGCAGTAGGTTTCAGGTGAAAGGGAAACAGTGCCAATTGAGGCCACTTTGAATGCCATGGGCTTAAACTGGGTGCATTGTTTCAGATTTCTAATGCAAAGGCTTTATCATTATGTGCTTCAGTGCTGCATCTTTGGACATAA